TTAGGGCAACACAGGCTGACTAAGTCTGCTCACCTAAGAGTGCCAAGAGTCTAAGCAGGCAACAAGGAAGTGGAGTAGACCTGATGACTAAGACCTATCTACAGTATAGGTACCTGTGGATGATCCTAAGAGACCAAGTCTGAAGAGACAGTCCCCAGGCAGAGTAGGCCTTATATTTATACCTCTGTGGTGGAACCTGCTAGAACATCTTGCTTACTCAGCCTAGTCAGGTGATCAGGTCATATGAGGTCATGCACAGCCATGCACAGCAGGTCACCTGACCATCCAATCCTTCCAGCAGGTTCCAGCACATGCCAAGGTATACCAGCCACTTCCATGTCATAAAGGCTTAGTCATGTCTCTTGACCAAGCAATGAGCTGGTGCCCTGACAACAGTACCTGATCTGCAAATGGTGCCAAGGCTGGGTGCATGAGCTGGGCACTCAGTGGAGGCCATCATCACAAGGGATCCTGGCACAGCAGCTGCTGTGTGGTTGGAATGGGAGATGGCAGTCTGGGGGGAATTTGGAGGGGAAACATAACCATTGCTGGCTGAGTAGGCCAGTGTAGAATTGGATTGGGAGCCCCTCAGGCAGGCTCCAGCGCTCCCCAGAGGTGAGGAGACAGCTTTGAATCTTCAGTAATGCAGGTGCAATGTCTGGAGTCCACATGATCAGCAGGTGCTTGGAGTGCCACAGTGATGGTGACTGGTGACTGGGATGCTGACAGGTTCCATGAGGTCCTGGGTGTATGCAGTCGACTTAATGGGAACACCAGAGTCAGGTGTCAGGCTCTCCTGATGAGGGAGGGCAGCTTGAGTAATGCAGGTGTGATGTCTGAGTCTGTCAACATGAGCACAAGCACCCTGAGCTACCCTGCTGGATGCTAGCTCAGGGTGCTGCTGTCTCCAGGCCAGAAGCATCACACCAAAACCTAGTATTGTGTCAGTACAAACATTTCAAAGGCAGCCTGTACTGCTCATCAAGCCCCTTCTGCTTGGTGTAAGCCACCTGAATGAGCAACGCTGGGCTCAGACACCCCATATGACTCTCTGTCATAGTCAATAGTGGATAATTGGACCTGTAGTAAGAGGTTAGTACAGAGCCTAAACAATCCAATAACACAACACTTGCTTAAGGTTGTTTGTCAGTATGATGTGTTATTGGTAGAAGGTTGATGTTGGCAAAGAAAGGTAGGAGGCAATGAGCTCAGGGGGGATCAGACAATGAGCATGGAGGCAGAAGCCCAGTCTGAGGCAGCTGAAACTCTCTTCTTAAGTCCAATCCAAATGTCAGGGTGTTGGCCAATTATTGATAGTTTGTCTGGTTCAAACTACTCCTTGAGCATTTCTGGACACTTATTGCGGACCAGCTGTACTCTCTATGACTCACTTGAATTCATCTCGGACTACTGGCTACTTGGTGGCCAACAGTAACCCCCAACCCAGCTAAACTCATGTCATGACAATAGGCACCAACCAAACCACCTACTGTAAAACACAAGTTCACCTTGTGTTTGGGCATTGCACCTGCATTACTGAAGATGCAGGTGCAATGGCTGTGCATCAAAGGTATGTAGTGCATGCTAAGGGCACCATTATGCATGGCCTCTGTACTTCTGCACTCCCAGATAGGGGCAGAAGCATGCATGCAAATCTGAATGGGTGGCAACCCCTGTCTGCCTCCGCAGATATCCCCAGTTGTACATCCCTGATCCTCTCTCTCTTCCCATCTACCACCATGAGCAACACTGATGGTAACAATAGCTTCCAGCTCCTCCAGCAAATCTTTGAAACAAGCACAGCCAGCCTGAAGTTCTACTGCAAATGTGCCCTGGTCAGCAAGGAGAGCATGAGCTCTGAAGGCAGCAGTGCACTGGCTGTGTTGGCCAAGAAAAAAGAGAAGGGGAAGAATTGTGTGGCCAACATCCGCACGGAGATTGTTGATAGGGGGGATCTGGAGGCATTGGGCATGGCCAACCCTCCAGATGAGGACAAGATATGGGTGAGGTTGGCAGAGTGTGCTCTCCTCAGGGGCAATGATCTGTGTGTCCTCCTGGACAATGCTCTGCATGCCCTAGGAGCAGAGGAGGCACAGGAAGGGGATGAGGCAGATCAGGAGGACTAGGAGGTGAGTAGGGTGACATTGCACTGCATACAGCTACCCCTTGTGGGTAGTTCAGTAATGCAGGTGTGATGTCCCCAAAAGACACCACACTGCACCCATTCCTCACTGACCACCCTTGCAGACTGCAAGAGAAGAGGCAACAGTGCCTTTGGTAAGTGGTTCAGCCATCCCCTGCAACTGACCGGCCTCTATGGCTGGTCCATAATGCAGGGGATGTTGCTGAACAGGCTTTCGCACCTGCATACATCAAACTGATGGTTGTCCAGGAACAATCCCAGATCAGCCACCCCTCCCACCCCATGTTTCTTGCCCTGCCTCCCTTGCACATCTGCTCCCTCTCCCTCCCCACAGATGAGGAGTTGAAGAAGGAGAGGGAGACCCAAATCGACCTTTGCTATGCTACAGATGTGGAGTTTGAGGCCGCTCCCTCCCCACAGACAAGGAGTTGAAGAAGGAGAGGGAGACCCAAATTGACCTTTGCTATGGTACAGACGCAGAGTTTGAGGCCAAGAGAGTGCAGGTGGGCCAGGTTGGGGAGTACGCCGGACAAGTCAAGGCTGCCCAGAAGAAGGCCAGGCTCTCTGCTGAGGAGAGGGAAGGCCTGTGCATCATGTGCAAGGCCCTTATTGATGCCAAGTACAAGGCAAATGCTGGGAGGACATTCAAGGAGGATATGGGAGAACAACTGCAGAAGACCTTCAAGCAGAAGGTCTTGGGGGCCAGGGTGTGCTTTGCCTTCAAGCACAAGAAGGTCAAACATGGCCTGCTTGACAGCCTCCTCCTAGCCTGGATGAGTGTCAAGGAGGGGGGATGAATCCTCAAGGATATTGTCAAGAAGTACAGTCCCCAAAGGGCTGTTTTTTTTTAATTTGGATCAGTGAGTTCCCCACCCCTTCTCTCAAGCTCGCTGACCTTCATTCAGGTATTAGCTGGGCTGCTTCGCAGCTCAACTTGAATTTCTCACACCCCTTGATGTTGTTCCCCTCCTTCTTTCCCACCTCACAGACATAGCAGGGCTGAACAGGCATCCCTTTTTTCTTTTTTTTTCCTGCATTTTCATTCTGAGACTGTCTTGCCATCTGCTGTCCATCCTTGCATGCTTTACCTCCCTCTCCACTAGCCTGTAGATGATTAGTGAATCCTGTCAATGTAATTATATGTGTGATGGCAACTCAGCCATCACACCTGCATTACTGAAATTGGGCTGATCAGCCTTTCAAATCAGCAGCCCAGTAGCCCTTTGCCAGAATGTGCTAGCACGCTTGCACTGGGAACCATTCCAAGTGCTAGCATAAGTCAACACAATGCCAATTTGCTAGATTTAGTACTGTATCTCATTACTAGCTATAGGGAAAGTAAAACAGCTACACAAATGGGACCTGTGCAAGCTACAGCAAAAGACCCTTGTGTTAAGACATGGTCACAGCACAACACATGACCCCCCTACTTGGCTCTGCTACCCACTTCAAAATTTGGTCCAAAACGCGGTGAACGCTTCATATCTCCTTCCTGAACTGATGGGCCCGAACCTTGCGCGGTAGCGGATGGCCAGAGTGCTTAGTCAGCAGCGTCTCACAGGAGCTTAGGAGGGGGTCCATGAATGCTCGTTCGTGGAATGGGTTGTTGAGCAAGGACTTTGCCTGTACATGTGCTTCTTGCTAGGAGCTAGAGCACTGTAGGAGCTAGGAGCTAGGCGCAGTTGTTACCTTGTAAAGAATCGTGTTGCAGAATAATACTAGCCACACCCACTTTAGCAAATTCTAGCGTGGACCGGCTGTTTCGCATTACTTGACACCGAGGTTATGTTGTACCTATAGTGCAAGGAAACGCTATTGTTGTAATCTCAGTTATTGACAGCGCCCGTGAAAAGGTCAGAATTGAAGATATCGACCAGCCAACCGCACGTGACGCAATACACTGAGAAAGGAGAGAAAGGAGAAAGGAAGTATGAATACTGCTTCTGCTTCTGCTCGAACGTCCACTACACTCAGAGGTCAAAACCCACTGACCTACTGCCCAAGAGACTACCAAAGACTACCAAAACGCGTACAGCTCTTTCCATGCCCGTACCATATGAATGAATATGTATCGCATTCGCATTCGCCCTCGCCATCCGCTCAACGCCCCCGCCTCTGCTCAACTCCCCCCCCCCGAGCGGGGTGCCTAAGAGAACTTCCACCGATTACCACAATTCACACAAGTGACAAACGTCGTCATCGGTTCGTCCGCACTCCTCGTCTGCGCCTGTGTGTAGCGCGTCTTGCGCAGGCCACAGCGGAAGCACTTGAATGCGTCTGTTTCTGCGCCTGCTTCTTCGGCACCCTTTGCTTTGAATAGGTTTTGTTCTTCGATACGCTTGGATTCGGCTTGTCTTTCTTCGGAGGCCATTTCCTGGGGTTTGGTTAGCGTTTCGTGCCACTTCCCATTCCCATTTCCAAGTTGGAGGGGGACAGGGACGGGGAGGGGGACGCACCTGCACACTCATAGTACACAGCCTAGGCACGCTCAGTTCTCCACTGACGACGGCCTCCCTCAGCCCAGGGTTAGACTTCTCCTTCAAGTTGAGGTACAGAGAGCGGATCTTTGTCCGGTATGGGTTGCCCGAGTTGTTTTTGTTGAGAGAAAGGACTTGCTCCTCGATCTTACGTGCGATCTTGGCGATTTGGTCTGATGCTGCCAGGCAGGTCAGCCGCGGTACATCCAGTACAGTAACAGTAGTAGAAGAGGTTGGGCGAGGGGCACTCACGCGCAGTACTATCACTCGCCAGAGCGTCATATAACAACCGCATACACGTATCGCGTTTCTCATCTCCAGAGTCGTTTAGCTTCACACCGTCGGTCGCTGTCGTCCGAACAAGGGAGGGGGAGAGAGGTGTGTGTGGGCCTGCGGTAGCAGGAGCGGGGGACTTGGAGGATGTGGACCCAGGGACGGAAGTTTGGATCGGTTTCGCTGTGCTCTGTGCTCAGCGAGGGTCGGGGGTTGCACTTGGGGCAGGGGGAGGACGTACGATTAACCTTCTTCGCCCCTCCTGAAGGAGAGGAACTGCCCGCCTTTTTCTCACTTTTTTGGCCTTCGACTTCTGCTTTCCAGCGCCTGACGACTTCCTTTGCCGTTTCTGCAACTTGGGCATTCGCGTGCGAGCGGAGCTTGCCAACCGCCAACCCGGCTTTCGTCTCCTACACAAGTCGGTGAGCTCCTCTCTAATACGATAAGGGAGGGGGGGGGGGAAACGCACCTTGAGCAAATCCTCAGTCACTCCATGCCCCCTCAACTTCTGGAGCAATCCAACTGTATCCTACACATGAAGAAACGCAACGCACGTGAGTACCCCTCCCGACTATGAAAATGTGGATAGGGGGCGCACGCTGTGTTTGGGCCCTTTGGACGACTCAACGACGTCTTTTACCAGACGTTTGAACTCGATGCGGTCGGACGACATGACGCACTAGTACTACGTAACGTCTCTGTTGGAGGGGTGCGGGAATTGTGATTGGAAGGAACTTGGTGGGATATTTCGGTCTTTCTTTCACGCGGGAGAGATGGACCTTACCTTAGAGTATACCTTTCGTTAGCTCGTGTGACCTGAATTTATCCTCTCTTCGACGATACTCTGAACGGCGACGCACAGAGGATGGCCAGCGAAGGAAGCATGACTGGAAGCAGCGCCACTAGCGGGAGCAATAGCGGGAGCAATGAGACCCTGAGGGAAGGCGTGGCATTACGCACATTGAAAGGGAGTTTACATTGTTTGCACCAGGTGATCTGCTGGACAGGATGCACACGCTCTCATTCTCAGAACAAGATGCTTCTCCTTCTGCTCATCCCCTCCTCCTCTCTCAACTGGGAAATCAACCATCTTCCCCCGATTCAGCGAGCAGCACCCCCTCGGAAACACAGGACCCGACAGCCGATGCGCTCGGTATAGCCCTCCTCGCACTCATGGACAGTACAAGTCCTAAACGACCTCGTCTTCATACACTTGCTATATCGCCTATCGTTTCCCCTTCTGCTTCTCCCCAACAGTCAACGTCGGCACTACCCCAGGGACATGCGAGACACTGCTCGTATCCTCACCCTCAGCCGAGGCGCAAGGCAAGGTCTGCTTGGAGCTCGAGGAATAGCTCGCCCTCCCGTTCGGTATCTTACAGCGGTGCTGAGGGGAGCGGTTCGGGAGGTGGTGCAGGTGGGGGTGGGGGTATGGGCGCGGGTGCGGGGGGAGACGGCGAGGCGATCGGGAACCGACCGAGGAGCAAGAGTCATACGAGTTTGTCACAGTACTTTGGCACTTCGCCCGTAGTGCCGCACGACATTTCCTCGATTTCCCTCCCAGTGGGGTACGATCCCCGTCCGGAGGGTGAGGAAGAAGACGATACCGAGACGGACGCGGAGACAGTGCGAGGTCGGGAAACAGAGGGCGAAGGTGAAGAGACAGAAACAGAAGCAAGACGGGCACTCCTCTTCCCTCCCGCCGCTCCCTTTTCCCGCGCTAAGAGCCTAACGGACATGCCTACTCTCTCGGGGCTCTCCTACCCTCCCCAACCTCCTGCCTACTCCCGTGCCGACCCCGCGTTCACCACTCTGGACGGACATGCCGGACCTTCGGTACCCATCCTCCCCCCGGTGCATGGACTGGATATAGGGAGGGGCACAGCTATTCCAGGACGGAAAGAGGCGTGGAGGGTTACGCTGGAAGACGTCAACCTGCGTCTGCTGAATCGGGGGCGTAATCGACGTGCCAAAACAGTCCGAAGCGACACCGAGACCGAGACCGAACCGGTGCGCACGCCCCGCTCACCCTGAGTACGAGTACAACTGACGTTCTCTAGCTCCCGACGGCGCGCATCCCTCCACCTAAACCGCGCTCCGACCGACCGCCCCTAGCACGCCTAGTCCCCCTATTCATGTTCTTCTGTCGCGGCCTATCCATCGTTCCCGCCGTGCTGGGCACCTGCTGGCACCTCTATCTCGCGTACAAGATCCCTTGGCGGTGGGGCCCTTTTAGCGAGAATGGGGTGTTTAGGTTTGGCCCGGTTTCACCGGGAAGAGAGGGGGAAGATATCGTCGGCATGGGAGGGATGGACCATGCGATTGTTTCCTGCTGGGTGCGTCCAAGCCCACATCCTTAACATTAGTTAACCCCTTCTTGGGCAGAGCATCGCCACAGGCGTATGGTGCTACCTCCTAGCCTCAGGCCTCCTCCGCCGTTGGCTAACATACTATTCCCTCTTCCCCACCCTTATCCGGCAACTCTCCCTTCAAGCAATCTGCTGGTCCTCCACCCATCTTACAATCCAGGTCTTCGGCCCCTCCCGCCCACTCACAGCCTGGGTCGTAATAGGCACCACGACGTCCATATCGCACAGCGTGCAGATCTGGGTCACGTCCAACATCCGCCTGGCGAGCAAGGACGAGCGCGAGAGCAGACGATGGTTCGCCGTCCCTTTGGGCCTGGATTATTGGCTTGGGAAGAGGAAGATGGATTGGGCCAAAGTGGTGAGGCAGAGTGGGATCCCGCTGTTTGTCCTGTATTTCGTGACGTGTTGGACTATGCTCTTGGATCGGGAACTGATCAGCAGGTGAAGGGGATGCCGGGAGCTTGGAAGTACGAAAATCTCGGAATCTGAATTACGAACTCGACGAACGAGAAAAAAAGGGAACTCAAGTAAATGAGAATCTGACGACTTATATACCCCTTATTATAAATACGCTACGCTGCAATGTGTTTTTGTTGTACTTTAGAGCTATTGGATATATCTGGAAGGGAATTCTTGAAGGGATGAAGTGCCCCTTTTGAGCTGTCGTCAGATCTCGACTTTGCTATTCATATCGACTCAGGATAGCCGTTGCTTCGTTGACATTTGGATTTGTGAACTGGAGATGCTTGAGTATGGAGCGAAGGGGCGATTGCCACTTGTGTTGACTTGGTGTTGAGGAAATAACACGTGATCGACGGCGAACAATGACGTTTGACGTCCAATGGTGGTAACAAGGTAATCCAGTCAATATGTAGTACTGGACGAAAATGATGTCTAATCGTATACCATTGCATACGGTGAATCCCAAAGGTAGAGGTAATTCCTCCCATCATGGAAAGCTTAAGGCAAGATACTGTCTGTCCGGAGTTGAATTATTCCGGGACCCAGGTTGGGTCCGACTGTCTTCTGCCTCTCATCGGAAGCAAACCCGTCCCATGCACACGCACGGTCCCATTGCAAGCCAGGCGCCGATGAACAGACGGCTGAGCCAACTGAAGCAGACTGCCCCTCTAGGCGCAGGTGGGAGCGTACCTGGAAGCAGCGGTAGCAGCAGTTGGGCTAGTAGCGCTCCTTCAACTCCTGTTTCCAACCCTGCTAAAAAACTACATATCACTATCGGAGGCTGGAATGGATCGGGTAAGACGGCCAGTCTACCCGGCACTCCGGCTTCGGCTTCTGGATCGAGGACGAGAGCGGGAACGAGGTCTGCCAGTGCGGTAGAGAGCCCTCTTGCTAAGAAGGGGAGGACGCTAGAAGGATCACTGCAGCGATTGATACAGCAGCTTCGAAAGTATGTCGCTGGTTCGCGGTGATTTGTTGTCACTGATCATATTGACAAGACGCGATAATTATGCATTCTTCTTACAACCGGTGGATGAGAAAGAGGTACCGGGATACCGGAGTGTCATCAAGCATCCTATGGATCTTGGAACGATGGGGCAAAAGGTGGACAAAGGACGGTATAGATCGATAGACGAGTTTAGGGTGCGACTCCTGATCATGGAGTGTCAATCAGCAGGCTGATACCTTTACTAGGAGGACTTTCTCCTGGTCACAACCAACGCGAAAACGTTCAATCCACCTTCCACTATCTTTCATTCCGAGGCTGCCAAGCTCGAAAAGTATGGTCTAGACGCCATCAACAAAGCGCAGCAGAAGTTGACCGAGGCGGAGCTACAAGCACAAGCTCTTGCAGAGACGCAGGCTGCATCGGCAGTAGCTGCCCAAGCAGAATACGAACTCCGCCATCAGGACGATCTTATCAAGGTGGAGAGCGACGGTGAAGGAGAGGATGGGATGCGCGCCGAGTCCATGGAGCGCGGCAGCCGCTCAGTTTCTGCTGCCCCGACACCTGGAGGAGGCGCAACTCAGATGCGGCTAGGAAAGCGAAGAGGCGGGTACAGACCGAGAGGGGCACCGAAAAGTCTTGATGAGCTGTGGAAGATACCTGGACCTGAAACGGGGATTGGGGCTTTCCCCCGTGGGAGCGACTTCGCAGGATTAATGCTCGAGTTTGAGATCATGGGTGCGTATGTCATTCAAGGCGAGAATGTTTGTGTTGATTATGTGTTGTTCATAGGAAGGAAAACTCTTACAAAAAAGGAACGAATAAAGCTGGAACGACACCCGTTGAAGCGCCCTATTGCGCCCGACGGTAGCATCGACTACGCGGAGAGTATGTGTTATATTCAAAGTTCTCGATATCGCGTCTTATGCAAATGTAGTGGAAGATCCGTTCTCCTTCCTCTCTGTGTTCCTACCAGAGCGCTTCGGCTTGCCTGAGCTAGACCTCGTCCCCGCCGCTTCCACAGGTAACTTGCCGAAGCAAAAATATGAAACGCCTGCCTATCCTAGCGTATATGCACCCGTTTCTGTTCCTCCAACTATCATCTCCATGCGGACGGCTGCTGAAAACGCGCCTGTCGAGGACGAAGGTGTTCACTGGACCGTCCAACGACCGGGAATGAACAGCTACCGAAGCTATGTTGCACGAGAAGAGGAGGAAATGCGCAAGCAGGCCGAACGAGACAGCCAAGCCAAAGAACTCGAAGCTCGTGACCCCGCACCGACAGATTGGGGTAGTTTCGGCACGCTACCCATGAAGTGGTCTATTGGTGACAACACTTGGTACTCCGATGAATCGAAACTCCACATGAAGATCCGCGAGGACATCCGGAAGGCTGCTGAGCGCCTCCGAACAGGGAAAAGGAAGGCTGATGCCAAGCCAAGTGACGAGCGCCAGAAGGAGCTGGAGAAGGCTGCATTCGGTGGAGAGGCTTGGCTCAGAGATGTTGTCTATGGCGGGCCCGAAGGCATTGCTTACGTGCAAAGCGTGGCCTCGTTTGTCGACAAGGCGATGAAGTACGCTCAGGAGGGCAATGAAGAAACCACTGGTGACTCGCGGGTCAAGATTGAAGAGGATATCGACATGGATGATGCCCAGGAGCGACCCTCAAAGCGGAGACGCATCGAGCAGGTCGATGAAAGCGTTGTTTTGCCTACACCATTGCCAGAATACGTTTCCGACCTAGTGATCGACCCCCTTACTAGCGGTCTACACGAGATTCTTGACCGCATCGGGGAGGCGATAGAAGATCCAGACCTCCCTCTTCCTCGGCACCTTCCACAGCTCGGCAAACACCTCGAAAATTCAGTCAACCTAGTGCCCGAAGCAGAAGGCCGACTGTCGGAGCTTAACAGTGTCGTCGGAGATCAGCTGGATATGGGAGCTGTGCTCCGGGCACCGGACGAGTTCTTCTATAAGGATGATGAGTGGACCGAACGAAGTAAGAAGGCCCCAGCGGCCGAGGAGACGAACACATCAACACCTATAGCCGCGGCGAATGGTGCCACACTCTCGCCGGCCTCTCCAGCGTACATCAACTATGGGCTTGCCAAGGCTGCAGAATCGATCCTCCGGTTGTCACAGGCAGTTCACCCTGCGCCATCCACATCCTCCACCCAAACGTCGGACGGGACCGCGGTCGACGCTGTGGCTGGTTCAGAAGATGGAGAGAAAGTGGACAACGCGAGCGACGAAGACCCTGAGATGAGGAAGCTCAGGCTCAACTTGCTCACCATGACCAGGCATGTTCCCCTGGCTGAGCTGGCTCCTCTCAAACCGGAGCTCATACCCGGTCACGTGAGACATCTATTCCCTGCTAGAATTGGTGGTGAGGGTGAGTGAGCGTTTGCCTGTATCCTGTGTTGCTGTGTTTTATGGGAGAAGATGATAGAGCATTTGTATCAGTAATAGACAACAATAAGATGTTTTGACGCGTAATCGGTGTGTCTCAGAACAAGCTTTTAACGTGACACGCGACCATGGTACGCGTCCATACATAGTCAACAAAAAGACCATATATGCGCTTGAGAATAGACACAAGCCGCCTTATTGTCTCCTTTAGCAATAAAAACTTTATTTGTATTGATGAGGGTTCAGTTGACGTGAACGAACGGTGAGGCAGACGCGTGGCCGGTATCTGTTGGGGCAAGGAAGACGCGACTCTAGTGGTCCGTGCAACCGGCGAAGCGCGTCCACGTTCTGCGTCCGTCGACCTTTCTGTGCGACCCTTCCTCCCCGGCTCGTTGTCTGCCCCTCATCCATCACCACAGTCTTTTCATTCTTGCCCCTCTCTCAAACTATTCAAGTGCGTGCCCTTTCACATTCTACACTCTGGATGGGCGATTTGAGGCGCATATATTGATTCGACGCGTATTTTTCGTCTGTCCTGGTCATCCGAGATGGAGCAGAACTATGCCTCATGTCAATATGGCGCCGTTTGCGGTCTTTCCAGCGCCATGTTCTGCGACTACACGCATATACTGACGTGCCTTTACCTTTTGTAGTATGAGGGAAATCGTTCATCTCCAAACCGGCCAGGTGCGTCTGCTTCTATGCAGTTTCATGTATGCTTGCTGACCGCTTCTTGGTTTCCCTGTACATCCCGGTAGTGTGGTAACCAAATTGGTATGCCGTGTTTTTCCTCCACCTGACTGACCTTCTGGGCACTCATATCGACGCGTTTTTCCTAGGTGCCAAGTTCTGGGAGGTCGTCTCTGAGGAACATGGCATTGACAAGGATGGCTCGTGAGTATCTTCTTACATCAGTTATGAGTCCCCGCCAACGCCCTTTGGCGGACGTAGATACAAGGGAAAGGAGGATATGCAGCTCGAGCGTATCAGCGTCTACTACAACGAGGCCGGCGGTACGGATATTAGTGCTCCTGGTCGATATCGCAGCTAATGAGTGGTGCTACAGGAAACAAGTACGTTCCCCGCGCTGTACTTGTGGATCTCGAGCCCGGAACCATGGATGCCATCCGCTCCGGTCCCTACGGTGCCCTGTTCCGTCCTGATAACTTTGTCTTCGGTCAGAGTGGTGCAGGTAACAACTGGGCGAAGGGCCGTGAGTATCTGTTCTTATGACCAGACGACGGTTTGTTGACTCTTGGTCTCAGATTACACTGAAGGTGCTGAGCTTGTTGATTCCGTTCTCGATGTTGTCCGCAAGGAAGCTGAGGGCTGCGACTGCCTGCAAGGGTTCCAAATCACCCATTCGCTTGGTGGCGGTACCGGTGCTGGTATGGGTACTCTCCTTATCTCCAAGATCCGTGAGGAGTACCCCGACCGCATGATGTGCACTTTCTCCGTCGTTCCCTCTCCCAAGGTCAGTTTTCCTTCGACAACCTACAATCCATTCATTAGCCCACCCTCGACAGGTGTCCGATACTGTCGTTGAGCCGTACAACGCTACACTGTCCGTACATCAGCTTGTGGAGAACTCTGACGAAACCTTCTGCATTGACAACGAGGCCCTGTACGAGATTTGCTTCAGGACACTGAAGCTCACCACCCCGACTTACGGTGACCTCAACCACCTCGTGTCTATTGTGATGTCCGGCATCACCACTTGCCTCCGCTTCCCAGGTCAGCTTAACTCTGATCTGCGGAAGATGGCTGTCAATCTGGTTCCGTTCCCTCGTCTCCACTTCTTCATGGTTGGCTTCGCTCCCCTCACTGCCCGGGGAAGCCAGCAGTTCCGTGCTGTCACCGTTCCTGAGCTCACACAGCAGATGTTCGATGCCAAGAACATGATGGCGGCTTCCGACCCCAGGCACGGTCGTTATTTGACTGTCGCTGCCATCTTCCGTGGCAAGGTCTCCATGAAGGAGATCGAGGAACAAATGCAGAATGTACAGAACAAGAACTCGGCCTACTTCGTCGAGTGGATCCCCAACAATGTGCTGGCCGCTCAGTGCGACATCCCGCCTAAGAACTACAAGATGTCCGTCACATTCATTGGGAACTCCACCGCTATTCAGGAGCTCTTCAAGCGTGTTTCCGACCAGTTCTCCGCAATGTTCAAGAAGAAGGCGTTCTTGCACTGGTACACCCAGGAGGGTGTAAGTCCCCGTTCCTGGAAAGCCACGTGTGTGTGCTGATCAATCCATAGATGGACGAGATGGAGTTCACCGAGGCAGAGAGCAACATGCAAGATCTCGTTGCGGAGTATCAACAATACCAGGATGCCACGTGGGTACTATGTCTCCCGGTGCGGCCCGATACTGACGATTGCCTAAAGGGTTGAGGATGATGCGGAGTACGAAGAGGAGGCGCCTCTGGATGACGCTGAGTAAAGGTCTTTCGAGTAAATGTCTTCTATACCCGAAGGACATGTGACAAGGATCGGCGATACATCTGCTTTTGTTCTTGCTCACTCTCCTAGATACGCTCATGGTCTTCCTCTCAAACGGCTCTTATTTGGGTCAGTAGCGAGCTCCGTATGAAACGTTTCTGATAATTTACGCTGCCTTTCTTCTCTCGTACAACTATCCAAACTCTATTCCTTACGGAGCCGAGAACGCAGTCCCGTTTCTCAGAATGCCGCGGACACCATGAAAAGGGAAGAAGTTCAAGCATGTGACGCGATGCTTCGCGAATGAAACGTGGTTATCTAAAATTGTGGCCTCTTGCCTTCAACCCACATGTCGGACGACTATTTCGAGTGTCTCCGGCAAGGACTGGCTCTGTCCGTGTATCTCTCCGAGGGTTGTGGCGCCTTCCAGCACCTATTCTCGTCCCATGTCCCCAAATGGCCCGCAGCACATATGTTCAGCGGCGCAATTCTTCATCCAACAGTGTTCCTACGATGATTGAGCCTTCCAATCGGTCCGACGGAGGAGCGGCTCAACAGAGACCCCTCCCCAATGCAATTTTGGCCGATCCTGACACAGAACACTCGGACCACCGCGAAGGACAATGTTGTGACTACCTTATTCGGTTAATCTGTGTGCTCGTTCGGGACAGACGGCCGCGAGGCTGAAGTTTCTCACTCGCAAAGTCGATCGGTCTGTCGAAGGTGGACAGTGGAAGAAAACAGGACGCAAAGTTTGATATATGTTCTGCCCGGCTCTCAGTTTCGGCTGGACCATCCATAAATACACTGACACTGCTTGCCTTAGGACTACGGCCTAAAAAAAACCATAATTCGAGCGTCCCTCTTTCAGCTACAATGCGCATTCTGCTCTCCGTGGTACTGACCGCTGCTTTTACGACCCCTCGCAGCTTGGCCGCTGTGATGGAGAAGAGGATCACTTACGCTGAAGCATCAGCGATTGCAGCCAGCAACATTGCACCTGCCCTGGCAGCAACTCCAACCGGGGCCTATGCCAGTGATGATCCCAACGACTCGTACTACGACCTCTTCCAGGAGGAGACTCCTGAGGCTGTTCGTACTCGAGTTGGTCTTGGCCCTCTTGGAGCAGACATTCTCGGGCCCCAAAACATCCCAATGGAGGAGCAGTACCCAGACTTGTTGGCGCCACCGTCTACAGATGCTGGAACCGTGTATGTAGAGCCCACATAGTGTGAGATGTCGCTCACGTCACTCCAGGCTGAACTCCAAATGGTCCTTCAGCCAGTCTCACAATCGCCTTCAGAGCGGTGGTTGGGCTCGTCAGCAAACCGGTACCACTGCCTAATAACGTATCCACTGATTCTGACGCGGCTACAGAAACCGATATGCCCATCGCTACCACTATGGCAGGAGTGAACATGCGTCTGACGGCCGGTTCTATTCGGTATGCACTGCCTACCGGAATGCAGGCGCATCTGACCTATGTTTAGTGAGATGCACTGGCATACCGCAGCGGAGGTACGGTTTTACTGCACATGTAGATAACAACGGCCTGATATTAGACTTCCATAGTGGTCGTACATGCTGGCTGTGCGTTCTGGTCTATTCTTATCCCTGCAGCGCATGAACTCATCTGCCGTAGGGAAGCGCCCGAATTACTGCCATCAATGCAGACGGCCGAAACTATATCCAGGACATTGTGAGTCGTCTTCACGTAAGCCCATGCTTAGTCTTATTCATGAGTCATCTATAGTACCCGGGTGATCTTTGTAAGTATTTGTCTACCACGAACAACCGTTCCTGTGGCTTGACATTCCCGTCGCGCGGGTCTAGGGTACTTCCCTGCTGGCATTCCTCATTCGATCCAGGCTTTGAATGACACAAATCCGGAGGGATGCGAATTCCTGCTGGTCTTCGACAACGGCGCTTTCAGCGAGGATTCGACTTTCATGCTGAGTGATTGGCTCGCACATACCCCCAAGGAGGTACTTGCAAAGAACTTCCATACAGACATTTCCATGTTCAATCACATCCCTGAAAATGCCCTGTATATCTTCCCCGCTCCTGTGCCGCCTTCCATCGAGGTCGACTGCGAGCTGGCCGACGGCCCGACTGGCACTACCCCATCGCCCTATGCTTTCCACTTGTCACAGATCCCCGGCACTCCTCTAGAAGGTGGATCGGTCAAAGTTGTTGACAGCAGGACCTTCACCGTCTCCACCACGATCTCTGCGGCAGAAGTCACTGTCAACGCAGGTGGTTTGCGAGAGCTGCACGTGCGTCCACTGATACGAGCCCATATGATGTTGCTCACAGGGAACGCAGTGGCATCCTACCCAACCTGAGTGGACCTTCTTTATGTATGTCACAAGATTAATTCGGTAATCGTGTCTTGACACTCTCTCAGCGAGGGCGAGGCTCGCATAACCTCTTTCGCCTCCTCAGCTTCTGCCCGTACTTTCACTTACCAAGCGGGTGACATCGCGTACATACCTCCATCCTGTAAGCCGTTCGTTCGCAGGCCTGAAACTAAACTAACCCCAGAAAAAGACGGTCACTATGTTGAGAACATCGGCAACAGCACGCTCAAGTTCCTAGAGATCTTCAACTCTCCTTATTATCAGGACATCAGTCTGACTCAGTGGCTGGCGCTGACCCCGCCAGAGATGGTTTCGGTGGGTGTAATCACGTTCCATGTTGACTCGCCACTCAGTAGTTCACAGGCTCATTTGCAACTCCCCATAGATTTCGTGATGAGCCTCAACAAAACAAAGGCGGTTGTCGTATAAACAGAGCTAAGTGAAGTCTCCCTAGCCAACCGTCGGACCTGTGCCCTTGTACTTCGAAAATCCAGACAAATGATTATGTGTTGATCCGAGGAATAAGACATAGTATGATATCAGAGTGCAGACATGGCTGCCACGATGCGAGGCTTGAGAACTGAAGAGGAGACATCATCTGAATTGGTAATCACCACGGACCACCACCGAGCTGAATGCATGGTGTCACATTGCATACGAGCACCCCGGGAAGAATCAGGCTCACCTGCTCGAGCTCTGCATCGATCACATCTCCAGACTCCATCTCCAGCATTTTCGGGGTGTCGCTATCTCGTATCCGCCCACCCTCGTAGAGGAATCTCAGCGTGCCCTTCTTCTTGTTGAAGCGTTTCTACGATTACCCCCATTTAGGTCAGCGTGGGACATGTTCGGCGACTTCGCAAAGGTTGCTCACGTAGGCAGCCTCGAACACCTTCCCGAATTGGGTTGTCGCACTCACGTCGACCTGACATTCTGGCGCCAAAGGTCAGCCGAGCACTTGAGCGCATCGGTATGGAAGACGACGAACCCTGTCCTTGACACTGAATAGTTAGGCGCAACTTCTTTTTTGCCTGAGATTCCGAGGGCCGTTCTTCTTGTTGCTGCTCGTCAATCTCCTCCTCCTCCTCGTACGATGGCATGACTTGCTGGAAGCTGGAAATGGATTGTCGGTGGGATGACGCGCGGAACGAAGGCGGAATGATGAGGCCACCACCACAAGACGCGACCTGCGCGTTTACGTGACCCTGATTCGCCGCGTAGACCTGGATGCAACTGCATCGTCTGACCTCGTGCGGTTATGATCTCGGGCAGGCCATTACTGGATTGAAAATTTGTAATAATAAAAGCAGTCCAAATGAGCCTCAAATTGGCCCCAGGTCTAGTTTCTGTGGTGTGGTAGGCTGGAGACAGTGCACGAGTTTGCCCAAATGATAGGGTTTCCAGGCCCTTTCCCTGTGCTAATTGATTTCCCTTATGCAGCATTGCCAACACCACTCTGAGTTTGGTGGGGAATCTGCGCAACCTGCACACAGCTCTCAATACTGGTCAAATTGAAACTCATCTTATTCAAGTATTGTTCTGACATTCTATCTTCACGATTCTTTCTAAACACGCAAGAGGTTTTGATGTTGTGGGAGGTGTCCAAAACATCGGTGTTACCTGAGCGCAGATCGATGCAGCCGCGCTGCAGCGAAATATCCGTACGTGACCGCTGACATGCACGAAGAGCGCGTTGCTCGGCCCATTTTATGGCAAAGTTTATCACGTTATGATCCTTACACTGCAACATACAAACTGAGTACAACAGGCGTCAACTGCAAAGAAAACAGATCAAGCGATGTGGCTATGTGACACAAACGTAATGGTATCACATATATCCTTGACCTCCCAACTGTGGACAGAAAGTCAACTCTAGATTACTAGAAGGTACAAAAAACACTGACCTGCTCGATATTTGCGTCTATATGATCTTCATCATCCATTCCAAGGCTATCGGGTGTATCAGCCTCACCCACAGGGCGATCCTCATACCGATATCGTAATATTCCTCGCTGTATGTTGAATTTCTTCTACCAAGGTGTAAGCATATACCGCTTGTGACTCCGATCCATAAATAGGCGCCATACCTCAACAGCGCGGAAGATTTTCGAGCAAGGGAGAGTACGGGAGAGAATCATCTGCATGCCTGGGAAAGATGAGTTCTTGTAATGAAACAAGAAAATCAATGTGTACGAACTCCTTCCATCATCCATCATCAACGTGAGCCGAACCTTTCGCTTAGCCTCAGTGTTCGACGACGGGAGCGGTTCGTTGTCCGTCTTCTGCTGCTGGACTTCATTGAGCCCCTCACTCGAGGAGGTAATCATTTGGGACGTTTGAGGTACTAGCTGTCCTCCCCCCTCTTCTCCACAAGGCTTTTCCGAATTGTCGTCGTCCGAATCAGGCTGGCGTGCGAGAGGCATGGTTGTAATGGTAGTGGGTAGAGCGCGATGCAGAGGATGCAGTGATCAGTGGGTAATTATAATGAGCATTGCCGCTCAATCCCCGCCATCCACTCGTTGATCACACGTGTTTCTGCACCGGGCAAGAAAAAGAATTCTTTTGTTGCCGCTTTTCCGCCTTTGTATGACTGGCCGTGTTGTCCGGCACGATATTGCTGAGCAGCTGAAAACTGATAGCCCACAGTAGTATTGAGAAATGTATATGTAAAGACCAACCGTGTTACCCAAAGGAAACTAAACAATAAACAGAACCTTCGAGGAAGGGAGGCAATGATAATCGTTGTTGACCCTAGTTATGTTTCGCAAAACGTGTTTTTTCCAGGAGTCTGTTGAGGTTTCGAGCGTTCTTTATTCTCTCCAGTTCAGCTTCGGTCCCAGCAATGCGCATGTTTATTTCTTCGTCAGTTCCACTTTGAAACGTTTGAGCATCAGGTAATCGCAGAGGTCCAAAACCGATATTCTCCACATTCGGCGCGATCGTACGCAACAATACCGCGACTTGCTCCGGATTACGAATGTAGGCGTTCCCAATGCGTAAACAGCAATGTTGCGATTTCGCGAGCACCTTATTCCATATTCGCAGGAGATTCGGGTGTACAAGTGGATCCAGGTTCATCTCGATTGCCACTTCTTGAAGGGCAGGGCATGCTAGCAAGAGCGCGATGAGGCCCATGTTAGTCACCTGAGCTGGTTCGCATGCGCACGAGGAGTTCTCTTCGGTGACGCGTAGTACTCGCAGCCACCGCCAAGCCCTCATTTCGGAAAGATCCTTGTCGGTGAAGACGAATGAATAGTGTTCGAACACAGACAGATGCAGAATTTGAAGTTTGTCGCATTTTAACAGCGGTCGATAGCATGCAAAGGTGAAACGGTCCCAAGTTTGTGGGTCCTTGATATCATCTATGGTGACGCTTGACGGGACGTGCACATGCTGTCGTGTTTCCAGGGGAGGATAGGCAGACAACGCTATAAATTCGAGTTTCGGGCAATTGTTCGCTATTGCTTCGACTACAGTGTGCACGTACTCCTTCGTTCCAACCATCGACAACACGATAGACTGAATACAGGACAGCCTAGTGAGAGTGATAAATGCGCCGATGAACCCCTTGTCCGGATACACGTCAATAACAGCATCTAGGTTCAGATTGAGAGACCAGCTCCGTAGCGAGAAAAAAGGTGAGGGGCAGCATCCTTCAAAATCTGACAATGCGATGGGTCCACGAAGGGAGAGAAGGCTCTCGGAGGCCACCTGGGGCTTCCACTCCAGTTTAGGCAATGAAGGCAGAGATCCGATGCTTTTGAATAACGGTGCCGTATAAGGGATGTCTCTCAGCTTGAGTTCCTTCATTGTTGTGCATTCTTCCAGGAAAGACGTCAGAAATCTGTCCAGAAGGGCGAAGACCGGGGAGACGTAATGCAGGCAGTCGTCTGAAGTGTCATAAGTTCGGGAAGGAAAAGGCAGAAGTCGCCACATTCGAGACAAATAATCCCGCAAAGCGCCCCAAGAAGTTGCATCAGCGGTGTGGGCACAGTGAGTTCGGGCACAAGGTCATCAAGGAAGAATGTGAGACGGACCGCGCGCAGAGACTCCGGCATAACAAGACATATGGCGTGAAAACTGTTTGCACTTCGAACCTCGAAGTTCACTTCGAAAAGACTGGGAAATAGCGACAGAGAAGGGCGGAAGAGGAGAACTGCGAGAAGGCAGTCGAGGGAACCATTCGATTCTTGATGGTACGTGAAGATACGGGAATGCTTCGTCCGACGATAGATCCGATCCCGTGTTGTGTGGTTTATTGGTCTGACGAGTTCCTGCTTATGCTCAGACACAGCAATAATCATCGCAGTAACAAATCATACTCACGAGCGTATTATCTACCCCTATCCCGATCATGTCCTCGGGGAACAGCTGCCAAATTCTCGAGGGCGTCGCATCTCGCCACACGACAGCGAGTGCGGCCTCGTGGAAGCACTTGGAGACCACAGTATAGGAAGCTAGCGACTCGTCGCTCAAGTGAATGAGAATAGATGACAGAACATCCCGGTTCGAGAAGAGTTCATGCATGTGAACGCAAGCGAATAGCAAGGGAGCGTGTACCAGCTATACGCCTCTCAGCAGTCGGTTAGCAATCGAGATCACTTCGACCAGGGCCACGAGCAGAGGTTCCGTTCCTATCCGAGTACGACGGGTCTTCGTGACGAGTCCGTTTTCGGCGATGCTTCTCCAATTGAGAATATCTCAATGCAATGTATTCGGCGGGGAAGTACAAGGAGCAAGAAGAGACGAGGAGTAACCCAAGGAGCGGGGTATAAACTTTGCACCGCCACTGAGGGATGACTAAATGACGTAGCCCCCGAACCAACTGGGATGATCATTAGTACCTCGCAGCCATAGCTCGCTCAGCAACGCGAACGCTTGTTCAAGTATCCAAGTCTGCTTTCCTCCCATCTTCATTACACAATACTGACTGCGATCAACTAATACTGACGTGCTACCTGTACCTTGTGGTCGACAAGAATAACATACAAAAAATACGTGGAGGCGCAGCGCTAAAATGACGGAGCTATTACGGTTACTCCAGCAGTCTGTGGAACCGGATTGCCCGGTGGATAGTGTCGATTCAGACGTCCCCCTCCGCGTAGTGGCACTCTTCGTTATACTGGCTGTATCGAGCTTTGGTACGCGCGTCTGTGTGCTGCGCAACATGACGGGTTACTGAAGGCGCGCTATGCCCCGCTTAGCTGCAATGTTCCCGACGTTTGCTAAGCGTGTCAGCTACCTTCACATACCATCCCTGGCATTCTTCATGGCGAAGCACTTTGGAACAGGCAAGTCATCGTTTCTCGGGTGCCTGCAAGCTGTGTCCACGCACAGGTTCGCTAAACGCCGATTGTTTTCTGTTTTCCTAGGGGTCATTATCGCCACAGTCTTCATACACCTGCTGAACAAGGCTTATTCAGCCCTCAGCGACCTCTGCTTGAATGTGAAGATCGATAGCCATTGGCCCGGTGTGATTGTGTACGTAGATTTCCATTGATTTTGCACAAGCTCGCAGCTCATGCGGAAATTTTACGCGATGTAGCATGATATCATGCCTTGCGATATTCTTGGTCGAATGTAACCTATTTCTGTACTTCGGGTCTTCCGGGACTGTGACTGATCAAAGACTCCACCAGATTGTGCGACTTCTTACGTCGAGCACTTGGCGTCGAAGCCGTCTGTTATCGACAAGTTCTTACAAACACCGGTAGGTGACTATCGCGATGATCCGGTAGCGGATGGAGAAGCTCCAGAGGGGCCAGAAGACCTGGATGCCGTCCGCGACGGCGAACCACACATCGCGAATTCTGATGATCCTGAGCGTGACACACACTATTGGGACGGCTATCTCCATGAGCACCATGCGCATGGACGTAAAGCCCTTACTCATCGTGAAAGCGCTGTGCAAATTCTTGGAGTTGTAGTGAGTTTGTCTGTGGACCCCCTGAAACGCCTTGTCCTGTATGATTCGCTCACCATTGACATTTGTGCAGGTCCTGCAAGCAGGAATCATGTTGCATTCGATCATCATTGGCTTGACCCTGGTGGTTACGTCGGGGCCAAATTTCAGTGGGTGGCTTTCTCTTGTTCCTTCTAGAATTTCTAACGTAACCCTTTTTTGCTGCATTCCACAGTCTCGCTACTGCTCGCGATTATCTTTCACCAACTCTTTGAGGGTCTTACACTTGGTGTGCGGCTGGCCGCCCTTCCCCTCAGCCGGAAATCTATCATCCCTTACGTGCTCGCCCTTGCTTTCGCCATAACAACACCGATCGGTATCGGGGCCGGTTTGCTCGGTCGTTCATTCAACCCTCGCGGTGAGTGTCCATCAAATTCCGGGTTCGCCACCGCCCCCGCTTCCACTTCCTTTGATTGGCCGCGTAAACGTTGTTGAGTTTGCTCATGCGGTGCTTTTGATCAGGTCTAACAGCACTCCTGATGAGCGGGATAATGTCGGCGATCAGCGCCGGCGTGCTCATGTATTCGGGCTGCGTCGAGCTGCTCGCGGGCGACTTTCTGGAGAGTCACGGTGTGAGGGACAGCTCGTGGAAACGACAAGTGCTCGCGCTAGTATCGTTATTTGCAGGCGCGGCGGCAATGACCGTCAGCGGGTGAGTGCTTCTACATACTACACTCATCATCCCACCATACCGGCGCCACCACTCCGACATATTCCCCACGTTGGCATTGCGGGGTCGTGGCCGGTGCCGACGATACGGGCAGATATGTGGCTGCAGGCCGCGTGCTCCGTTGTGCTCGTTCTCGTGCTCGGGCCATATGACACAAGCTGACCCTAACGACCGGCAATCTGCACTAAACCCTATTTGCGGCACATGAAAACCCAACCAAAGCTTGTGAGTCGGTCATTGTTCTCTCCGCACTAGACGGGGTGTGCGGGCAACATCAGGACTTACCCCGCGTTTGGTCTAGTTGGGACTGAGCTTTCATTTTACTGGGTTCTGTGGTATTTGGAAGGAACGGTGGATTGATCAACTAGGATGGAAGGGATCTCTATGTTGTGGATGATTCAAGAAGTACCGAAGTGGGGCGGACAAGGCTCGGAGGGGGATGAGCTAATACAAATCGAGAAGCAACGGATGGATGGAACGGTACCGATGTACTAATGTACGATGGATGTACGATCCTACCATCATAGCCCTTATGCAGGAAAACCAGGGACGTATTTAGTCCTTATGCATTCCACTACTGATCTCGGGAGATCACCCGCTCTTCTGAGCCGCGCTGCTGCACCATGTGCTCATGCGTGGGGTGATGCCCTCAGCCCCTGGCGCATACAAGCAGTAAGCAGTAAGCAGTCGGCAGTCGGGAGGACGAACCTCGACCGGCAGACAGCCGTCAGACGTCATGCAATGTCAAACATCAAGGGCTGGACCGGTGAGATTGGCACCTAATCCTGATATTTCACGGGCGCTTCCGAGTGTAGCATGTGCTCTTCCGATGGGATTAGCGTAGGACGAGGGCGAGGACGACGTAGGACCGTAGGACCGTATGGCTGTATGGCTGTATGACGCCGACTGGGAGCGCCGGGGATATAGCCCCGCGGGCGCGGTTGGGTGGCCGGTGCCGGTCGCTCGGTCGCGCTCGTTGTGGTTTCGGCGGTTGGCGCTGACAGCGTTGTGGCTGAGGACTGCGGACGTTAGTGCCAGTGTTACCTTGGTGTGGTCGGCGTCTACCACATGGTCAGCAGGGGGAAGAGCAGCACCCGGTCCTCGCCGAAGGTGCGCCCGACCAACCCGACATTCCGAGTTCCCGACGCTCGGCCCTCCAACACCTATACCGTGCCAGTACCTGGGCCTTGTCCAAGATGCAGAAGCTCCCGCGACCGCCTAATCCCTAGGCCGGGGTTGTTGGGGCTTTGCGACAGGCAACCGGAAGCTGAGAACCTGTCTTTCCCCGCCTGCTGGGAGTACTTGTTGGTGCTGGGTTAGCCACTGGCGTTCCGGCTGCGGGGCGGCAGACACAAGGACGGTTCGAACCGTACCCGCGGCATGCGTACCGACCGTCCGTATGCGTGTAGCCGAAGGGTTATGTCTCCGCCAGCTGGGGTCGCGGTGCCAGGAGTCGGGAGTCGGGAGTGGGGACAGTCGGTGCCAAGCGCCCAGGGGATATGTCGGCGTTTGTGCTTAGAGGCGAAGGCTGGGTGGGCTGGGCTGCGGGCATCAGTGGGGCCGGACATTGGTTTTCCCCGGGCCGACAAGCTGGGGATGACCAGGCATGGTGCGGTTGTTGGGTTGTCGGTGGCTTGCAGTGCTGGGTACAACGCCGCGTTGTTGGAGGGACGGGCCGGGATGTGGGCGGAGGGTCAAGTCCTCGGACTGGATGTTGCCTGGTTGCAAGGGATTGGGAAGGGAGGGGAAATGCCGGCCGAGGGCTGTGCTCGTCTTGACAGCCGCCCATATGCATGGAGGTCTGTGCACAGGTAGGAGAGTGGGGGGACAGACCGGGTGAGGGGTGTCAGGGGGTCTCGTTGTGGGTGTGTACCCCCGTGTGTGATCCAAGTGTCCGTGAATCTTGTCTGAGGTGATGAGAGATGTTTCTCCCATGTTCTCTATTGTAGACCCGCACCGCAACGCCCAACGGTTCGTTCACAGTCCGGCATGTTCGGTGGTGTTCGCAGTGAAGAGAGAGAGGGAGAGGGTTGTCCTAATTGAGAAGCGTGTGATCGCCTCTCCCATTCCGGACCCAACTTCCCTATATATTACATCCCGGCCAAGACATCCCCCCTCGCTCCTGCCCTTCCCCTCCTCCTCCCCATCGTCCACCCTCCTTCCTTCCGTACCTCCATCTACCTTCGCACCCTTCTTGCTTCTCTCTTGGACAGCTCTAAAAGGCTCAATTGAAAGAGTCAAACCACACCACACTCCACTAACCAGCACCACACCACACACCGGCGCTCACCAACTTGTTACTTTATTAGTCACACTACCTCACCCAGCCGTATAAAAGGCGCACACACACGACTACAACCCCACCCCCTCATCTCAGCATCCATCCTTTCCCCCTTTACCACTCCGCAACCCTGGCTTACGTAGCATACCAAACCATGTCGAGTGCGGTGCCCATCTCCGTCCGACATAACGGCGCCGATGCCTTTAGGCTCGACACCCACCCACACAGAGACGACTTCTCACACCACCGTCAGTCATTCAAGAACACCCCCACATCCCTGTCAAACTGGCTCAACATCTCTGGATCGGGCGGCTCATCATTTGAGTGCGTTCCCCCACGCCGCCCATACATCCTCATCCCCGCTCACGCTGACGTTCCCTGCAGCTGGAACATGCTCAACAACATCTCCAAGCTGGGCACGTCGGCCGAGTCCGACCGCGCCCGCTCATTCAAGGCCTTCTTGGCCGCGGAGAACAACCCCTCCGCCAGGGATGACTTCGTACGTCTTGTGTCTACGTCACCTAGGTAGCGTGTATGCTGACTAACCTCGTCAACCATAGTGCCGCGATTTCACCTGCTGCGGACTTGTCCTCCAGGACCTCCACTCCCTTCTCCAACACTACGAGGATGTGCACGTTGTGGTGATGGAATCACCAGAGGTTGGACCGCAGAACCCTAAGGGTATGGCAGCTGCAGCGTTCGACCCCTCCGAGATGGAGCTCGAGCCCGGTCCTTCTAAAAACCAGAGTGGTATGGCACAATCCAGCATGCAATCGGCATTTGATGCCCATGTCCTACGCACGGGTCCACGGGGGTCGTTCCCCTCCATCCAGACTGGCTCTCGTACCACCTCCCCATCTCGCTCAGGCACATCCACCCCCATGAGCCAGCGTTTCCCTTACTCAGGGCTCGACTCCCCGAATTCTCCGGCATCTTCCATCACACCCGCGCTGCTCTCTGCACCATCGACACCGCTCTCATCTCGCCCAGGTTCGCCGACATCGGGCAACTACTCCGACAGCACTATGACCATCTCACGACCTGCTTCTTCTCTCACTCGGAATAAACCATTCAAATGCCCCACCCCAGGCTGTAACAAGCAGTATCTCCAAGCGAATGGGCTTAAGTACCATCGTTTGCACGGGCAGTGTAACTTTGCTTCGAAGGACCCGAGCCTAGAGGGTCTTACAGAGCAGGAAGCGGAGGAGAAGCTGCGGCCGTACGCTTGTGCTGTCGGAGGCAATTGCGAACGGCGATACAAGAACATGAACGGCTTGAGGTATCACTATCAGCATTCGGGTGCACACGGTTCCATCGGCCTTGCACTTCTTGCGTCTGGGCACCATCATGCGCTTCCTGGCAAGAGCGGGCAGAGCCACCAGAAGAAGAAGCAGGATGGGCAGGATGCAACAAACGGCCAGCAGACAGTTGCCGCCCAGCAAGGTCAGTGGCATTCGCAGCTTCCACCAGTTCTGCAGCAGCAGCAACTTCTGTGGGAGCAGAACCCGTATGCGGGGTATGCCGTCCCGCAGATGCACGACATCAGCATGGATGTGTGAGCACGCTTTGCTGTTTTCTACGATCTCGGACGCTTGGCTTCTCGGCAATATATTACTTACCCTAATGCGTGCCTGCTTCCTGCTCTCCACTCCACGGCTCTTTCCCTCCTCCGCCTACATCATGACCCCTATAGACGCGACCAGCGCTCCGAACACGAAGAACGCCTGGTCGCCCTAATGACTCCGTTCCGTGCTTGATCTTTCGCTCTCCCTCTTCGTACAACACTCCGCTGGACGCGGCTAATTCTGTATCCACCACGGCACAAACCACGAACCCAACACATTCAACATTTTCTCCTGGTATCCTCGTATCAACTCACGCGGAACGTTCTGTCAACACTAGTCCTCCCTCCTCTCGGTCGTGGCGATCATGCCCCAGGCACGCCGGCTGGTTTCCTCGCCTCGGCATACTCTTAGGTATCTTCGTTTGTATGTGTCTGTCCTGTTTGATCTCTGTTCACTCTACCCCCGTGTCCTATCTTTACACCATCTTCTGCCCCGACGTGTTGCTCTTCCGTATAGCCCTACACACCAGTTGATCAGACTTGCATTCCCTGGCCCGCGTTGACTAGAGTAGACAGCCCAGGGACAGCCAGAATTGATCAAGTTTGGATAATACCCTTCACGTGTGCTTTCCCTCCCCTTGCCCTGTCCGTCCCCCTCGCCTCCTGACAATACAAAATGCACTGCATTAGTATGTATGCTGAGCAACCGTGCATAATCCACACAACGTCATTGTCAGCCCTTATTCACCCATCGTCTGAGACGATCAACAGCCCGATCCAGGGCGCTTTCTCCCTGACGCTAAGGAAAGCCCCGCCTAGCCGTAGGGGAAGGGGGGGGCGCTTGGGCGCGTACCTCGCATTTCGACATAGGACATAGAGCGGGGCGGTTGAGCGCCCGTCCAAGCGCCCGTCCAAGCGCCCGCGCCCGGCTGGAGCACGGCGTGCGGTGCTCTAACTCTAACACTCTAACACTCCTCACTCCTCCCGCAGGGGAAGTCCACGGCCTCTGCCTCTGATGAATCCCCGGCGCCGGCGTTCATTCATACGCTGATCGCATTATGCATTATCATCGACGACAGCAGCCACGTGGAACTCGATTCCGCCCCGGGCTCGACAGGAACGCGCGGCAGAGCGAGAGTCGAGCGGGGACGCGCTCGCGCTCGGCTGGGCGGTTAACGTAAGACCAAGGACAAGGACCAAGGACTAAAGACAGGACCGGACAGCTTATCCTACAGCTACAGCCTGAGCTTGGGCGCATGTTTCGCTCTTGTTCCGTTCTGGCGGGCTGATGTAAGCCAGAAAGCCAGGCCTTTGATAAGTACAGTACTATGAAAAATTTCCAGTTGCGTGAGGGACTGGCTTGCGCCAACGAGAAAACGTGCTGGACACGGGGTGGTCGCGTGGAAGCGCCGAAGAAGCTGTGCTGCCGGATATGGAAGTTGGTGACGCCCACGTATTTTGTGGGGCTTTTCGAGGATGTTGGTCAACTCGACTTGTATTTTTCTTTCCCTTGTTGCCATTGTCCGATCTCACCGGTGCTGTCAGTAAACTAATGAAAACCGTTGACAACGGCTAGGCATGGACCGGAATGGCGGTGCTTCGACCTGATCATCTTGAAGGGAGGCTCTAATGACGAATGACGAAAATCAGGTTAATATGATGGCATTTTTTCGGACTTTGGGGAGGCGTTCCTGGATGCTGAGCAGGAGTGGGCATCGCGTATCGCCTGCTACCGCAGTTTGCTCACTGGTGATAGTCATGTCATGGGTCATGGGCAAAGTCGACCACATTAGCATGCCATTGTGACAAACCGCTGGATATTCGGATTTTCAGGGCGATGATCCGCTGTTTAGGGAGTTGGGTTACTGATACTTTCGCGAGCAATCCGCATGTCTGTGCGAGATGAGGTGATCCTCCTCGAATGCTTTGGCCAGTTCGGTGGGGTGCGCCGTTGGCGTTGTCGGGAAAGGGTTTATTCGGAGATACATGTATTTGCAGCCATACACATTGCATGAATATGCGTCCAAAAGGTGGAGAAGGGGTTTGCTGGCCAAGACGCGTCCTTTCCGGGTCTGCCGATAATCTGAATTGAGTTGCCAGAATCTGAACAAGCGATGAATGGGGTGGAAGCTGTTCGACAATGCAGTAACTGAAATCATAATTGGATTGAGTTGTGATTCTGGGCGTGAATTCAAAGTCTGATTTCCAGCGGGATCCGAATCGTCTCGGATCTCCTGGTACATCTTGGTGTTACAATATCAGATTATGTGTTGAGTACCCAGAGGGAGCTGAAGGGGTTTGATCAGTGCCGTAAAATTGTCGGTATCCCATTTCCGTCCTGCTCGCAATGACTTCCTTGACCACATGGACATGGGACGTAAAACACGTGGAATGGCCATTACCTGCGGCTACACGCTGCCAATCTACAACCAAAAATAAGTACCCGCCGGATCGTACGAATCGACACGCGGACTCATGCTACAGAAGAAAATCAAGTATATGCTACGCGGCAGAATGCTGCGACTGTGGAAACGAATAAACGATGCAGTATGAAGTAGACCAATGCAAGAAGTCATGGTAGGGGCGAAATATCGGATAAGAAGGTAAAGGGGTTGGTCAAGGGGGTCACAGACATTGGAACGAATATATCGGTATGGCGGTATTGGATGGGGAGCATGACTATACACTCAGTGGTCCATGTGCGTCGTAACGAGGTCGTGTCGTCTACATTCAAGCTTTTTTTCTGTTCTGATTCACATCGGGTTGCCGCCGAAGCTCTCGCCTTCCGGACGGTTTCTGCTCAGCCATGCGCCATAGCTTCGCACAGGGGGAGGCATGTCGGCGTCGTTCTGCATGATGGGTGCCGTAACAAACGAATCGTTGGCACTGCTGCCGGGTAATGGAGGCACTGAACTCGCAGCAGAGATGGTCTCGCCTGATGGCTGCGGTCGAAGATGAGATGAAGGTGGGGAGCGTATGGGGATAGGAGCGGGAAGTGTGGACGTGAGCGTTCCAGCCGGCAATTCTCGTCGAATCGTCAAGTTCGGGGATCCAGTGTCCACGCTTGCCTGTCGTCTGGGAGTTCCAATGATACTCGGTCGTGTGGAACCAGAGCTTCGCGCAGACGGCGGGGGGGTCTCTTCAGCTTCAAGCTGAGACGTCCAATCCGACTGTCTGCCAAAGGTTCGGTCCACTATCGGTTCCTCGTCTCCTTCAATTGGCGACGCACGCGACCCTTCGGGACTACTCTCGGGGCTCTGAGCCTGAGAGCGTGCACTCGAGTAATAGGATCCCTCAGGATCGGACGTGATAAGCTGTCTGTTGGGCCCGCCCGAACTGGACAGCAACTCAGGCTCAGCCTGTACACGCCCGGAAATCGAGTTGGAACCTGATGAAACCGACTCTGCGAGACTCCGGGAAGGCCGCATCAAGCGGCTCACCGAAGCGCCCCGGCTCGGTCCTCCTTCACTACTTTCCTCCTCTGGGCTGACTTCCTCCTCGTCGCCCTCTTCGCCCGGATCGTGTTCCTGAACAGGATCTTCATTGATCAAAGCAGGTGGCGGACCAATGCGACCTGATTCGACTCCTGCCGGTCGACCAACAAAGATCGCTGCTACGGAGCGTAGTGAACTCTCGCCTGAACTGGGTGCTTGAGCACGCGGTCTTGCGGACTGGCTTGGCGGATGATGGGCATGTTGCGGTCGAGCGATGTTGCCCATTGAGGGGTTGAAACGCGTTGCAAGCATAGGCACGCCGGGGTCTGAGATCGCCTGCGACCCATTCGAGTCCGTATGCGCATGACCAGGGGACGTAGGTGAAAGGTTGGAGATGCTCTGCGACCCACCGCGAGAGAGGGGAGAAGTAGGAGACGTGGGGGAAGTGACAGCAGCCGAGCCGCTCGCGGTGGACTGTGTCCGACTCCCAGGCCTGAAGTACTCGAACTGGCTCTGCCCAGGTAGGAGAGGCTGGCCGAGGGAGGACATGCTCGCAGAGCGTCCTTCCTCCGGTGGGTAGCTCCTGCGCTGACCCGCGCCTTCCTCGCCTGGGGCAGATTGAGCCTGTTCAAGAACAGCCACAGGCCCAGCCTGAGCACTGTCAATCGCCTGCTTCTCTCTTCTCCTTTGCTCGTCGCGCGCGAGTTCACGCTCATGTTCCCCCGTACCCGTTCTCTGCCTTCTAGAACGGGGCGAGTTGCCCAACAGCGCTTGAGCAAGCGTGTCATCTTCGTCCGGATCGACCCAGTCGAGCAAGATCTTCTGAACACGGGCAGCGAGTTCCGCCTCCCCTAAATCGAGGGCGACGCTTTCCCTCCTCTGGGGATGGACCAGCTCGGGCTGCTGGGAGCGCACGCTAGGCAGAACACGCATCTCCTGCCTAGTCTGGGCGAACCCCTGTCCCCCAAGCGCAGGAGTAGGAAGAGCAGTCACCGTCTGCCCACCCGAGCCCGAGCCGGACCCAGAAGCAGTAAGCGGGCCAAACACGCCCGAGCCCACAAGCGCGGGCTGCTGCGGACTCTGCACCCCCGCCCCCGCGCTCTGGGACGGAGGGAGCGGGAACTGAGAAAGCGGACCAGCAAGAAAATGCTGCATTATCCTGCTCAAGTCCCTTTCCCCCGCTGGCTCGGGGGTAGGGTCGTCCAGACTCATCCTAGGCCCTTCCCGGGGCCTCGTTTCCTCCACTCCGGTGATCGGGTGCGGGCTCCCACTTGGAGGGGGGTAAGGAACGGACGGAGGGGGGACAGGACTGACTGCGCCCAGTCTCCGACCAGAACGGTCAGCGAGACAAAACTCCCAGGCTTCTCTGATCCTCTCCCGCGTGCGTTCCCTCCATCCCCAGGGTAACGGCTCCCCTTCCCCGTACACATAGCCATAGCCATACCCGTGGGCGTAGGCATAGGAAGACCGACCCAAACCCTCTTTCTCCTTTTCCCCCCAGCGCGTTTCCTCCCACTTGTTCCTAGGGCCACACAGACCCGCGCACGCCAAGCCAGAGAGCGCCCACAGGCCTAACCAAGCAAGGAGGAGGACAGTAGTGCGGAACAGTGCCCAGGCTGCGTTCAGGGCAAGCACTGTTTTCGCATAGGTTGTCAGCGCGCCCGAAGGCAGGAAATACAGTCCGTCTTTCGCGTCTTCCAGTGTCGTGCTCGATGAGCCTTGGAAGACCGTTCCTCCCGGAGGAGGGAGCCAGAATGCCAGCAGCAGGGCGAGGGCCAGTGCTCCCCTCGGAAGGAGCGTAGCGACCGTCCACCCGTTCTGGGAATAGAGGTAGCACGTCTCCGCTAATCCGTCTCTCCACCCTCCCGGGGCGCGGGGGGACCGAGAGCGCCAAGCTGATCGACGGACCTGGTTCAGGAAGGAGAAGTGGGCAAAGGAGCTGAGGGCTACGAACGTGCTCGCTGGTCGGGAGAGGTAGATACTCGTTATTGACGGGCGGGAGGCGCGCCACCGGCGGTAGAAGCAGTACAGGATTTCGTATAACAGGAACACGCATATGAGCTGGAGGAACACACATCCGGCATAGGCGGCCGTAGCGAGTGCCCAGTTCCGGCCTGAGGAGGGGACGGTGGGGGACTCGAGAGGCGGGAAACGGGCGGAGAGGACGAGGATGTAGAGCGTGTGGATGTCTAGGAAGACTTGGGCGGGCAGGTGGGCAAATGCGAGTACCGGGAGCAGGCGGTAGTGGGCCTTTGCACTCCAGGTGGGGTCGAGTAGCAGCTCAGGGCGGAAGAGCGGGTGCTTGTATACCGGTACAGGGAGCAGTCCGGTGCTGCTTTCCGCTGCAGAGTGGGAGGGCGAGGGAGGATGATACTGCACGCCCGAGCCAGCACTCTCAGGTCGGAGAAAATCGTTGTTCCTGCCAAAGCTTGATGGTGGCTGAGACTGGGAAGAAGACGGCTGGTGCGTGTGTCGTTTGCCGTACGGCACAGAAGGGAGAGTGGGGAAGGTGATCCTTGGTTCTCGGTCTTCGCTCGTCCGCGCTGGAGGAGGGGGCTGCACACCACGGACGATCACCCGCCTGGGCGTGGCCTGCCTCTCTCCGGCGCTGTGCCGTTTCTCTCTTGGGGGGGAAGAGGGCTCCGTTTTGGGGGCGGAGGTACCGAAAGAGAAACTGGGTAAACGGGGTGCGCCGGAAACCCGGACTCTGCGCTCGGTTTTACGCTCCTTGTCCTTGTCCTTTTCCTTTTCTTTTTCCTTCTCGCGCACGTCGGGCTTTTGGGTAGCAGAAGACCGCTTACTCTGCACAGGAGCGAGCACTGTCAGGTCTTCTTCTCCCTCCGCCTCCGCCTCCAATTCCGCCTCTCCTTCAGAGTGTGCTGATGGCGTTTCCCCAGGTAGGACGACATCCCCGCCCCCACCCCCATCACCCTCAAAACTCTCAGTCCACCATCCTTCTGGCCCCGGGCCCACAGGCCGGCGAGGCAGCCAACTAGGGTACGCCGAGCCCGAGCCTGTGCTTGCCGCTTGTGATTGCGAGTTGGAGTGGGAGTGGGAGTGGGATGTGTGCGAGTTGGAGTGGGAGGTCGAGGTCGTTCGCGTGCTGCCGTAGGCGTAGGGAGCTTGTGCGGGAGGGGGAGGATGCGACTCGGAGGTGTTCCTCGAGTGAGGGGTATATGACGGTCCCCCTTCCCCAGGAGTCGTATACCTCCCTGACCCATACCCATACCCATACCCACCGTGTCCATGTCCATACCCATAACCATATCCTTGCCCATACCCCTGTCCGAGCCCGGTATAATCATACGGCAGCCCCAGGCCCAAGCCGGGCAGGTCCTCCCCCGCCTGGGCGAGCGCGCGCGTGCGGGGTGTAGGCGGCGTATGCCTGCGTTGTTGGGAGGCGTGGGTTGGGTGGGCGTAGGACGGTGTGGGGGTTGGAAGGGAGGGGAAGGGAGGGAGGAGGGGAGTTGTGGAGGATTGACGTTGATGCATCTTTTGCTTTCTTGGGGTGGGGATGTGGGTGGTTGGAGTGGTGCGGTGTTGAGTGGATAGTTGTAGACGTTGATGTTGATATCGTTTTTTCTAGTTTTCTTTTCTTCGTCAGAGTGAACAAGTTAACAAGCCGCAAGCAGCCGTTTGCGCCAGTGATCAAGGACCAAAGAGCAATAGCAATATCAAGAGAGAGCAAGAATAATATCCAAAGAGCAAGAGAGCGTCTTAGCCCCAAAGGGCAATAAAGGGAAAGGAAGTTGGTTCGACCAAAAGGTAGAGAGCGCTCTTGACCGATGTATCGTGTTCTTCTATATCCCTGCTTGCCAATGCTTGAATGGTTGAATACTTCTCCTGCCGCTCTCTCGCCGCAAACCCAACGTCCAACGTCAAATTCGCCTCGAGGCCAATTGCCTCACTGAGGCCGCGATAGTCGTAATAGATTGCGCTCTATCTCTATAGAAAGAGTTAACGCGTGTTCACCTCGTGTACTTCCTGTTTAGGTAAGTTGTTGATATCGATATACTCGTGTGTTGTGTAGCGTGGGTGATCGTAATTGCGTTTAGGTTCAAGCGTAAATCGTCAACGTGCAGTACTCTTGAAGGATATCCTCCCCTTTCCCTCTCTGCTTGTTCTTGTTGTTGTTCCAGAGAAAGGCAAGAGAAGAGAAAAAATATGCTTCCCAGATAGGCAGCAAAAGAATACGAAAAAGGGAAGGCACAGCCTGTTCTAAAGGGTTCTGTGAGAGAGTGCCCCTTACACCTCCTCCCTCCCCTTAGGTAAAACTGGAATGTAGAGTTGAACAAGCCACTTTTTACACTTGGATGTCTTACATTAACCTCATACATATATCACCAAGTATTCATTGTATAAATTATATATTTCATCCTCTCTCTTCAGTGTGTCCAACTACCATACACCTAATGACGCCCCACGTTCCCCGTTCCCAACGTCTTCCAAGCTTCATAGAACGTCTCCGTCGAAACACGTTCCACGTTCTCCCCATCACCCGTCTCCATCTCCGTCCCTGTGTCCCCGTGGCACCCGGATCGTTATTCGCAGATAAGATCGGCGGAGTAGACAGTTCCCTCCTCTTGGGCGTTGGGCGATTCGTCTTTTGTTTGGGTTCGCGTTCTGCGTGTTGCGTGTTCTGCGTGTTTTACGTGGGCAGAGAACGTACTCACAAGTTCACCCCTTCAGACGCCTACAGTCAGTAGAGTGCAGCTGTACGCAACAAATATAAGCAGCGAAGATAGGATCAATTAACACTCAACACTCTGACATACTCGGATTAACATTCTACGCATGAAATGAGACTAAGATGAATAGCATGACTGACTGAATGACACTGAACGACACTGGAGCAAGAGGGAAAGGGAAGATGCAAGAGGGAAGACATGCAAGACGTGAAGAGAACAGAACGACAAGGAGCGTATGTAAGCCAGATATGCGAAACTGCAACTGCAACTGAGCTGTGAGATACGAATGCGAACGGGAAAGTGAAACAGAAACAGAAACAAGAACAGGAAAACGTCAACCCTCTACTCATACAAGATCAACAAATTCAACTTCTCCCCCCCAGCGCCAACGCACCAACCGGCACGTCCCACTGCTCACCTTCCTCCAGCCCTCTTCCCCTCCCCCATGTTCGGTGCCCCTCACGACCGCCCAACACGCCTCTCGGTGGCGAACCCTCCAAACTCAGGGGCTCGCTCCCCGCCTCGAGCGTAGGGATAGAAGGAGGGAGGATATATGCCGCCGGCGGGGGAGGGGGGGAGGCGAGACTGTACACGCTTGGGCTTGAGAGGGCTGAGAGGGTCAGGGGGGTGGGCGGGTTGTAGGATAGGTCGTTTGCTGTGCTTGTGGGAGTGAGACTGGTGGTGGTGCGGGTAGGGGTTGTCCTGCTGGTGGTGGTGGAGGAGGTAGTAGTAGTAGTGGTGGCGGTGATGGTAGTGTTGAGGCTGGACTGGGAGTAGGAAGACGCAGGGTCGAGGAATGGGTCTTCCGCCCCCATTCCAGGCTGGTAAGGTCGGTGGGGTCTGGGGAGAAGCACCCGTTCGGGAACAGGGTGGTACGACGCCTGCGGCGGCGGCGGGGGAAGGGAAAGGCGGTACGGTTCCCTCCTGGCGAGTAAGAGAGAGCGCACGCGTTCTTCTTTCTCGGATTCGTCCTCTCGTCCCTGTTCCTGTTCCCGTTCCCGTTCGCGTGGGTGGTCCTGGGCGTGGCCCTGTTCCCGGGCGTGCTCTTGCTGCCAAGTAGCGTGCGCCCCAGGTACAGGAACACCCGCGTTCGCATAACCCAGCGTCGCGTACCCCTGAACAGCCCCAGGCATAGGAAGTGGAACACCGACCTCCCCAGCCCTACCCGGCCTGACCCTCGGGCCCCAAAGCCTGCCCACAGCGCCCACACTCCCTCCCGCGCCTACACCCGCCGCCCCCGCCGCGCCCTCCGCAGCATTAGCGAACCAGCTCACCTTCCTCCTCAGCGCGTCGGCCACTGCTACCGAGGGCACTACGTGGGGAGAACGTTCTTGTGCATATAGGGGAGTACGGAACCAGCTCGGTTTGCGCGCTGGGGTGCTTGTGGGTGAAGGCGAGAAGAGCGAGGTTTCCCCCTGCAGAGGAGTGCGGAACCACCCTGGGCTCTTGAGTAGCTTGTCCATGTTGCCCCTGCTCTTGCTCCTCGTGCTCGCCCTGGTGCTCTTGTTCCGCGCGGGCGTGTCGACAAGTTGGGCATACCCAGACCCCCACGTACTCGGGTTCGGCGAAAAAGCGTACTCCTGCCCAGAGAAGCGGAGATACACCGCCCTCGGTTCCTCGGCGAAGATGTCCGTGCTCGAATAGCTCAGGAGATGTTCTTTCCACCCTTTCTCTTCCCCCGAGTCGAGCTTCTCGTCCGCCCATGCTTCTCCCTCCCTCTCTCCCTCTCCGGTCAGGTAAGGATACGCCGGAGAGTCCCACACGAGCTGTTCAGCACTGTACACGCTCCCCCTCTCCCTCTCCCTCCTCCTCCTCCAATAACATCGCCCAAACCAGTACCCCACCAGGGCAAGCAACAGTATCCCGCCCGGCACGGCCAGGTAGGCCCAGTTGAACCCCCCCAGCGTACTGGTGTTAGCTGAACCAGAGGCGGAGGCTGAAGGTGTGGAGGTTGGGCCGAGGGCGTAGGTGTACGCTGGGCGGGAGGAAAGGGTCATCGCTAGTCTCCATGTTGTGGGCGTGGGGGAGGGTGGTGCGTCTAGCCAGGAAGTGTAGGGTGATGATGATGAGGACGAGGACGAGGACGAGGCGGAGTCGGTCTCCGGTGAAGGAGACGAGGATGATGCGGAGGAAACGGGCGCGGTGTCGGTGGAGGAAGATGTCGAGCCTGAGCTCGACGTAGAAGGGATGGCGCTGCTCATAGTCGTGCTCGTGCTCGTGCTCGTACTGGGTGCCGCGCTGGACGTTGCAGAGCCTTTGCCGCTCGCACCCCCTCCCACGGTCGACGTCACCCCGTCCGTCCAAGGCGTATACATCCCATTGTTGAACGCCCCTCCCCCCGGTTCGTCCGCCTGCGCAGCGCGACCCTCTCGCCATTCCCTCTCTCCCACCAGCGGACCGTGTTGCGGGACACCGGCAACCCCAGTGTTACCCAGGCAGAATAGTACAACCACCAGATCGAAAACGCGTGGCATCGTGCTCTTTTATTTTTTTTTGTTCCAGTTGCTTCAATTTGCGAAAATAATGATACACCTCTCTCTCCCAGACCCAGGCTCCAAGCTCAGTATCCCCCTTGAGGCAACAACACCACTTCCCTGTCAAACTCCCTCCTGGGGGTAACACAGAGCACGCCCAGGTCTTCCCGCGTGCTGAGGTCGTCCAGCTGCCGGCCGGCGACGATGAAGCTCGAGGAACGGACGAGCTGGGAGGAGGGGGCGTCGGAGGGTAGGCCGAGGGCGGTGCGGTAGGCGTTTTTCCAGAAGGTTGTTGGGCGCACTAGGGGCAGGGGTTAGTGTTAGTGTTTGTCCTTGGGCACGCGCGGGAGGGGGACGTACGCAGGGAGACGGAGGGAGGGGTGATGTACTCCCCTGTTGGGCGGCGAGAGGGAGTCTGGTGCTGCACAAACGCGAGATAGCTAGGCGAGCGCGGGATAGGCGTGAGCTCAAAAGGCGAGGAAGTCTCCTTTGTCGAGACGGATGTTGGGGTGGAGCGTCCGGAGCTGGGAGTATTGGGTGGGGACGACGAGCGAGAGGAACAGGATGAGGAGGGTGAGGAGGGAGCCTTGGAGTGCGCGTGCGTGTGCAAGTGAGAGAGAGGTGGAAGGTCGTCTTCCTCTGATATCCTCCTCTCTGTCCTCTCTGGTGAACAGATGACAGGCGATGGCAGTAAAGGGTACGTGGCTTGACCGTACGCTGGCTGTTGCGCGTGCCCGTAGTCGTGTCCGTATGGACTGTCCAGCGTCAGAGGGGGAGTGGTGAGCTCGCTGGTCGAAGGCGTGCTAGGCGTCCAGGGAGTTGCTGGTACCCAGCGTCTTGTTTTCGGTCGTTGGAGATGTTTCTCTGCTAGGAGAAGAGGTTTCTGACCTGGTCGAGGTGGTGTGTACGGTACTGGAGTGCGAGATGGGGATGAGGGAGAGGAGGGGACGTCGGGTTGGAGTTGGAGTTGCATTGGAGGAGGCTGGCGTCTTTTTGGTGAGGACATTGTGAGGACAGAGGAATGTGTGAGGACTGTTGGATTCTACGTGTGGGTTCACTGGCAGTGGTGACTGCTGGGTGGGATATGTCTGTTGACGTAGTGAATGTTGGATAGTAAAGAGCGAGTGTGAGATATGATATTGGATGTACAGCGTTGTGGTGGATAGTAGAAGAGGAAAGAAAGGTGATGGACGCTGGAGGTCGAGGAGGAGGTCGAGGAGGAGGAGGAGAAGGCAGAAAAAATAGAACAACGCGGGTGTTTTCCCAGACAACGTACACACGCTTCTCATCCACACGTCCCCTACCCAACTCTCTTGACAACGGACATGACAACGACGACCACGCGAATACCTTGTCTTCGAGGTTGGATATATAAACACAGTGCACTTTCCTCGTGTACAATACGCACTCTGGTGTCTCTAGGTAAATTGCTTCAAACACTGGTGAACTTGACGTTTGAAGTTGTATATGTCCTCTTCTCACTAGGTTTCATCCACTAATGCCTCGGAAAGAGACCGAACACCGCCCATTTCAGTATACATAGCATCCCCTCATCTGTCTAACGTGCGACCTCTAGTAGACATCCGAACTCCCCCAATGGCAGGGATCCGCTCGTCCTATGCATCACAGGGGAAGTAGCTGTAGCACGCACAACTCTCAGTTTGTCCCATTCCGACGCATCAGTTACCAACTCTGGGGATCCGTAGGGACTCTGGTATGCAGCACTCTGGATCCTACAAGCAGTTGGCAGCGCAATCGATACCAGTCTGATGATCTATCGGAAAACATATTAGGAGAGCATCGTTCCCCTCCTCCAACTTTTACACACATCCTCTCTGCTCGTAAACGATCCTCAGCAACACAGTCCAACAAGCATTCCAACCCGAAGGATCCGCAGGCTTGCACCCCACTCGCTCTTCCGTATATCGTATCCTCCTCCCCTTCATCCTCCCTCCTACTGTTGACACAAGCAATCCGCTCTCGTGCGCCATAATATCGAAACATCTGCGGTACTAGTGTCCTACCCTGAGGAGTTTCGGAGCGATGATCAGTACACATCCCACCCCGAACCCAGAGTCGTGTGCTGCTCTAGCCTCACGTCAGACGTTACCTCTAACAGGAAACATCCCTCCCGCAAACCTGCAGGAACTCTATCCCTGATGTTGGACCGCAGTTGACCGTCGGTGTATGATCACCTGACGACCAACATACGGCCGGAACAACGCCTCTCTTGTCTGGTGCATTCCTCCCATGCACGGTATCGCGGTAGAACCCAGGCTACGAACTCCTTCTCCCCTTCCTTCTCTTGGCAATCCCCAAACAGACCACGTAATGCACTTATGCACCATTCCTCAACAACCAATTCATTCCTTCCCGGAAGCACATTCGGCCTGTCTTCTCCGATTGAAACTTCCTGCTGCAATACCCCGATCGAACTTTTCCTTTTGGTGATCTGTTTGATCTCGGCCCTGTTCCCTCAAACGGAATATGCACGGGCTCGTCGGCCTCATCGGACGACTGTTCTTTCTCCCTTTCTGCTCTGTTCCCCGGACTGTAGGTGCCTTGGGTCATCAATAACGAACATAAGATCCGACCTATCCTGCTCCAGTCAATGTCGAACGGTCAGCAACTTCACTTCCTCTCCAAACCGGGCCTTCTCTCTCCTCGGCATGCAACTCCCAACGTCCGAACGAGATCGCCGAGCTCCCTCGGCCCGGGCTCCCGCCACCGCCGGCAGATGCCGACGCCCCCCTCCCCCCCGGAGCTAAGCCTTCGGGGCCCCGGCCAGGCGCCAGGCGCGAAAGGCGAGGTCTCCGGGCAGTCAATCTCCCGTTGAATGACAACTTCTCTCCAGGGAGCGAGGGAAGGAGCGAGGGAGGGGTATATATCCTTTCCCCTCGGAACTTCTTGCTGAGTGGACGAGTCTTGCTTTCCTCTTCCTCTTCCTTTGCTTGAATGGCATCCGACCCGAGGCTCGGGACGGCACACCCCGTCATCGTCGATGTCGAAGCTGGCCTAGGTGGTGTCCTGGGCAGGCGGACTAGCATGACGCTCGTCCCTTCTCCCAGCTCGGAGCGTACGTCTGTCGTCTCCCTGGCACAAATAGACGGGCTAGAGAAGGAGAAGGAGGAGAAGGAAGGAGAGGAGGAGATCGCTTATCCTGGTGAGACGGAGGAGGCGATCGAGAGGGATGAAGAGGAGGACTTTCCTGATGGAGGCCTAAAGGCTTGGCTGGTCGTTGCCGGAGTGAGGCCTCTACTTTTCTTATTCCTAGTCGCTGAGCACTGTGACAGGGCTGCTCGATCACCGTCGCTTCGTAAGTGCTCAGGTCGACGAATGCGTAACCATATTCACCTCTAACCAAGGTTTGGCTACGTCAACACCTGGGGTATCTTCCAAGCCTACTACACCGAGCATCTCCTACCCAACATCCCCGCTTCCCAAATGTGAGCCCTCTTCCCTCTGCTTTCATCCCTCCTGACCCCCAAAAGCTCCTGGATCGGTTCCATCCAAGTCCGCCTCTTCCCCCGCCCTCTCTCCTCCCTGACCCCTCTGTAGTACTCCTTCAACTTCTTCCCCGGACTTATCATGGGCCGCCTGTTTGACTTGGGCTACTTCCGCGTCCCCCTCTTCTGCGCAAGCTGCTTTATCCTCCTGGTCACGTTTCTGGTTGCGCAGTGTACGGAATACTGGCAGTTCTTGCTCGGCCAGGGATTTGCACTTGGTGTGAGTCGGCGTGTCCTACGGGAACCCCGTCGCTGATTTGTGGGCAGTTGGCGTCTGGCTTCATGTCAGGACCAACCGTCGCTGTAGTAGGCCACTGGTGTACGTCCACACTGTCCAACCGATTCCCATCTAACTCCCTTCGCAGTCAAGAAAAGACGTGCAATGGCCTTCGGCATCGTTGCTGCAGGAAGCTCGATCGGAGGGCTCGTCTTCCCCATCGTCGTTTCCCGATTACTGCCGCAATTAGGGCACGTTCTCTCAGAGCCGGAAAACTGTCGCTGACGCACGGTCTAGGTTTCCGTGGACGATGCGTATCCTAGGGCTGATCCTCATGATCTTTATCATCTTTGCTAATATGGTATGTCTATCGTTGGCCACTTCCGAGTGTTGACTAAAAGATCGGCTAGACACTTCGCCGCCGTCTTCCACCGGTAAATGTCTCCGGCGGGATGCTGAATCTCAAAGCGCTCAGGCGGGCCGAGTACATGCTCTACACAGCAGCTACCTTCGTCGCCTTCATGGGTCTCTTCACCGGTGGGTCTCATTCCCCGGTTGAACCGCTCAAACCATATATTGATGCACTCGCAGCCCTAACCTACCTCAACTCCGACGCCGTCTCCATCGGCATCTCTCCCACCTTCGCGACCTACCTCACCGGTATAGCGAACGGTGCCTCAGGCTTCGGGCGTGTTCTCTCCGGCGTATTCTCCGACTTTGTAGGCCCCATCAACATCCTAATCCCATTCAACATGCTCACCGCCATCGCCACATTCGCCTGGCCCTACGCGACAACCGAACCGAGCATCATCGTCGTCGCAGTCGTGTATGGGTTTTCGAGTGGGGCGTACTCGGGACTCACCGCGGCGCCGCTAGCGAATATGGGCGCTGTGGGCGATATGGGACGGAGGATTGGGATGACGTTTACCTTGGCTGGGTTTGCGGCTTTATGCGGTCGGTCTTTTCCACCCTCTTTTAGTAATAGACCACTCATAGGGCAACACAGGCCCACCACTATCAGGAGCCATCCACGATCGGTATGGGAGTTATCGACCCGTGGGCGTCTACGCTGGGTATATACGCCTTCCCTCTTCTCGCGACTTGCTAACCCAGTCTAGCTGCTCGATACTCATCTCGACCGGCCTCCTCATATTCTCCAAACGCGCCGCCTTAGGCCGTTTCTGGGGCAAGTTCTGATGGGCAAACCCTCACATCAAGTCTGCGTTTACACTCTACACCGTCACCATCGTCACACACAACCACACGCCTTCATGCCATCACGACATCACGCACCGTCCTGCATCGGGTTCATAATCATAGAGTTCGGCTCGGGTCATCGCTTCGGGGGATGGCAAATGTACTATATAATGCGAGAGGGGGGCAGTGCGTGATGCTGCATAATAATACATGTTGTGATCATAACATGAGATACGGATCATATTGACGTGCAAACCTGAGCATGAAAGCAAGATTGGGGATCATCAACGTCCAGAAACGGAAGATGAGACACTAGATATTCCCCATCTATTCCAGAGCTGTTCCGACGATGAGCGGGGCAGACAAGCCAGGTGGGGGAAGACGCACCTCCGAAGCTAGTTTCGTAACTTGCCCCAGTTCGGCACGCAGCGTCTTCACGGCTTTCGTCACCGCTGCGTCTGGTACTGATGGCTCTTGAGGCGCGAGTAAGATATCCGGATCGATGTTGTCTATTATCACGTAGTCTTCCGTTGGACGTTAATGAAAGGACCGGGGAGAAGGAGAATAGGCTCGTACCGTCGGCTGAGGGCTCGGGAAGTTGTTCGGGGATAGTAGGCTGGAGCGGGTCGTTCATTTGGGCACTGTCGTCATCCATGCTTAGCCCAACGAAAGGACCGACAGAAAAGACGAGCAACGTGTGCACTGGTGAGAGAGTGGTGAGTGGCACAACCACGCCTTTGCACGAGCAAGCTAAGGCGCTAAATAAGGACTTGCCAAATCCGAGATTTGATTCATGGATTGATATGGGCGAGACATATGGCGTTGAATTTCCGCATCAATAGGCGAAGGTCTCGGCTGGGCTGGATTGGATAGGCAACTTATATAGTAGGCAGTGCGGCGGAGGAGAGACACGTTGTTATGTTGTCGAGGTACACGTTGTTAGGCGCCTTCTAATATCATGGAATTGGAATAAGATGACTGGGTTCGCTTCCAACCGGATTATTTCCTAAGAATCACTGGTCTAGAAGAAGAAACCCGTATTTTCAGATTAATTCAAGAGATAGTAGGTATTCAGGCATGTGGACTTTGCTTCTGCTTCCATGTTCAAGGGATTCAACTTTTTCTTCAATTTCCCCGCTATTTCCTGACTCGGCCTCCAATTTCTGACTCCAATTTTTTCACTTAAAATACTGCCAGCATCAACTAGTGTTTGGGTAACAGCAGTCAAGATGTCACCCCCTCATCTATTAACGCTGGCCGATCTCAGCGTAAAGCAACTAAAGTCTACACTAACGCACGCAGCTTATCTCAAACGAGTCTCTCTACCGTTACTCCAGCCTCGTCCTCACCCAGCCTTCGTCGTCCAACCACCAAAGTCCCTCTCAGAGAAGACGATCGCCCTCCTCTTTTCCAAGCGCTCAACTCGCACTCGCCTCTCAGCAGAATCAGCCGCACATCTCCTAGGCGGTCATCCGATGTTCCTCTCATCCGCCGACATCCAGCTAGGAGTGAACGAGTCCCTCCGCGATTCCGCTCGTGTTATCGGCGGACTGGTAGACGGCATATTCGCTCGCGTAGGCGATCATACGGAGGTCGAGATGCTTGCTAAGCACTCCCCTGTTCCTGTACTCAACGCCCTCAGCTCCCTCTGGCACCCAACCCAGATCCTCGCCGACCTCTTGACGCTACTCGAGCACCTCCCCAGCCCCTCTCCTCTACCAACAGCGCCGCACGCCAGTACTTCACCCGGACACTCCGTGCCGCCCGATATGCTGCCCGCAGACGCACCCCCGAACCTCGACTTCGGAGTCCTGCACGGGCTGACCCTCGCCTGGCTTGGAGACTCCACAAACGTACTGCACGACATGCTCGTCACTTACCCCCGGCTGGGTGCTAAAGTGCGCGTAGCGGTTCCAAAGTCGTACCCCTGCCCACCCGAGGTGTGGGAACGGGTTAAGCAGCTCGGGTGCGAGAAGGGGATAGAGTGGAGTGATGATCCTCTGCATGCGGTCAAGGGCGCTGATATCGTCGTTACGGATACTTGGTACGCTCCCCTCCTTCCCTCCTCCCTGTGACACAGCTGATCCTGGGATATGTATAGGATCTCCATGGGCCAGGAATCAGAGAAATCCGCCCGGCTAGCAGCATTCCAAGGCTACCAAGTGACGGAATCCCTCTGCCGCGCAGGGGGCGCAGCAGAAGACTGGAAATTCCTGCACTGTCTCCCCCGGAAGCCGGACGAGGTAGACGACGAGGTATTCTACGGGAAGCGGAGCTTGGTCTGGGAAGAGGCGGAGAATAGGAAATGGACAATTATGGCCCTTTTTGAGTGAGTGTTCTTTGGGTTTGTTGGACGCGAGCTGATGGATGTAGGTCTATGTTCGGGCATTGGAAGCTTACGCCTGAGGATTAGGGCATTATATACAGTGAGATCTATTACTCTAACCACGATAATAAAAGCCGCTTTGGGGCGTCACCACACCGCCTGCTGCCTCTAAGTCTAATACCCCTCCCAGCCCACCCAGGCGAGGGCGATCCCCACAACAGCAGCACTCACAAAATTAACACCAACATTGCTCAGCACCGCCCATCCTCCAAGCACTTTCTCGTCCTCTCCCCTCGCCTTCCTTCGCCCAAAATCAGTGACAACTTTCTTCTCCCGCACGTTGTACACCGTTTCCTGCAGCGTCGCCCCCAGGAGACTGTCCAACACACTTCCCCCAACACCCGCGACCGTGCCCCAAAGCACCACCTTTCCCAGCCCAGCCCAGTCCTCCCTCGCAGCATGGGATTCGATCCAAACCCCCGTAGCGTAGATCACTCCCATCATTAGTCCTCCAGCTACGGAAGCTAGCGTGCCGGAGAGAGAGACCCCGCCGTTCGTCCCTGGCGGGACGGGGCGGAGGGTGGTGAGCATGAGCGGTGGGGAGGGGGAGAGGATACCGAGTTCCGAAGCGAGCGTATCTGAGAGGCAGGTGGAGAAATGCCTGCCAGAATAAGTAGAGGTAAGCTGTTGTTGTGGACGTGGGAGGAGAGCGTACCCCAGGGACAGGTAGATCAGTGCTCTGCTTAACCGATCACTCAGAGGGTTCCAGCGAACAAGGTCGAACGCCCTCTGCCTAAGGCCAAACTGGGCCACCAGGTCTCCCAGTAAGGTGAACGGCCACCGATTTCCCGCATAAAGCGCGCCCCACGCTACCGCAGCCACCACCCCCAGGCCAGCGGCGACGGCGACCTGTCCTGCACCTCTCCTGCCTTCTCCCACACCTGTGCCAACCTCAAGCAGCAGCTTGCGCTCTTTGCCAATCTTGGTCGCTCTCGACCCTAGGAGGTAGAAGAGGAGGAGCGAAGTGCCAAAAGTGCGCAGAGGGCTGGAGAGGGAAAGCGTCCCTATTAGGAAGGCGGTCGCTGCTCCTGCCTGGGAGAGGGACTTGCGTCTGAGGCCTTGGAATGAGAGCCCGAGCCCGAGGAGGGGAGGGACGAGGTAGCTCAGCGTGGACATGGTCGTCTGAGTTGAAGGAACGCTTACTCGCCCGTTTGATGTTATGATAGAGTAAGTATTACGAATCAGGTAAACGATCGAATGCGGGGAAGAAGTAATGTATTCATCCCTGACCGAAGTTGTTTTTAGACTTTTTTATTCTGGGGACATCGGCCAGAAGTTATTAATAATGGTTTATTGAACATGCACTCTCTCATTAGGTCAATAGACGTCCGAAATCATCATGGTCCTCACCTACAACAAGATACATGAGACTACATAGCTACCTTTCTTTACACAGGAGGATGAAAGATGAATTGCTTTGCGACTATAGAAGTACACTTGCTCTTCAGACAGACAACAAGAAAGTACAAGCATCATGAAGGAGGAATAGTAGGTGACGTATGCGGTTGGGGAGGACTCGCACTCGACGCAGGCCCATGCTGAGGCTGATGTTGTTGTGGATATCCAGCTTGCTGCTGTTGATACGTCAACAAAGGTCCTCATGAATGATGGGGGACTTACGTAGAGCATCCTGATTATGTCTGCCGAGTTAGCCTGCTTGGACAGATGCTGGAACTGCTGTTGAGTGATCTGGCTGCCATTCTTAAGCTGGGCGATCAGACTCTGGAACTGTGCCTGCTGCATAGGCGCAGAGGGCGGAGACCCATTCGGGGGCATCCCAGGGTAGGGAAGGGCGTTAGCAGCAGCAGCGGCCTGGTGCGCGCGGCTGATGTTCACTCCCGCTTGCTGCGCTCGGGCGACAGCAGCAGCTTGGGCTTGCATCATCGCTGCCTGCACTTGAGGAGAGTAGTGCTGCATCGCTGCTGCGCTTGCTTGGACGGGTGTGGCCTGGGTCTGCCCGGCTTGCGACTGGGAGGCTTGGGCTTGCAGGCGCTGCTGCTGTTGCATTAGAGCGAGATGTGCGGAAGTTAAGGGCTGGCCATTTGGTCCGTGAGAGACTGGCTGCTGCGGGACTGGGGCAACAGGAGGCAATGACATTGACGGCTGGGAAGGGGTGATGTGAATAGCGGAATATGTAGCCAAGAGAATGGACATACCACACGTGTCATCAGTCTCTGACCACCCGGGTTGGCCTGATTTATAGCGAAGCGTTCTAGTCGGAGCATGTTCTCCTTATCATACTTCTGACGTGCCAGGTCTCCAGGGCTAGGGACGTTCTTCTCGAGCGTCCCATGCGTATTGTGGGCTGTCAGATTGATTTTCTTACTTGTAGAGTACTTAGGACCACTCTGCTCTCGTTTCTTGATCGCCTTGCGCACAACGTCGCGCAGTGCTACCTGCCTCTCTTTCTTCTTTGTGCCCTCTTGTCGCTGATAGTACGGATGAGGCGCAACGTTATCCATACGCCTCGCGCGATCGATATCTTTTGTCACAGGACCTTCCTTTGGTTTGATGATTCCCCATCGCTTCGCACAATCCCAAGGCGTACGCCAGTCAACAGCAATAGTGTTTCGTTTCGTATTGAACGCGTCGGCGACGAGGTCCCAATTCTCCCCGAATCGAGTCACGCAAGTCAAAAGGATGGCATCATCCTCGTTATTCCAATGCAGCGCTTTGATGCGGGCGGCTGGATGATGTGGCTCTTGAAGCGGTGCAGGAATTGCCGTCCCGGGTTTTCGGCCTGAAAACACAGCTGGTGGTGTTTTCAGCCAGAATATCGGCGCAAGGTGTAGAACAACTTACAGAGAACGCCTGGTTTGCCGATGTCTTTGGGCTCATCGAGCAGAAGCTCCCAATCCTCGTGTTCCCCATCCCAGTTCTGGCTCGTCGGTTTCAGGGTGCTAACAAGTACGGGTTTGACGCTCATAAGCAAAGGAAGCCCAGGTAATGGTTCTGATTTCCTGTCCTTCTGGGTGGTAAGCTCCTCAACAGGCTCGGATAAATCGTACACCTGCAGATCAGGAAACAGATCGAGCAACGTGTCGTAGTCATCTCGTCCCGTCACTTCGTGTGGGTCGAAGATGGTCTCAATCGATGGCAGTTCTAGGACAGGCAGGCGGACGCTTTGAACATCAACAGTTGGAGTCTCAGGAGGTAGCAAGAACGTGCTATCGGCCTTCGTGGCATCTCTGAATGGTCCAACAGGTGATGTCGGGGATTCTTTTTCGGGTGATGCCAGAACAGGTCCTGTGAAAAGCTGGGACAGATCTGTGTGGCTCCCCGCGCCTTTCACGTCGGAATCAATTCGGATGACAGGGTTTGCGACCCTCGGAGATTGGGTGGGCTTCGCCTCGGGAGTTGAGACAGGAATGATAACGTCCTTTGAGTCGTTGCTCGGGAGTTGAGGAGATTGGGGCTCTTGATGCTGCTCTTGTTGCGGGGAGTGCAATACATGAAGCTGCTGAGTCGGTTCTGACAGTCGGAGTTGAGAGCCTGTTGCCGCTTCCGTCTCTCCCGCCTCGTCCTTCATTTCAGCATCAGCATCTCCCTCAGCATCTTCCTCAGCATCAGCATCCCCTTCGGCGTCTTCATCTTCATCTCCATCCCCGTTCTCGTTCTTCTTTGTGACATTTTGAGCCTTCTCGTCGCTCGTCTCCTGCGCGTTGTCTCCTTCGGCCCCATCCTCATCGCCGTCAGCTTCTTCTGGTGTACCTTCCGCATCCTCCTCTCCTTCTGCGTCCATATCCTCATCTTCCTCGTCATCTGCATGTTGCTCTGCGTCTACCTCGTGGTGGCCGTCGTCGGCCTCACCGACGATTCCTGCCGCCTGCTCCACTTCTTCACTGTCACCTTCAACGTCACCATCGCCCTCTGCATCATCATCATCTCCCTCCGCATCTTCCTCTGCATCTTCATCAACATCGGCATCTGCTTCTCCTTCGGCATCCATCTCCTCGTCTTCTTGCTCTCCATGGTCGAGCTCATCATGACCCTCAGCCTCTTCCTCAACGTGCTCTTGCTCGCCTGACAACTGTCTAAGCTCGTCAGGCTGATCTTCTTCCTTCATGCTGGATTGTCGTAGTTGATACCCTGGAACACTTGATACTCTTCGGCGTTTCATCGGACTGCGGGGCAACTCATCGTCTTCGCTCTCTCCATCACCCTCATTTTCGGCATCCATATCACCCTCCTCTTCCTCGGTCATCTGCTTCGCATCGCGCTCATTCCGCTGACGTCGTTCCTCCCTCTCCCGCTCTTCGGCCTCGGGGTCATCCATATCCTGATCGAGTTCGTCTAATTTTCGACGATCCTGATGGCGTTTCCAGCCTGCTTGAAGAGCCCGCTTCCCGCGCTCGTCAGCGCTCCACCACTCCTTGATGCATAAACTGATTTCATAGGTCAGAGCTGCCTTCCACTGCCTTTCTTCAACAAAATCAGTTTGCATCCACTGCATTTCCTCCAGCAGATAACCCCAGTGAGCTTTCCGGACTGGAGGACCAGGCTGGCGTTTCGGCTGCCGTAGTGACCACAAGCCACGCTGTTGTAGCTCGTCTATTTCGGCAACAGCTTGAAGAAACGTGAATTCGCGGTACACTACCATCCAGTCTCGAGTGGTCATGCACTTCGCAGGATGAGCAGCATGTTTGTGAACCGGGTTGGCACCGATTGATGCTGCAAGCCAGGCAAATTCACCTTTCACAGCGTCTTTGTCTCGTCGATGCCGTTTTCGCTTTTTGCCAGCTTGTTGACCTCCCGGACCGTTCATTGTCACGGTTCGGGCTAAGCTGCTGAGGGTATCGGTATAGCTGGTGGAGAGGGGTTGGTCAGGAGGATGAACTGAGGAGAACCAAGAGTCATCCGGAATGCTCCAGCAGGCAGCAAAAGGATCTGATTTCTCAGGGGATTCTTCTTTCAATGGTGGGAGGTTGACGTGGTTCCACGAGGAGAGATTGTAGAAGTTTTCAGCGCCCTTCAAGTCATCCATATCACCGGTAATTGAAGGGCCAGGTACAGCTGCTTGGATACCGTCGGCTCTTGGGGAAGTCGGTGGCTCAGTCAGGGGTTCGCTGTCGGATGAAGTCGGCGAGAGCCCAAGTTTACTGGAAGCTGCCCTGACAGACATTGTTGGTGCGGCTGATGGCTGTCGCGAGGTCCTCCTGGATATAGTAGCGCGTTCTGGCGAGGGAATTTCGTCCTCCGTTAAGACATCATGAACCAAGTTCAAGCCATCCACTCGGACTTCAGCAATTGGAGATGGCGAGAGGTGAAGGGAGGAGGCGCTCTTTGGCGACTCAATAGACATAGGAATACTTGCAGACTCAGCCATGCTCACGACCGCTCGAGGAATGGGGAGAAGATCGACAGATAGATCCATCACAGATCTTTGCATCATATCAGCACCTCGGTGGTGAAGTAATTGGATCAAGCGTACTCTGCACTCGCAGCCCATCTCTTGACATAGTTCTCGTGATCCGGGACCTGCTTGTTACCCCCGACGAGTTCACCAGGTGCGTTCGAGAGTAATTCAAACAACTCCAAGAGATCTTGCCTGCCGTCTCCAATCACGTCCCTACAAGGATGTATCGTCGTTAGAAGGCACTAGCGATCTTGGCAAAGAGGGCGAAGCGTACCGCCTCTGGCGCTCACGTTCCTCTACCATCGCGTTGCGCCGTCTCTCAAGCTCTAGGTCTTGTTTAACCTGGTGCGGCTGTGAGTTGACCGCCCAAAAAGAATATATCGCTACGGGCTACCTCTTCATCCCTATGCTTCATCCTCCTCGTGTTCATCTCGTTGTTCGCACCAGAATACAAAGGCATTCGAAGGCCACTGTGCCTAATTAAGGGATCGATGGTAAATAAGCTTTGCTGCCGTTCATTACGTACTTTTCGTCCGTCAGCGGAAGTACAATCCATGCGCGTCTAGATTTTAGGGAAGCGAGCGCTTTTCAATCCGTGGCTCTGGTTGTTACTCGCACATTTCTGCACTCTCCCTCTTTTTTTTTAGCGCACTAGATGGCGAAGATGGATGGTGCTAGTGACAACCCATATCTCGCACATATGGCACCACATATGCGAGGTGCATCAAGCAATTCCAATGGAACTGGCAAGACGAATGGTGGAAAGAGTCATCCGCTGGAGGGCATAATTCCCCGGAAAGTGCGGGGAGAGCAGGCAAGAAAGTTGTTGGTATGTATTTGTGTCAACACTTATACGCTTCTGCTGATAACTCTTGTAGGATGGGGATGTGAACCCCTTCACGAACAAACCATATTCCACACAATTCAAAAAGATCTTAGAGGCCCGGAAAAAGTTGCCTGTCTACGCGCAAATGGACGAGTTCTTTCAACTTGTGGGTAGCTCACTCTTCTCCTCGGACCCTGTGACTCACACAGTCCGATAGTTCAATAACAATCAATGCGTGGTCATGGTTGGTGAGACGGGGTCAGGGAAGACCACACAGTATCTGCTGTTTTTGCAGTCCCTTGTGATTGTTCTCATGCTCCGAGCAGAATACCGCAATTTGTCGCGTACTCAGATCTCCCACACACAAAGGGAAAACTGATCGCGTGTACTCAGCCGCGACGAGTTGCCGCAATGAGTGTTGCAAAGCGGGTAGCCGACGAAATGGATGGTGAGTCATACCACCCTGCCTCTGCCTAGCCAATTCTGATGCGTTCTTTAGTGCAACTCGGGAAAGAGGTTGGTTACTCCATCCGTTTTGAGGATATGACAGAGCCTGGAACGACGTTCTTGAAGTATATGACGGATGGTACACCCCATACTTTCAGATCTCCGAATCTGGCACTGATGCTCGCTCAGGTATGCTCTTACGAGAAGCCATGAACGATCACCTGCTTGAGCGATACTCCACCATCATTCTCGACGAAGCGCACGAGCGTACTCTTTCCACTGACATCCTGATGGGATTGTTGAAGGAGATTGCCAAAAAGCGGAAGGATCTGAAGATCATTGTCATGTCAGCGACGCTCGACGCGCTCAAGTTCCAGCGTTATTTCGGCACTGTTCTTTCGGACGACGGCAAACTTGCACCGCTTCTCAAAGTGCCTGGCCGGACATTCCCGGTGGAGACATTCTATACCCAAGAGCCGGAGCCAGACTATGTTGAGGCTTCCATTAGAACGGTGTTAATGATCCATCAAGCCGAAGACCCAGGTGATATCCTCCTCTTCTTGACCGGGGAGGAGGAGATTGAAGATGCATGTCGGAAGATCAAACTGGAGGCCGATGATCTCGACCCGTCAACAGTCGGTCCTTTACTCGTTATCCCACTCTACTCGTCTCTTCCGCCGGCGCAGCAACAGCGCATCTTTCAGCCTGCACCTTCCCCTCGTACAACAGGTGGCCCACAAGGTCGAAAGATCGTGGTGTCGACCAACATCGCGGAAACATCGCTCACGATTGATGGCATTGTTTACGTTGTTGATCCTGGCTTCTCGAAGCAGAAAGTCTACAATCCTCGTATTCGGGTGGAGTCTCTTCTCGTTTCGCCTATCTCAAAGGCCTCTGCTCAGCAACGTGCTGGTCGCGCTGGCCGTACACGGCCCGGGAAATGCTTCAGGCTGTACACGGAGAAGGACTTCATTTCTCAGCTGGAGGAGCAGACGCACCCAGAAATCCTTCGTTCGAATCTCGCAAACACCGTGCTGCAATTGGTGAAACTTGGTGTGACTGATCTTGTGCACTTCGATTATATGGATGCTCCGGCACCCGAGAGTATTATGCGCGCGCTCGAGATGCTCAATTATCTCACTTGTCTGGATGATGAGGGTAATCTGACGCCCCTTGGTGGCATGGCTGCCGAGTTCCCCTTGGATCCACAACTCTCAAAGATGCTCATCGTATCGCCTGAGTTTAAGTGTAGCAACGAGATATTGACCATTGCGGCGATGCTCTCAGGTATTGTTTCACAGTGCATGTTTCGGTGTGTTGCTGACTTAGTTGCCACAGTTCCGAATGTCTATACACGGCCGCCTAACATGAGGAAGGAGGCCGATGCTGCTAAGGCCTTGCTGGCAGTTCCTGACGGGGACCATTTGAGTTTGCTGAATGTGTACAACAACTACATGCAGAGTATGTCACTATTCCAAGGAAGGAAGCAACGAATTGTGACACTAGCATACTCAGATGAAGGTGACAAAAATTGGCTGTGGAACAATTTTCTCAACGGGCGTGCCCTTGCACAAGCACAAAACGTTCGCACTCAGCTACAAAGAACCATGGAAAGATTCGATCTCGAGCTGATTTCCAGCACCGATCAGCGAACCTTCTACGTCAATATCCGCAAGGCGCTAACGTGTGGTTTCTTCATGCAAGTGGCTCACAAGGAGGGCGAGAAAAACAACTACTTAACAGTCAAGGATAACCAAGTTCGTAGTGGCAGTGGCTTTTTCTAACTCGTCGCGACACTAATTCTTCCGTTGTGATGTTTTAGGTCGTCGCGTTACATCCCTCATGTGGACTTGACACACAACCCGAGTGGGTGTTATTCAATGAATTCGTTCTGACAACACGATCCTATATCCGGACTGTCACCGAGATTCGGCCTGAGTGGTACGTAGTTCCCATAGAGTAAACCTAATTACATAGAATGACGGCATTTAATACAGGTTATTGGAATTTGCGCCCACGTATTACGACGTCAAGACATTCCCCGATGGTGAGACGAAGCGGAGTTTGCTTCGCATACTTCAGAAACGTCAGGGAAGGGCGATGGCGAGTGTGGAGAACGGACGAGAGAAGAAACGCAGACGCCAGCAATAGAAAGCGCACAGTCCGCTTTCATGACCTGGTTCGGCTGCTGAGAGGTTCCGCTGGTATTCAGTTAATTTGTGGTCGTGTGTGCCAGAACCCTGTCTGTACTGCACTGTACAACACCATTCGGTCTGTGGGATCGAACGCTATTTCCGTGGGATGAATTTTCGGTGGGCATTCACCGAGCCCAAAGAGGCGAGGCAGTGGTGGGGAACGGTTTGCTGGCAAGGCAGAAGAGGAACATCCAGGAACGCACCCATGCCAAGCGAGCAATGTGTCAACTTCCATATCAGAACGCTTCTGTGGGCGTGCCCTATAGCGGTGACTTACAGCTGACTCAACGCTATGTTGCATAAATCTTGCGCGAAGATCTATCGTTAGCAGGTTTGGGCGCTAGACATCCAAAGCAGTAATACCACTTGCAATGGCTACCATAAGAGCGCGTAATGGCAAAAAGGTCCTTCAGAATGCCGAACGCAGCAACGATGCAGTACAATCCGGCCGATAGCCAATAGATACCTGCAGGATGAATATTCTGGTGAGGCGGTACAGTAGAAGGGTCCCCCCGACTAGGAATTTCCATCAGAGGCACACACAGATGGCAATTACCAAATGACTAGCAACCACATGCCGCAATTCACCAGTATGCATCGGAAGTCAACCTATCAGACGCGCCCGTGCTGTCTTCGAGAAGATACACCACCTACGGAGCACACCGAGCGCGCTTCCAAACGACTCACTTGGTGTTGCACATCCATCCCACACATCTTGTAGAGGCGCTGCCTCCATCTGCGACAGCACACGTTAAACCTGGCGCCGGTATCCGCTGCTCTTCTCCCAAGGATATAAGTGGCAAGCCGCTCCTCCCTTTTCCCAACATCCCTGCCATCCGGCCTTTACGCGAGCGACCTCCGCGTGTCCACGAAACAAAGGAAGCCTCAGGGATCTGGGCAAAAGCTGTTTGAAGGCGCCGGGGTTTTCTTGGACCCTGGAAACGTACGGCCATTTCATTATGAACTTGAAATGCCCGTACTAATGCAGATTGATAATGCGATGCGTAGGCTGAGGCGTGTGCTGTCTGTCGGCGTCCTCTTCTAGTCCAGTCTCCCCCCCTTCCCTCTTTCGCCTTGATTGGTTGAGAGAGGAAGCATGAGAAGCATCGGACCAATTTTGATGAAGCGGCGAGGAGAAGGGCGGCCGCAAACCTTTGTGGAGACACCGGCTCGGCCGGCAATGCCACCTTCTCCCTCATCTAAACAACCGGAAGGGTTGTGGGAGCGTTCTCAGACTCCAATGGTCATTCGGCAGCCTGCGTCCCCCCTCGAAGGACGCCATCCTTCTAGCGACAAGGACGATTCAGCATTGGATGGGACACGCGAATTTCTCAATCGCTTGTCCATCAAACCATGGTTCGGTCGAGGGAGTAGCCATCAAGCAGCCAGAAGCGTTAGCTGGAGAGGCAGAGAGCGAGAAAGGAGAAGGAGTCCAGTACCGCCAATCCACTGGCTCCCAGATGAGCTGTTACTCAGTATCCTGGCGATGAATGCCGTGGAAGATCCAGATTACGGAATTCTCGCAAGCCACATCGGTGCGTCTCATCGGAACATCCGAGACAGAGAAGTTGACTGTGTTCTCGCCGATAGATCAACGAGTGCGCAGTGTTGTTCTCAGTTATCCCTTCTTGTGGACGAATATCCAGTTGGAAGGCCCTTTGTCACAAGCCAAAGCAAGGGCCTTTTTACAGCGCTCGCAAAACCTTCCGGTCGACATTTATCTGCGTTATTTCTCCCAAAAAGACGCGGATGTCCTATTGTATGTCGCGCAGATCAACGAGTTCCGCAGGCTGTTCAAGGAGATTGCTGCGGCTTCGAATCGATGGCGGACATTGTCCTTCGATATACGTGATTACGACATCATGACGTACGCTGCGCGGGCGATTCCGCACCCACTGCCGTTGCTCGAGAAGATCATCCTCCGATGTCGGACTGCACCGCATACGCCAACCGAGGAACATGTATTCACCCTGTTCCCCGAAGGACAACCGCCCAAGCTGAAGCACATCGATTTCGATGCCGTCAACGCAAGATGGGATCGTCCGTTTGTTCAAGGTCTTGAAACAATGCGAATAGTTCGATCGGTCCAGTGCGTGCCAGAGACGGTTGAGCAGTTGTGTGCTAGCCTCCGCGTATCTCCTGGGTTGAAACGTCTGCAGTTGGAGAGCTTGAACAGTGTCACGTCTGGTGACACGATAAGACATGTTCCACTGGAAGAACTGGACATATTGATTTTCTGGAAAGTCAATCCAGACGTGGTGGGTAGAATGTTAGAGTACATTCAGTGCCCAAACCTGCGCGTGCTCGAAATCCAGTTGACAAGCTCGCGTCGGAACATGCCAATTATCGAAGCGCTTGGAACATCGATGATCCCATTGACGAACCTGCACATGCTGGGCTTGGGAGGATGCGACTACCCGCCAGATATCATATACACGGTCTTGAGGAGGCTATCCACATTGAAGGCAATCCGCGTCATCGGAGGCTCGCTTCCACATGCACTTCTCCATGGATTGTCTGGAAAGCTCGACTTCGACGGGACCGGTAATATGACAGAATGGATCTGTCCGCAGCTCGAGAGCCTCCAGATCAAGAATGCGACGAATATTACGGATAACGACGTGTGCAAAACGGTCGCCAGAAGATACAAAAACAGACAGACACAACGAATCAGGAGTGTATGGCTGGGTGGATGTCCACACATCACCGACGAGATTGAGCGGAAGTTGGAGCACTACAAGACGAGTGTGCAGCTGGCGTAAGGGGAATCGGAACGGAGAACATGTATTCAAACAGGCGATTTCCGTTGATCATGTTGGCTTTGTCGCTCTTGTTATCTGAACATCATGTACCCATGTAGCACTAATATCATCTGCTCGCGTCGCGTGTTGGAGGACCACAAGATGGTGGACGAATTGAAAGACGCTCTGTTCCAAAGCGTATGCCAGACGCCCGGAAGAACGGATAAACAGAAGCTTCGGAGGCAGGCCGGAACCAAATAACTCATTCTTCTACTTCAAGAGCGTTATTGCACTCGCGCGTCTGTACCACCAAAAAATGGCTCAATCATTAGACAAAGATGCGTTTTACCTGAGGTACGCACCTTATCAGCCTCTCTTGTTTACCTATGTCTGACTCGCGTGTTGCAGATACTAGTGCGTTGACTAGGCCAATGGTGCTCCGGGGAAACCGCTGACTGCAAATGTACCTAGTACCGGGCACGCAGGCCGACACGGACACGAGTTTCTAGAATTCGAGTACCACAAGGGCAGATTGCGCTACGCCAACAACTCGAATTACCGAAACGATCAATTGATCCGCAAAGAGAGTACGTTTGCCTTCTTATTGAAACACCGTCCGCATTGCGCCTTGGCCAACCATGGACCGAATGCTGTCCGAACGCGCTGCTTACGTGTTTTCATTTATAGTGTGCATCTCCCCGATTGTGGTAGGGGAGCTGAAACGGATAATCGAGACAAGTGACATTACCAAGTGCGTTGGTGTGATCCCGTGCACATCTAGGTGCTGACGACCTCTACAGAGAAGACGACGCAAATTGGCCGAAGAAGAGCATCGTAGGGAAACAGGAACTAGAAATTCGGATAGGGAACGAGCATATTTCGTTTGAGGTATGTATGGTGTATACACATTTGACGAGCTGATGCTTACGACTGGTTCCTCAGACTTCGAAAATCGGCTCCCTGGCTGAGGTGGCGGAGTCTGAGGATCCGGATGGTCTGCGAACGTTCTACTACTTGGTACAGGATCTGAAGGTATGTTTGGTATTGAGTTCAAGTTGAAATGCTCATCACAAACCTTGTATAGTGTCTCATATTCTCTCTCATTTCTCTGCACTTCAAGATCAAGCCTATATAGTTTTCATCCCCACATTACTGGGGATTGTGCTCTGAGATTCTGGTTCAGGACTGGAGCGCTGTACGCTAGCCTCATGTCATAATCTATGTACATCTCCGTCCATGATCATCTAGTGTTTTGTGACGGAGTTGTCCTGCCGAGAATAGGAACTGACATGTGATCCGTCCCACGCGCGATAGTCTCAGCTGTACCAGGATAACTTTGGTTCACATCCCTTCTGACAATCCATTTCTCCTGGTTATCTGCGTCGAGTGTCCACTACTGGATTACTAGTGGTACGGACAACGCTGACACTATCATCTCCACCGTCTCGGCAACTGCCACCCTATTGGACCTTTTTGTTTCCCTGACACCCACCTGACAGGCACCTGATTGTTACCCTTTAAATGGCACCTGCTGTTCACCACGCTCGTTCCGGCTCTCACGGCGCCGCCAGCACCTCCCGCAAGTCTGATTTCAACATGGCATCATTCTCTATTAACGAGAAGGTTCTGTGTTATCATGGTCCGTTGCTGTACGAGGCAAAGGTAAGCACGCGTCGTGCGCGACTCGAAGAGGGAACTAACGTCTTCTTGTCCGAAAGGTCCTCAAGAACGAGACGTGGGACGACACCAATTCAAAACTTGATCATTCACGAGGACCACACTACTTCGTGCATTATAAAGGTTGGAAGAACACGTTCGTCTTTTTGGTTTTATCTCTCTTAATATTTCAAAAATTGACGCGTTACCGAAATCGCAGATGGGACGAATGGGTGCCTCAGTCGCGCTTGCTCAAATTCACCGAGCACAATCTCGTGCTCCAAAAACAGCTTGTACAGTCTCATAAGAAGGCAGATTCCCCCCAATCAACGAAACCTGCCGCGTCTGGTGCTAGCGGAGGGAGGGATAGCATTGGTGGAGGGCGTCATTCCACCACGACAGATAGACGAAAGGACACCAGGGGGGTGAAGCGACCACGAGAGGATGTGCGCTGTTTTATTAGCTTCACTGTGGTGCAGAACACTAACGGTGTGGCCGTACATGTCAGGACGACAGAAAACCCGAGCTAAAGCTCGTCATACCGGATATTCTAAAGGTCCAGCTTGTAGACGACTGGGAAGCGGTCACGAAGAACAATCAGCTCGTCTCTCTACCCCGCGAACCCAACGTTCGCGAGCTCTTGGAAGACTTCCAGGAAACCCTCAAACCGCGAGTATCGCCGTAAGAATATACTGCTCAACGCGCGTATTCCCTTCTGATGCCATGTTGCAGAAGCGTCGCACAGCTGTTCCCCGAGCTGCTTGCCGGTCTCACACTATACTTCAACCGGTCTCTAGGCCAGAATCTCCTCTATAGATTTGAGCGCGCACAGTATGCCGAGGCGAAGAAGAAGTACGAGGTGGGAAAAGAACACGGCCTTGCAGAGCTGTATGGTGCTGAACATCTGCTTCGGATGATCGTCAATATGCCTGCTATGATCAAGGAAACCGGCATGGACCAAGAGAGTCTGCGACTACTAAGTGATCACATTAATGAGCTGCTCAAGTAAGTGCTTGTTCACCAATCCCGCGTGGATGAAATGAACCAACAGTTGCAGGTATCTTACCGATCGACGCGAACGAGTATTCCTGTCAGAATATGACAACGCAAGTTTACCTTATCTGAACATCTACCGCACATAATTCAATACATCTGGCAGACAAATGCCTTCCCAGGTGATATTGGATATCGGGGCACGATTGTACTCTGATATTGTATACTTTCTACCAATGCATTCGGTATACCCCGGCCCCCCTGCATCCCCACAGCTATCGCTATAACTTTTCCACTGCTGCAGTCACTTTCGGATTCTTGAGCCAATCTATCCGCACATCCTCTAGATGATCGTCAAAATCTCCCAGCTCATTCTGCAGGCTCTGCTCCTTGATCGCACCCAATGCCTTTCTCGGCAGATCCACCGCGGCGAGATGGAACGTGGAGACTTGCTTAGAGTCGGTGGAGCGGGTAGAGGGCGGACGTGAGGTAAATGAATTTGGAATAATCTTCAGGGAGGGTGAAGCAATGTATGGCTGTGGACTGTCAGCATACAGCCGCTAGAGATTTCATGACGCACAATGAGCCCCGCTTCGCCCATCGAAAGCCCTGCTGCATCCAGTACAAGCGCTATAGCGTCCGGACTAGTAGCTTTTATCTTCGAGACTATACGGTCGCCAATTGGGCCGAGCGTTTTCTCGTCGGCGCGGTCTGACGCCTCGTAATATCCTATTATCCGCAAGCCATTATCCTCAGCAAAACCGCCTGCCTATTCAATAAGTATGTCAGTGTGCTGGTTCTCATACCGGGTGTCAATGGACTTACCAAGTCCAGGCCGATCTCCATCATAGGGCTCAGGCTTGTCCAATGGTGCAGCAACGGCACCGCGTCGCTCACTTCGATGTCCGCTGCGCCAGACGGCGACGTCGTGAGCAGGACTCCGTTCACTGGATTTGTCGGGTATTTAGTGGCGTGCAATAAGACTTTCAGGTATGCCAGGCTCGAGATGGTGTATGATTGAGGAGCCATGGCTAGCTAACACTAGTGAAAGTTGGTGTTCTACCCAGACGATGAAGCGCGACGTCGACGTGTTCCGGTACATGTGGCGTTCCCACGGGTCCTCCTCTCGTTCTTCTTTGATCATCTCTCACCTAAGCCTTCGAGTGCTGTCATTTCATTCCTTTCCTTTCGCATGCCATAGGTCTTGGAAGCGACGGAACTAGTGGATGAAATACTTGCAGATCTCATCCTGCACTGTTGGCGCAGTTGGTCTTCTCTGCAAAGCCTTCCTCCGATGGGGATGCAAAGAGGTCAAAGTAGAAGGACTGGACGTACTCGTCAAGGCTCTGGAGGACAAGAGTCGTAGGGACAATGGCACGGGCATATTAACAGGTCTGTTTTGCCTACATGCGAACTAGTGACAACCTGTATCTGATAGGAAGTCTAGTCTGTAATCATATATCAGTGTACGCACAACCACGACTCTGGTCGCGTGCCACTCTCATACGTCAAAGCTAGGCTGGATGATCCTCTCATCTGGGGTGTCATGCCTACGTATACCTACTTTGACCCCAACCTAAGTCGTTGGACCTTGGGAGCCTCTGATATAATCTTTACCAATCCGTAAGCCCTTCTTTCCTCAAGCCATTGTTTCCATTCCTCATATGGAGGCAGCCTTTTCGGCGTCTTCTTCCGTACAGGTCAGGTATTTGAGACCTTTCGGGGAGGGGGGATATATCAGACGGCGGTGGACGACGCCATTAGGACGTTGGATGATGGCAGATGGGTATGTTCCTCTGTGTGAACATCCGTCCCTTCTTGGCCATCATGTTGACCTCGAATTAGATTCACATCTATCCCGAAGGAAAAATAAATCAGCCATGCTATAACCCAGCAGGGGGATTGTTCCCCTTCAAATGGGGAATGTGAATACGAGTGTAAATGCATTGTTACCGCGCTGACAAGAACCTAGGGGAAGAATGATCATGGAAGCGAAGTCAATGCCGATCATAATTCCAATGTGGATTACCGGTACACCTCTACTGCTTCTATAGCTGCTGCGATTGACTCTTCTCCCGAAGGGACTGATCAAGTAATGCCTGAGCCGCGTTATTTTCCGAACAAGTTCCCTGTTCCAGGGAATCGCCTATCGATTACGTTCTCACATGACCCGAAGTTAAACGATGCTGTTGGTGACATCCGAGCACAATGGCTTGCTCGAGGACGACCAGAAGCCGAAACAGCCAACACCAGGAGCCGAGTCACTGCGAGGATAAAGGACTCCGTACAAGCTCTACGTAATCGAATTCAAGCCGCTTCTTCAACACGATAGTGCCTATATTCTCTGCAAGTCTTTGAGAGAGCTCTCGCAGAGATGACACCGAATTTGTCAACCGCACCGACGCATGGGTCTGTTGCAGTCCTTGGACAGAAACTGTGCAACAATCGTGCTTCTTCCAGCAAGCCTTTGTCCGCACGGCTAAGAAGGACTTGATAGTCTGATGAAGCGCATCTGTGTAGCCTTGGTTGTCATTGTATCACTAGTTATAATCCTACTACTTTCAGTAGAGTAAACACGATCGATTGATCATTGATCATATGGACAATGACGGTTTGCTTCCGCACGTTCGAGCCTGTTGATGAAAACGTGAAGGCTGCACACAGCGTGGCACCTTCCCCCCTTTCTTGCTTTCGCTCCCTGTTTACACCCTGCTCTCCCTCCACACTATCTAACGCCCGACCAGTCATCTTGTAACGGTCTCGATCTATTGGACAACCCTCTCTTTCTGTATGACATGGAGAACGATGGGAGAGCGAAGCGTCTTGAGGGGACACATCATTCCAGGGAAATAGTTATGGATGATCCAAGTCCTAGTGAGGAGCGAGATGTGCTTGCTCTCTTGGAAGAAGACGCCCATACTAGTATCATCGAAAACGACGGAGAGGATCAAAGCGAAGACACGAACAACGCCATTGGGAATGACGACGACGAAGAGGACACTGCCCAGTTTCTGCTATCGATGGGAGCGCAACCACTCCTGTCTCTCATTCCTAAAAGTCCATCCCCCCCGCCTCCTGAATCGGACGATGATGCAATGCTTGACATGAGCAGTGAGGCCAAGGGCTCAAATATCGAGATTTCCCAGTTGTATTCACTCTGCAATCGGCTTTATGGCAACTGTGATTCTCTCCAATGGAGCTTTGGGCCAGAAGGTGGTGCTGCAGCAGGTACGCTGAATCTTTTATGCCCCGTCTTTTCCGTGTGTAACAGGGGTGCAGATAAAAAAGCTACCCTTATTATTACACTCCCAAACGGCAACAAACGTCTGTTCAAATCCCGAGGCCATTGGAGAAAGAAAGCGCAGGCGAAGGCATCCGCGGCATTGGTTGCCATTGAATCAGGAGCGATTGATTTCCTGGCTACCGGTAGCGATGAGAAAGCCCGGATTCAAGGCCCTGTTTCCGAAAACGTTGAAGCAGATGGAAAAACTTCAGAGGATAAGTCTTGTGAAGAGCGTATCATCGATCAATGCCAAACCTGGCGGAAGGGAAAAGTCCAGCCTGTCTACACGTACACAATTGACTCGAAGCAGGGAATTGGTGCGTAGCCATGCTTCGGATTAGCGACTAGATGCTCATCCTACCGACAGGCTTTGGATGTGCCCTATCCATCTATTTATCAAAGGTCATACAGCGATCATGGAGCATACGCATAGCATATCCAACCAAACAGGAAGCCAAAGTTGCTGTTTGCCAGGAGGCCATTCGTAGTGGCATAATGGATTTCATCGCACATGGGGATGGGTTGAAGGAGCCTTGGGACGATAACGCGGCTGCCAATCATCCAAAGAAGATCAAGGAGCTGATTCTCCTTGGTGCCACGAAGGACGACCCAACTCATATAAGTCAACAAGCATACTACGATGCCCTGAACAAGGAGAATGTCCCTAGTGATGTAGGCTTCGGTAATCACCCGATCAACCCTATCAACTATTTCTATCAACTGGTAAATCGGGTCAGGCGGTTCGGTGTGCTGGAACAATTCACCAACATCAGCGAGCCTAATGTCCATCAAGGTGGGAGAGTTTTGTATGATGCATTGGCTGCCCCTAAAGCATTTTGTAGCTCATGGCTGTTTGTTGCGACTGGCACATGGGGAAGACTCCTTTTCATATCTTGTACCTAGTGCCTTCGCCAAACGCAGCGAAGCGAAAGCCGCTGTTTGCCTTCTCGCCATTTCTCAAGGCGTGAAAGCCATTCTAGAAGATATACACAAAAACCGGTCAACAGACGGAGCGCCGAGGGTGGGAAAAGATCATAATAAGGGCATTGCCAAAAGCAGAGACATCATCACGTTATCTCCAGGAGAACAAGGCTTAGGGGAGCTTTGTTTGGAGGCTATCAGTGCAGAACTCAGGTTATTCCGGCTGGATGCAACCCCCAAGTTTGACGCTCAGAAGAATCCAGATGGCAGTCAGTGTATTTCGGATCAATCAGTCGTGTGCGAGGCTCACGTTGTTGTGCAGGTTTTACGACCCGAGTGGAAGTCTTCACAAATCCTAAGGAGCGGCGCTTATATGCCTCGACAGGAAAGTTTAAAACCAAGCATGATGCTAAACTGGCTGCCTGTGTTCTGGCCGTCGAACGCGGCATTTTGGAGTTCATCCGTTTTCGTGGGGCCCCTGTGCCAAACGGATACGTTCGACCTCCTGTTGGTGGCGTTGACATTCCCTATGTTCCTGATCCGGCGCAAATGACTGATATACGACAACCCTTTGCTGCTGGGCATCGTGTGGCTGGCAGAGGATCTCAGGCTTTCTCGTCTCGCGAGTCTCTTCCACCAACATACCCTCATGGGGTAGATCGTCCTGATGATCGCTATGCTTATTCTGTCCCTCCTGTTTCTGACTATGGTAACGGTGACTATGCTCCTCCTGGGCCTGACCCTTTTTTTCACACTCGACATGAAAGTCGCGGGGCCTATGAGTACCCCGATCAAGCAGATCTCTATCCTGTTGTGTACGATCACCCTGGTGAGTTTTCTGGTCCACACTATCCTCCGCCGCCCAGTGCTCCTGCTCGATATCCGCCGGAACGTGATTACTGCAGGAACGATCTTTCGGAGATGGGTGGCGGATACGATCCACATGGCCCTGCTGGAAACGCGTCATACCAACGTGATTACCAGAATCAACCAACTGTAGACTTCTATGATCGTTATCCTACTGCTCCGTGGCCGTCTGGGTCACATTTTGACTATCCGACTGAAGGGAGATATGACTCTGACTACCGTCCTGCTGAGGCTCACTCCTATCCTGGGTATCCTCCCTATGCTCCTCCCCCTTCAGATGACCGTCGTTCACACTATGACGACTCGCACGAGTACACTTCACATCACGATGAATTGCCGTACCATCCGTACCCTCGGGAACATCTGTACTCAGGTGGAGGACCGGAACACTCTGAGGACCGAGCGGTGACCGATACACCTTCCGCACCGCGAGAGCGCCGGGTTGACACGTCTGACCAATGGCGGCCGTCTTTGCATTGGGATGACAGGAGACTGGCTGTCAATGGGAAACTGCCGACCATTTCGCCCACTACGCTGGGGCTATCCTCTGCTGCTGTCGTTGCTCTTCTTGCGCCTAAAAACTCACCAGTTGTGACGGCTAGTTCATCCAAGCCATCTCCTTCAGTTGCCATCCCTGTGCCTCCCTCCGGGACATCTCCGTCAGCTTCAAAATCGGCCGATATCGACCGAAACGCAGACACCTCCAAAGGAATGCTCCTCAAGAATCCCCAAAAAAGAACACGGGACGACAACAGCCAGAAGACGCCAGTGTCTCTGATCAAGACCAAATCGTTCTTCAACGAACTGCTCGGTATGTCCGTATTATTGAGCAGTCCAGGTTGTCTAACCTGGGATGCAGACTTCTGCAGGGACAACAACTTTGGTCTTCCTGAGTTCCACTCGGAGCCTATTATGATCGATTCAAACACGAGATACAAAGTCTGGGTTACATTGGAACGAGAGAGGATGGAGCTGAAAACGACATACGCTTCAGTGGCTGAGGGGCGTGAAAGACTCAGCAAAATAGTGGAAGAGAGACTGAAAAATAAACTCGCCAATGAAGGCCCGCCCTCCAAGAGAATCAAGATGGAAAGTCGTTAAAGCTGTGTTTCCGCATCTGATTGAGCTCTGATGATATTGGTTGGTTGCATCTATCTATTTACATATATCCATTCAGTAACAATGTAACCGTTTGTTTTCATTTTACATTGCATAGATATCATGTTGTGATCAAAATATATTGTTTCATGGTGATCGTGAAACACGAGAATACCAAGAACTATCAGGGTCGTTTGTCTCCGCCCATGCCGTCCTGACACACCACGTAATAATTGTCACCGCCACCAACGCTGGGAGGCCATCAACAGTACTACCCGGAAACCTGACATACCGCCCCCCTCCTCGCAGCACGCGCATATATTCACGTCTCTCATTCCAACAACCATCTGAACAGTAGAGCGTTGCAAAGAAGTTTTTATCTAATGGTGCCAGTCGCCAATACACCTCCGGATGTCCCCATTGTGGTCGTGCTCGACAGATATTGCCAGCCGGGGCAACTCAGCATGGTTGTCCCCCTGATCACGGCATTGATTAAGCAATATCCTGAGTCGCACGTACGTATTGATCAATCATCAACCTCTCCTTTCTTACATTCACTGCCATCCAGAAACATGGTCAGATCCGCATGGCGTCTGTCACCTTCGACACCACCCAGACGAACGAAATGCTCAACCCTCTTCACTGGTTCGAGAGCGTCGAGTCGATGCTACCTCGTTACCAGAGCAAGGAGGCATGCCTAAGCAAATTTGGAATCCGTCCCGGCACGGGTGCCAAGGGTAAAGGCGCCATGGTGGAGGGTATCGTGGCGGGAATGGAGGTACGCGCCTGCACCCACTCCACCAGTGTTCTTGACTCACGGTCCGGCAGCTGTTCAAGTCCCAGGCGAACGAAGGATTTGTCGACCATAATCCGCCCGGCCCACCTGTACCATCGCATACCAAACTGCGCTCGTTCGCAGATTCTAAACTACAAAAACACATGACCAATCCCGTCCGCCATATGGTGCTGCTCAGTGCTCTTCTCCCGGACACTGGTGCTCGTGCGATTCGCAACAAGTACACAGACTTTGATGGATGTGCGTGGGGTCAATTGCCAGAGAAGCTGAAACAGGTACGTTGTTCCCCAATCGTCCCGCATGCCTACCCCTGATTCCCCTGGCCAGTTGAACATCAACTTGTCCGTTATCAACATGAATAGCGCGCCAAAGATAGCAGAACTACATGCAGCGGCAACACCCAAACCATCCGAGGTGTGGTTCAACCGGCCGCCGCATTTCCCTCACTTCCAGATGTTATTGGCTGGGTTCGACACCAGTGAGTCCAAGGGTCTACAGGGGCTTCGAACGGGTCCTGATCTATTCTCGAAGAAGTCCTTTCTCAATCAGCGCCCAATGCGAATACTCCAGCAAAACGACCAACACCAGAATCTGACATGGCGCAGTCTCCAAACTCTAAACGTGCCCGAAATAGCACAGATGCTTCAGCAGGTCCTCACCCGCCGCTCCAACCTCCTGCCTCCTCTATGGGCCAACCACCAAGCGTTACCAACCCTCCTCACCCACCCTCTCAGAACGAGAGTGCCCCGGTACAGGTACAGTCTGCACCAGCTAATCATCCTGCCCCTAGTGGATTGGCTGGACGTCGTTTAGCAGCACCTCATATGTCTCTGCCGCCCCTCCCGGCTGGACCTACAGGCAGCGTACCAGCTCAAATACAGCTGCAAAATGCCGCTCCAGCACAACCCTCAGTCATTTCCGCGGTGCCACCACCGAACGTGCCGGCTCAGTGGCAATCCGTGTTGGCGATGAACAATCAAAATGGTTCAGCGGCCGCTGCCAACGGACCCATGCCTCAACCGAGCTCAGTCGTACTGGGTGCAACTGCGAAGCAGCCTCCTGCTGGAACCCACTCGCGCAGTGCCAGCATACAAGGCATCCCGAACGCACAGAACAGGATTGCTGCACCGGCATCGGCCCAGTTGCCCGCACCTTTATTTTCTGGAGCACAGCAGGCAAATGTCAATATTTCGGGACATGCTCGCTCCGTTTCCACAAATGCTGCAGCACCTGGACAGACGAATCCATCCGCCGGAGGACAACAAGTCAATAACCTGTTAACGCAGAGCGCATCCATGTCATTGCCGTCTCCCCGGGCTCACCCTCCTGGCACCCTTTACCCCTTCCCACCAACGCCGCCTCCTGTGAGCGTAGATTTGAATGATCCTGAAACAATCAAGCGAGCATTAGACAAGGTAGCTCAAGATTACTTCCAACAGCTCCCTCCCGCACTACAACAAAGAGTCAAGACTGAGCTTGCTGCTAACAATTCGTCCGCAACGGTCGAAGATATCTCCAGGGCTCGAGCTCTTGCTGTCTTGGGAGGGCTGGGCGTAACTGCACGCAAGCTCGCTTCGCCCAAACATGAGAGAATGCACCAGAGTCTTTATGAGCTCGTGCATGCTCGGTGGCCTAGACAGAGCAACATGCTACCAACAGGACCACCGTCTGTTGGGAATGTCCCTCCGTCTGTTAACGCGGGGCCATCTCAGCCTCAGCAGCCAGCACCCGTACCCTCTCGGCCAGAGAGTACGGTCTCAAACGCAGCCGCACTTCAAGCACAACAGAAAAACTTTTTGTTACAGCAACATCAGAAGTACACAGCTGCTCTGCAAGCCCAGATGGCACAACAGGCTCAGGCTGCACAGCATCCCCTACTGCCAGCTCAGTCGACTCCACCTCCACCTGACTCGCCACATATACCCCTGTCGAGTCAGGTCCCTCCACGTCAGTTGCCTCGACCTGGTGCTGTGGCTGGCCACAATCAGATGCGCAACAGTCCCATACTAGGCGAGAACCAGTCCCAACCTAGTATCACTCGGCCGTCGACAACTCAACCACATGCCCAAGTGCAACAGCAAGCTCCGCACATGCAGCAGATGCCCGCACAGGGTCCAATGGCTATGGTCCAGCAGAACATGCAGCCTCAAATACAGCAGAGTACGCCTATGGCTACGAGTAGTCAAGGAATGCCGATGCAGCAACCGGGAGGTGTTCAGATTTCAAATCAGGGACAAGGAGCCCCCCGACTGCCGTTCCTAAACACCGAGGCGTTACGAGACATTGCGTTCACTTGGAAATCAGACACGGGACAAAACTTGATGGTGTTCGCTGGTGTGGGTAGGTTGAATCGGCAAGATACCCGAGTGGAAGCAATGTATGTCATGATGCCATGGCGTCCTCGCATACCGTTCTCATGTGTGCGTTTTTAGTCAGCAGCTTCTCAGAAGCTGGCCGGACAGCCTTCATGTACCAGCCTGGTTTGCAAGTCGCTTCGGGGAAAAGACGTATGTGAAAAAACTGATGGAAATGGCGCTTGCATTGTGGATCACTCCCGTCGCGGATTCGAAATTAGGCGACAAAGCGCAGTTCAACCAGAATATGTTCCAGCAGTTCAACGATATGTTTCAGAGGGGTGCTAGGCTTGCTTACATCCCTGTTCCCATGAATGGTAGGCAGGATACTGGACTGGTACTTATGTATCCTCCTATTCCTAAGGACGTCAAGATGGTTATGGCAATTTGCTTCCACGACAGGGCAGTTCCCCCGCAATTCACTGGTCCCCAGCCTTCCAATGTTCTTGCCCCAATGATATCACAAAATCCTGCCATGCTATTGCAATTGCAGCAAGCACAATTGCAGCAGCAGCAGCAGCCACAACAGCAGCCACAACAGCAGGCCATGGTCAACGGACGTCCTGGACTGCCAATGGTTACCGAAGAACAACGGCAAGCGTATCTGCGGATGCTTATCCAGGCTCAGACTGCTCAGGCTCAGGCTCAGGCTCAAGTGCAGGCCCGGAATCAAGCATCTAATCAAGGTTTGCAGCAACCGCAGCAGCAGATAACCCAGCCTGGTCAACCTCAGCCTATGCCACACCAGACCCCACAACAGCAGGTCATGCAACAGCAGGCCATGCAACGGACAACGATGCAAGCGCAAGTTCAGCCGCAACAGCTTGCTCCACAGCAACAACCTCAGCTACCCCAACAACAACCTCAGCTATCGCAGCAGCAACCTCAACTGCAGCAACAAGGCCAACGGTCGCGCATAATTCAGCAAATGCAACAAATACTTCGTATGCCCGCTCCACCCCCTGGCACAAATCCGGAGCAGTGGCAGCAGCAGAAGCAGTGGGCTCAACAGACCCTGATGCGTATCCGACAGACTCAACTACAGGCAGCGAACGGAATGCAGGGGCAAGCACCGAATCAGGTTGGAGTGCGTGTCGGGATGCAAAGTGGACCTAACGGCATGGCCGGCAATATGGGCGGGGTCAACAACGCTGCGATGACGGCGATGCAGAACTTCATGATGAACAATAATGGTGGAATGGGGCAGCAAGCCGGGATGGGCGGTGGCATGCCCGGTGGTCCAGGCAATGGCATGAACATCAATCAAACGATACAGAACATGTTCAATCAACCTTTGGCCCCACAGAACCCTAGTGGTGGCGGTGGGATGGGGGGATTTAACGCCCAGCAGCTGCAGCAAGCCATGGCCATGGGTGGTTTGAATATGGGTGGCGTGGGGGTGGGCAATATGACCCAGCAACAGCAAGGAGGATTCAACACTCAAGGGGGTGGAGGAGGGCAGGGGATGATTCCGATGAACCTGGCCGGATTTGGGATGCAGCAACAACAAGGACAACAAGTGCAAGGCGGGAGTTCTCAGATTAGCTTGGACTTGCTGCAAGCGTATATCCGCAACAACAAAGAAGGGTCGATGTAGGGTCGGTGGGGAGGCTGTCTTGCTTTCTGTCTCTTTTGGGTGCGATGACACCTTCTTTTCATTTAATGACTTTCATTATTGTCCTCCACGTAAATACCACTGCATAGTATTGTAATGATAATGAACTGGATGTACATTAATCTTAACTGTGATAGAGAATAAACGCACTCTGTTGTACTCTCCCTTTTTCTCAATACCCTTGCTATGATCACGTCCCTGAGAATCGGAGAATGAAATTTTATTTTGGTCATCGGAGTCGGAGAGGCTGAGCAACCGTTGGACGCGTTAAATTTGACTCGGGGTTCGCGTTCTAAGCTTTTCTTTCTCTTTCTCTCCTCTCCTCCAGAAAGAAACTGGAGAAGACGGACACCATTCGCGCGACTCTTTTCATTTCATCAGAGCTACGTGACTGTAATCCAAACGATCTCTTTCTTCCTCTCTCGGATATCCTCACATCTTTCTTCCTCGGCGCGAACTCCACAGCACCACCTAACGAACTTCAACGACCAGCAAAGGAAATACGGAGAGAAGCAGAAACAAAACGATGGAACCATCATCGGATAAGCATGTTCACACCAACGGCACTGCTGGGCAGGCCCCGATGTTCACCATATCCACCGGCCTTGCCGATCCCCGCCTCATGGCTGTTCCCAGCTCGGGTCTCAGTACCAGCGGCAGCTCAGCGGGCTCCGAGTTCGAGCTCGATGCCACGCCTACAGAGCCCATCAATACCGCTGGAGCGGCGCAGGAAGCAGCCAATGCTGCTGCCGAAAATGTGAACGGCGGACCTACCCTTCGCTCGCCCTTCATCCCGGTGACCCCGGCCCCTCCTGTGACCGTGCTGCCTTCAGCCCTGACTGCGACCGGATTTGGTAATGGAGATGCAGTGCTTGAGTTGGCGGACGGGACGGCATATGAGGGAATCAGCTTCGGTGCGCCAGGGAAGAGCGTCGCTGGCGAGTGTGTATTCCAGACCGGTGAGCCGCCTTCCTGCTCCTCTACTGGGGCGGTTGGCTGAAGCACGCTCGGGGCGCAGGAATGGTTGGTTATACGGAAAGCTTGACGGACCCGTCATACGAGGGCCAGATCCTTGTGCTCACTTACCCCCTCGTGGGTAACTATGGTGTTCCAGAACGCAAGACCGCTCCCATCCGCGAATTACCCCTTGAGTTCGAATCCTCCAAGATCCATATCGCAGCACTGATTGTCGCCTACTACTCGGAGGATTTCTCGCACTGGCTTGCGAAGAGCTCCCTTGGCGATTGGCTGAAGGAAAACGGCATACCTGCAATTTACGGCGTCGATACCCGTGCTTTGACAAAGCGCATTCGTGAGAAGGGAAGCATGCTATGCAAGGTGCTTGTGCGGCGCCCCGGAACGCCTGACAGACTGAGCATGCCGTACGGTACCACCGCCACTGATGCACTTACCGCAACCATGCCTTCGTCACGTGTAGCAAGCAGGACGGGCAGCCCAACGAGCTCCGGCGCGTGGAAAGAAAACTACGAAGACTTGCCTTTCTCCGATCCTAATTCGCTCAACCTCGTCCAGATGGTCTCGATCACCCAGGCGCGCATATTCAACCCGAAGGAGGTGTCTAGCGTAGATCCCCTCATGCACCCCTCTGGTCGCCCCATTCGGGTCATCGCGGTGGACGTAGGAATGAAGTACAATCAGATCCGGTGCTTCACCAGTCGGGGCATCGAGCTCAAAGTCGTCCCTTGGGATTATGACTTCCTCGCCATCTCTGAGGACGCGTACGATGGCCTGTTCATCTCGAACGGCCCGGGTGACCCGACCACGGTGTCGGCCACCATTGCACGGTTACGCAGCGCGCTCTCGCAGACAGGTGACGCTTTGAAACCCATCTTCGGTATCTGTCTTGGTCACCAGTTGCTCGCACTCGCCGCTGGCGCAAACACCAAGAAGATGAAATACGGTAACCGCGGACACAATATCCCCTGCACGGATGCGCAGTCTGGAAGGTGCTATATCACCTCTCAGAACCACGGATTCGAAGTAGATGCGCATACATTGCCAGAAGGATGGCAGGAGTTGTTCCAGAACGCGAACGATGGGAGCAACGAAGGTATTTATCATGCTGAGAAACCGTTTTTCTCTGTCCAGTTTCATCCGGAATCCACACCTGGTCCGAGGGATACCGAGTTCTTGTTTGATGTCTTCATCGGCAAGGTCGTGGACTATGCGACGAAGCAGCCTCCTACTGCAGTCACCATGCCAGGTGGATCCAGAGTTGAGAACGAGCATCGTGTACCTCGCGCGACGGTTAGAAAGGTTCTCATCCTCGGCTCAGGAGGGCTGTCCATCGGCCAGGCTGGCGAATTTGACTATTCCGGCTCGCAAGCGCTCAAAGCACTGAAAGAGGAGGGCATTTATAGCATCCTTCTCAACCCGAACATCGCTACCATCGCGACGAGCAAGGGAATGGCGGACAAGGTCTACTACCTCCCAGTCACGAGCGAGTTTGTACGCAAGGTCATCAACTACGAGCGTCCGGACGGGATCTACGTCACTTTTGGTGGCCAGACCGCACTCAACGTGGGCATACAGCTCAAGGATGAATTCGCCAAGCTTGGGGTGCAGGTCTTGGGCACGCCTATCGACACGATCATAATGACCGAAGATAGAGAGCTCTTTGCTAGGAGCATGGAGCAGATTGGTGAGCGCTGCGCCCAATCCGCCAGTGCGACGACCGTCCCAGAGGCTGTGGCCGCTGCCACGTCGATCGGCTATCCCGTCATTGTCCGTGCTGCCTTCGCGCTTGGAGGGCTCGGCTCTGGATTTGCGAAGAATGAGCAGGAGCTCACGGTCCTTTGCAACAAGGCTTTCGCGACCAGCCCGCAGGTGCTGGTGGAGAAGAGCATGAAGGGCTGGAAGGAGATCGAGTACGAGGTTGTGCGCGATTGCCGGGATAATTGTATCACTGTTTGCAACATGGAGGTGAGTCCCCTGGTCATCCTTGATCACGAGATTGGTGCTCATACTTGACAGAACTTCGACCCTCTGGGAATTCATACTGGAGACTCGATCGTGGTTGCCCCGTCTCAGACGCTGTCGGACACAGAGTATAATATGTTGCGTACCACGGCGGTCAACGTAATCCGGCACCTAGGCGTTGTTGGAGAGTGTAACATTCAGTATGCGTTGAATCCCTTCTCCAAAGAGTATTGTATTATCGAAGTCAACGGTACGCTGTCACTGAAAGCGTGTGGGAGGATGAACTGATTTATCTCTTAGCTCGACTGAGTCGTTCCTCCGCTCTCGCTTCAAAGGCTACTGGTTACCCTCTTGCCTTCATCGCCGCCAAGCTGGGTCTCGGCATCCCTCTTAACGAGATCAAGAATTCCGTGACCAAAGTCACGTGCGCCTGTTTCGAGCCTTCCCTCGATTACGTTGTCGTAAAGTTCCCCCGCTGGGACCTGAAGAAGTTTACGCGAGTAAGCAAGTTGCTCAACTCGAGCATGAAGAGCGTTGGTGAGGTTATGAGCATTGGGAGGACGTTCGAGGAAACGATTCAGAAGGCCATTCGGGCCATTGATGATTCTTTTGGCGGATTTGATCCAGTATATTTTGTCTGCATCTTGAATCTGATTCGGACCCTGACGACCTTCGTAGACCAGTTGGAAGGCAGAGAACAAGCAACATCTTCATGCCCTCCTCGAAGATGAGCTATCCAACCCCACGGATATGCGCATGTTCGCCATTGCTACTGCATTCCAGGAGGGCTATTCGGTCGACAGGATTTGGGAACTGACCAACATCGACAAGTGGTTCTTGCGCAAACTAGAGTCACTGTGGGGCATGTCACAAATGCTTACGTAAGTGCAAGTCTCTCTCAATGTGACTTTGATGGCTAAGTTGCCAGCAGGGAATTCACTGCTTCGACTATTTCCCCGGGTATGCTTCGCCAGGCTAAGAGGATGGGCTTTTGTGATCGTCAGCTTGCTTCCTATCTTAGCTCGAACGAGCTCGCTATCCGTCGCCTCCGACAGGAGTATGAAATTGCGCCGTTCGTGAAGCAGATCGATACCGTGGCTGCAGAGTTCCCCGCATACACGAACTATCTCTATACGACGTACAACGCCGTAGAGCACGACGTGTCGTTTGGGGATCGCGGTATCATCGTGCTAGGCTCTGGTGTTTATCGCATTGGCTCCTCTGTTGAATTCGACTGGTGCGCGGTGCGCGCCATCCGTACTCTTCGTCAACAAGGCTACAAGACGGTAATGGTCAACTACAACCCGGAAACGGTCAGTACAGATTACGATGAAGCAGATCGTCTGTACTTCGAGAATATTAGTCTCGAGACCGTTCTAGACATCTATGATGTTGAGCACTCATCTGGTCTCATCCTTTCCATGGGGGGGCAAACACCCAATAACATCGCCCTGCCCTTATACCGCCAGAATGTCACTATTTTTGGCACTTCCCCGGAAATGATCGATACTGCGGAGAATCGCTTCAAATTCTCTCGTTTGCTCGATAAGATCGGCGTGGATCAGCCTTTGTGGAAAGAACTAACGAGCCTGCAAGAGGCGCACGAGTTCTGTGCAAAAGTGAACTATCCAGTGCTTGTGCGCCCTTCATACGTCCTGTCGGGTGCTGCAATGAATGTGGTGTACTCTGCGGACGACCTCTCGAACTTCCTTGGACAGGCTGCGGAAGTTTCAAGGGACTACCCTGTCGTCATCTCTAAATACATTGAAGAGGCAAAGGAAATTGAAATGGACGCCATCGCCAAGGACGGCAAGCTTGTTATGCACTACATCTCGGAGCATATCGAGAATGCAGGTGTGCACTCCGGCGACGCTACTCTCGTATTGCCTCCCCAGGATCTGGACCCCGAGACTGTCCGCCGCATCGAAGATGCCACACAAAAGATTGGGAATGCTCTGAACGTGACCGGCCCATTCAACATTCAGTTCATTGCAAAGAACAACGAGATCAAAGTGATCGAGTGTAATCTCCGCGCCGCACGCTCGTTCCCTTTCGTCAGCAAGGTGACCGGAGTAGATGCCGTGGAGATGGCTACCAAGGTCATGCTCGGCATTCCTGTCGAATCATATCCCGATCTAAACCTTCCTCCCGATTATGTCGGTGTAAAGGCACCTCAGTTCAGTTTCAGCCGTCTGGCCGGCGCCGACCCTGTTTTGGGTGTCGAAATGGCTTCTACGGGTGAAGTTGCTTGTTTCGGAGAAAACAAGTTCGAGGCCTACATGAAAGCTTTCTTGGCGACTGGCAATGTCAAGCCAAAAAGCAACATCCTCATCTCTATTGGTGGATACAAAGAGAAGCTCGAGATGCTGCCATCAGTTCAGAAGCTTCATCGCGCCGGGTACAACCTCTTTGCTACTGCCGGAACTGCCGATTTCTTCACTGAGCACCATGTCCCATGCAAGTACCTAGAGGCGCTTCCTGCTGGTGTGACAGACAAGCAGAAGCTTGAGTATTCGTTGACTCAGCATTTGTCCAACCGTCTCATCGACCTATATATCAACCTGCCGTCACGTAACAAGTATCGTCGGCCAGAAGGCTATAATAGTCGTGGTTACATGACCCGGCGGATGGCTGTTGATTTTGCAATTCCAATCATTACCAATGTCAAAGTGGCCAAACTCCTTGTAGAGGCACTCGTCCGCAAGTTGGCCTTGGATGTGTCACCTACGGACTTCAAGACATCCCACACAACCTTCACCTTCCCCGGCCTCATCAATGTAAACGCGTATGTGCCGGACTTGCTACACCAGGACCTGGATTCTCTCCTCCAGGCGACTAGGGCCTCTGTCAGTGGTGGCTTCACTACTATGCACATTATTTCCGACGGCGGGATTAAGGACGACCAGGCCCTGGAGCTTGCTCAACGCCAAGTTTCCGGGAAGACATACTGTGATTATGCTTTGTCTGTTGTCGCCACTGCGGATAACGTTCATTCGGATGACCTCAAGATCGCTGCCAAATCGTTGTGCCTTACCAGCGCAGAGAGCATTGCCGTCACAGCAGCCCATTTCACCACATGGCCTGCTGACAAACCCATCGTGACTGATGCCACCACAAATGAACTGGCCTCGATACTGTTGCTCGCTAGCCTGAACAACAGAAGCGTGCACGTTACTAACGTCCGCACAAAAGAAGATATCCTCTTGATCGCGCTGAGCAAAGGGAAGGACCTCAAGGTCACCTGTGATGTGTCCGTGTATTCGTTGTTTTTTACACGCGAGAAATATCTCCATGCGCCCTGCCTGCCGACATTAGCCGATCAGCAAGCATTATGGGAGAACCTCGCCTTTATTGATGTGTTCTCAACTGGCCCGATGCCTTATCAGCTTGCCAAGGCCCTTGGTCACCAATACACTCCTGGGTCCGGCTTCGAAGAAACGATGCCCTTGCTCATGTCTGCTGTTATGGATGGAAGGCTGACACTAGACGACATCAAGATCCGGCTACATGACAATCCGATGAGGATCTTCGATATTCCCGAGCAACCGTCCTCACATGTAGAGGTTGTGGTGGATCGTAACGCGGTCTTCACGCCCCGCCAGACGCATTGGTCACCATTGGAAGGTCGTATGTTGCCTGGCACCGTTCATCGCGTTGTCATGCAGGGCCACACAGCGTATTTAGACGGCATCGTGGTTTCAACACCTATGGGCCGGGATGTCTCTGGCATGATCTCGCCCAAACGTCACACGGTGGAGAAGCCTCGCAGGACATCCATTGCTTCTGCGGTCAGGCCGCAGCTGCAAGAAGTTCCACCATCTCCTACTTTGAGCAGTGGGAGCGCTTACAAATCGCCTCAGTTGCGTGCCACCGACGCAGGCGCTGTTCCGGGTTTGACGCATTTGTCCACTGCAACCGCTGCTACTACTGCCACACCTCAGAGCATGGTTAGCACTGCGCCTCGTGGTCCCACCCGGCCCTTCGCTGGCTTCACAGGTCATCCAGCCTTCAGCCGTCGTCATATACTCTCCGTTGGGCAATTCTCTCATCAGGATGTACATGATCTCTTCAATATTGCACATGAGATGCGCCTGCAGGTGGAACGTAATGGCAGCTTGGACGTCCTGCGCGGTCGGGTCTTGTGTACACTGTTTTATGAGCCGTCGACCAGAACGTCATCTTCGTTTGAAGCCGCCATGAAGAGGCTTGGTGGAGAAGTTGTTCAGGTGCCTACAGATCGTTCTTCGGTCGTTAAGGGAGAAACGTTGCCCGACACCATCCGGACTCTAGCGTGCTATACCGACGCCATCGTCATCCGCCATCCCTCAGTTGGCAGTGCTCAGCAAGCTGCCAAGTATTCGCCTGTACCAATTATCAATGCTGGCGATGGTATCGGAGAACATCCAACTCAGGCCCTGCTTGACGTATATACCATTCGTTCTGAGCTCGGTACCGTCAACGGCAAGGTTGTCACGATGATGGGCGATCTGAAGAACGGCAGGACTGTGCACAGCCTCGTTAAGCTCTTGGCTTATTATCAGGTCAAGCTCAACTTTGTCTCCCCGCCGTCACTCGGAATGCCTTCTTCTGTCAAAAGCGAAGCACGCAAAGCGGGCATTCCGTTTGCGGAGTACGGCACGCTAGATGAGGTCCTCTCCCAGACCGACGTGCTCTATGTTACTCGTGTCCAACAAGAGCGCTTCACCAATCAGGATGACTACAACGCCGTCAAAGACGCGTATGTTGTTAATCACGCAGTTCTGGCCCGTGCAAAACCAGAGATGATTGTTATGCATCCTCTTCCTCGTGTGAGCGGTAAGTCACGTTCACATCTACATCAATCCAAAGACTCTAATGCGTCCCAGAAATCGACCCTGAAGTCGACTTCGACTCCAGACGAGCTGTCTATTTCCGGCAGATGAGATACGGTCTCTTTGTATGCCCCCTCACTCACCCTGTGAGAGGTGCCTTACTGACGTATGTCGCGCAGATCCGGATGGCCCTACTGGCTAGCGTCATGGCATAATGTTTTCAACCCGTCACGAAATACCCTTGATGGCTTTATCGCACGTACAATCATCGCAATATCCCACACCTGAAAAACCAAAAAGAATCACCAACAACCCACTCATGGCAACAGATAGTTGCATCCTCAGCCTTATGCATTTTGACTTACGTAGACAATCCCCATTGAAAGGAAGGTGCCTTTTGCTCGAGACTTTTGTTTGTTTCTAGATAGTTATGAAAGCATTGGTTATTACTTGTAGCATTAGCTGGTCGATGGCGTTATTGGAAGAAGAAACTTTGTTGTATTTCTAGGGAGGAGTTATTTATGTTTAATGTTATTGTGTATTCGACGTTTCATTTGTCTGGCGGTTAAAATTGCTTTGATGACATTCAGAAGGCCGAAGGTATGTGAAAGACCCTGGCCGGAAGCTGCTTATGTCTTGTGGAGTTTACTCTAGTAGGGGCAGTGCAGCCGGTACCGAAGGACGTTCCCTCCGCATGTTTGCCTCGACTTCACGTCCTTCCATCCTCCTCACATTCCAGCCAGGCCTGGTTTTACTTCATTGCGTTCCTGGTCACTGCCTCACACTTACTGGAAGAAACGCTGCTCAGAAACACTGACTGTGAGGGCCATTGGCAACAACTCTAGGGTCTCCATTGTCACGTGAGATCGCGTCCCTGTTCGCCAATATCTGGCCTTCTGTCTACCTGGCACTTTGAAGCTATTTTCACGCTTGTGATTGACGCGCCCCTTACCATGACGTCTTGGAATAGAACCGATATGAACTACACGGACAGTTACTGGCGCCCAGCTTCGAACATGGCACCGTCCGAGTTTAAACCAGATGCACCACTTCCTGGCCCTCCCCGACCGCCTCCGAAGCCGCCTGCTCATAGCTATCCTAATGTATCCTGGAGACCACCACCAAGAACTTATAACGAGGAAGCTTCAATTGCTGAGCGAGCGTATGCAGCACAAACACCAGCACAAGTACCTCCTCCGGTACACCAGAGCCGCACAATGACAGCGGCACGAAAGACCTATCCTTATCCTGGCGGGCGATACACGACTCCAAGAGAGGAAATTCAATATGCTTACTTTGCTCCCGGTGCTCAGCCGCCTCCAGTACCAGAAAAAGAAACTTTCGGAGAAAGCACCCATGCTGCTGAAGCGTGGAGGCGAAGCCAAGCAGACATGAGAGAAGAAGGCCCGGGAAGCGGCTTGCGATATCTGGTGGTACGGACATGGCTCAATGCCCTCCTTCTTTTCGTACCAATAGCTTGGCTTGGACACTTTCTCAATTGGGACTTCAAAGTCGTCTTTGCTCGTGGGTGTTTGTCCTGTTGTCCAGAACGTGGTACTGAATGCCAAGCAGTCTCTTTCGTGGCGATTGTTCCTTTGCAGATTGTGTTAGATTTCCTCGGGGCACAGATGAAGTTACATTGGGGAAAGGTGGGTGCAACCTATTGGTAGTGATGCTTCAGCTTATATCCATAACAGACACTAGGCGGCCTAATGGCCGTGACGATAGGCAAGTAAGTAATTAGTTTGTGTCATCGCATGCCCCCTCAAGTTATTTTCAGTGGTGCCCCGGCTTCTCTTGCTGTTATTCTCCTCCTGAGATGCGAACTTCGGCTGCTTCAATCAGTCGTTGCAGGGGTACTACTTCTACAACTTCTGGTTCTCCCGGGGGTTGCTCTGCTTGCTTCACAGGCCGGGGGTGCACCGGCACGACTAAATCAATCTCTCATCTCACTTGCGTATGACTTCCAGCTTTTCCCTAGATTATTGGTTTATGTACTCTCCTAGGGTTCTGTCATTGTTAGTTCTTGTTGCGTTCTACGCAGCAACGTTCGGCATCGCCCTTCCCGCGACGACCGCTCAAGTCACGACCACTCAAGCAGAAATTCTCCAAATCAGCAGGGGGATGGCGATTATTCTCATTGTCGTCTACCTAGGTTCCCGACTGATTCTTCCTTGGATCGTGAGCGAGGATGTAAGCTACGAAGCGCCAGAGCGCGAGATAAGGGAAATTTACGAAGAAGAAGAGCCCATCGTGCCTCCGTGGCTTTGCATTTTCCTCGTTGCAATCTTTCTTGGCGTCCTTATTGTGACCGTTCTATGGGTGTGTCGGACTTCATCCAGAGAGTCATCTAGCTAACTCTCTCTCCGTAGCTGGTTGATAGCTTCCCCTTCGTCACAACAGAGCCTTTCACTCTTGAGTAGGTACCTTGTCGTTCCTCCTAAGACAGAAAGCCTGACGAGCGCCAGATGGTTCGGTCTTATCCTTCTTCCATTCCTCACCTTTGGATCTGATGTTCTCATTGGCCTGTGCTATCTATTCCAACGAGCCATCGTGAGTGCTACTTGCCTTCTTTGACAGAGATGAGATTGACATATAGGAAGCTGCCTATGACGGATCCACTGCCTCCTCGTCCTAGTGGGCTTGCAATGGATTTATCGATTCGTACGTCAAGTCTTCAATCGTTCCATTAGCACATGCTGATAAATAATCATAGAGTTTGCACTCTTCTGGCTCCCTCTTGTCGTTTTGATTGGTTGGGGACTGGGCAAGCCAATGTCTTTGTTATTTGGTGTGTACTTATTCTTTGCAATGTTACAGAGTCTCATGTCCTGGGTAGATCTATATGAAGTTGCGATACTTATAGGTGTCATGTACCTCACCAACAACTCTTCTCTTGATGCGTGGACAACTCCTGCCGAGGGTCTACTACTCGTTGCTGGATACGTCATGATCGTATGGCTGCCGTTTCCCTGTCGCGCGTCACTGATGTCTTCGTAGGGATTATGTACATGGTTTTACGTTGGTCAGCCCGCTATTGCGACATTGTTGACGTGCGCAACATGATTACATGGCTCCTGGTATTTATTGTATATCCACTATTCTCCGCAACTTGATACGGTACTTCCCATGTTGGAGGACTTGTAACATCTCAACCTGTTAGTGATTTGTAGGGCCCTGTCTCAGTATGACAAGGAAAAGACAATGCATGACTTGTATACATCGATGATGTCATCTCAATTCGTGTGCAAATGCAAGACACTCTAGATGCTGGAAACGGACAAATCTTTCCCCTCAGGCCAAGGAAATGCGACATGATACAGTCCCGTCAGAGCATCACAAGATCATAACCCGATAGCATGTTTGGAATTGTCGACAGCTGTTGACCATACCTATGTTGAATAGTGAGCCAAATGTGTTGGATCTGCTTAGTGCTGAAACATACCTTTCCGCGTTTTCGTACAACTCAAACAGAGGTATGGCCAAGAGCTTCATATTCTTCGGCACCGCCAAAACCATGTGCTCTGGAAGCGCAACCACGAATGTTTTCTTGCACTCTTTCGGCTGCGTAACATGAGCCGGAATGAAGGGGTACTATTGAGATAGATTAGGATTCTGTGTGGGGGCAGTAGAATAAAACACGAAGCGCACCATGTAAGTCTCAAAGTTCGGTCGCCACCACCTCGAAACACAGTCGCCAATCGCCCATTCTTGTATATCCTCACTGAACGCCTGAAACCTGTGCAGCAAGCGACTATCCAATCGGCTGCGCAGTCCCTCGATCTCATCTTCTCCGGGTTTGAGGTAATCACCTGGCCTGCAGGACGCGTCAGAATAGATCCAGTGCCACACAAGCGAAAGACAAACGCACAGTTTGAAGAATGATGTCGAAACTTGGAGGATTAGGACATGTGGATACCCATGATCGTGCACCATCAGAATGCCCTCGACAGTTCGTCTCATCCCAAATGCTTAGAAGTCCTTCTGCAACCGGCTCAGCCGTGCAACTACGGTCTTGTCTTCTTGCGGCTGTGCATCCTTCACTCTGGTCAGTGTAAAATACCAGTGAAAAGTGCGTAAACAATACGCACGAGAACTTGTAATTGGAAAGCGGCTATCTGGGCAGCTGTGAGTGACAGCACGATTGTCAAGTGGTTCCCATGACCTACAGAAACAGACTGCGGGGGTCGGACACTGTACAACTTGTACCAGCGTTGAAAATGGTAGGTATATAGAGAGCAGAAACCAACGCGATACCCCTTGGTCGCGTTATTAGCTGATCATGTGCATCGCCTGAGTATATGGTCGATATTGAAAAACAGATTTTGTTTACCTCCGTTCTATTGTCCATTCTTTGGTCTTCTTTGCCCCACGTGACCGCAGTATCTTTGTTTTCTTTGTGGGGATCTTTTCAGGCAGATAATCTTAAAGTATTTCTGCAGCACAAATTACAACGTATAAAGCTACATGATGGCTACTCTTAGTCATCGCACGCATTCCAGTCAGACCATCCTTCGCTCACTGCATGACAAAGTTGTACCTAGACAAGAGATGCGGGATAGCAGACAACTGTGGGCCGTACCTGAGCAGGCGTTAGCATTTGCTCGCACGACCGCAACGGGCCAAGACCAGAACACTCACCTCGCTGAATTATCGTATAATTCAAACAGTGGCACGGCAAGCAGCTTCATATTTTTTGGCACGGCCATGACCTTTTTCTCTGGCAGCTGGACGAGGAACATTTTCTTGCACTCCTTCGGTTTAGTAACGTGAGCTGGAATAAACGGATACTGCGTAGTATGTGTCAGTACAATGTTTGTCCCAGCAAGCAGGAACATACCATGAACGTCTCGAAGTTTGGTCGCCACCATTGTGCCAAGCAATCTCCAATCTCCCAGTTGTCCGTACTCTCACTGTAGGGCGGACTCGTTGGCTCAAGGCGAACGTCGAGCCGCTTCTTCAGCCCCTCAACTTCATCCTCTCCCGGTTTAACATAGTCGCCGGGTCTAAACAGGTCGACGATGACTCCTTAGACAGGTGGGGTGAGTAGAGGAGGCGTTACGCACAGCTTGAAGAACGCGTTCGCGATCTGGAGCATCAGAATATGCGGATGTCCATGATCGTGCACAACCAGCACGCCTTCGACTGTACGCCTCATCCCATAGTCCTCATAGTTATTCTGTAGTCGCTGTAGGCGCGCGGCGACTGAAGGATCCTCCTCAGGCTGCGCCTCCTTGGTCGTGAAGGTGAAGTTGGACAACGGATATCTGGATGGTAGTCAACAGTTATCCCATTGGGTCGAGAAGAGACTGACAGGATTATAGTCTGGGACATGTCTACGGTAGACGACGAGAACAATGTGGTGGTTGTATGCACCTTTTTGTTTGTGAGTGGACCCTCATCAGAAAACCTGGTCCCGCCTTTAGTTGCGACGCGTAACGCGAGGCGCAATGCGTGCGCGTCTCTCTAGCTGACTGCTTTCTTGCATTTGTGCTGGCGCCGGGCCTTGTCCACTTCGACGCCCTTGCTATGTCCGACTGGAATACGGGAACATCCTGGTCTAATGGCCAGTCACATCTACCTTCACCGAGCCCCGAACCGCAAGAGGACACCTTCCCGGATGACCTGGACAATGATCGGACAGATCCTATCTCTCTGCTCGTCAAGGCCTGGATGACGGAACGATGTTCGCCCGACGTCATGTCGTTTGAGGGCGAACTCGTGGGAAAGATTATGGGGTATATGGATGCACAGGTGCGCACGCTTGACTACCGCGAACATGCCTTGGGACAAACGCTGATGAGGAACAGTAGGCAAAGCTCATTGGAGTATTGAAGATTGACGGTGCGAGTGAAGAGGATCATGAAAAGATTGGATTGGTGCAGATGGAGCTAGATCGCGTTGGGTGGCTGCTACGTTCATACATCGCTACGCGACAGGAGAAGGCAAGCATCATCTCTAAGCTACAGCATACGGCTTGCTTATTGCCCTGACAGATTATGCGATACGCGTCCTACATCAACAGCACCCCTGCAATGCAGACGCGTCTCTCCGTTGCAGAACAAACCTTGATCGAGTCCTATCAGCAGATATTTGAGGAGTCGCTCATCCGTGACGTGGTGGGAAACCTGCCCGCCGAGCTGCAAGCACTGGATGAGATCCTTCCGGATGGACGTGGCATGGGTGCGCTGTTCTGCTTATTATCTTTCAGGGCAGACATTACAATTATGCACAGTGTCAACGCCAGATTTGGACAAGGCGGTGTTCATACGCACCAAGCAGGACTGTGGACCTGTGCTGATGCCCGAGTGAGCTCGTCGCTGGATCATGCCATAGGACTGAGCTGATTATTGTTCTATGCATGTAGCGGGACTCCCTTGGAGATCAAGAAACGAGGAATACACTTGATCTCATACCGCCTTGTGGAACAGCTCGTCCTGAGGGGGGAAGTTGAATTGACATGAAACGGACGCGTTATGTACTTCTAGGAACCATTCTCCTGTCCACACCATGAACAATATGTATATTTCGACATGAGTGATACCTATCAAACACAGCTGAACGAGAAGCATGACGATCGTGAGCCGAACATGTCAAGAGGGGGTATCTGCTTCATTAGCAGCTGTGTAGGGTATCACAGTACAAGCTAGTAATACAAGCCGTCATGTGCTTGTTCACACGTAGTCGTCACCCTGGCATGCACTAGCCGCTGTTGTCCGTACTCCAGTCGTCTCCCTCATCCCGAACGCTAGGGGGGAGAGGGGGGATTCTCCGCACAGGGCACTCTCTGCAGCTGGCTCAATCATACTCCTCATCCATCTCCTCCTGCTCGTGCTCGTGCTCGTGCTCTTCCTCCTCCTCTTCCTCCTCCTCACTCTCTTCCTTCTTCTTCGCCTTCCCCTTCCCGCGTCCCCTCCTCTTCTTCGGCTCTCCATCATGGCCCACCTCTTCCTTTTTTGGTTTGTCTCCTGGATCAGGCACACCCACGACCAAGTCCTTGAGGAAGTCGAACATGTCTATACTCTCAATCGTGCGCTTGAGGTGATATGCGGCGACTTTTCTAGAGCCTTTCGACTTTGCCTCGTGCGCTGCCTCGTCAACCAATTTCTGCATGAAGATCTCAAGTGCTTTCGCTGCATGGAATAACGCTTCAGAGTGAGTCATAACAAAGAGGGTAGATGCGCACATATGAGCACTGGTGTAGCCTGAGCGACTTTTCCCACCTCATCGTCTTTCTGCATGATCTTCTTTATTCGCGCCTGTGAGAATGGATGTGAGCATATAACCTGATTGAGTGAGAACATTGGTGACGTACGACTGGAAAGCGAGTCTGCCGCGACTTTGACTTGACTGCCATAATTTCTTGCTCTTCCGCCCGACTCGTTGAACGTAGCAGTACAGACGAAGAAGTTACTCAAAATGGATGGAAAGAGAGGAACGAAGGTAGACAGTTGAAGTGGGCAAAGAAATGCGGTGGTGAGCGTTGTCCTTAGCGCTGTGCGTCTTCCCCCACAGTATTTATGTTGTTGACTCTAACAGGGACAGTCCCGGGGGCTGAGCAACCCTACCTGAAGGAATCCCGGCCCGCTTCCGTACATGGCTCGGTCATCAATTTAATACATTGGCCAACAATTTGATGCTGCCATTGTATTAATAATTTATTGTTGTACATATCTAAGAATCAACGGGTATTTGGTATGTGAACTGAAACTGAACAAAAGAATTGAGTCTCTCGCGCAAGCCCGTTGATCTAAGCACCCCTACGGCCAAGCAACCTCATGATCCCACCTTGGTTCTCGGGAACAGCGACGCGTCCTTTCTCAGAGTGCTTTGTATTCACCGCAGATGCAGTCACCAGTGTAAGGGGAGCAGGTACACCTTGGTGCACGGTCGACATCTTTTTTCGCCGATCGGGCTTCTCCTTTCTTTGGGCAAGCGTGCCTGTTGGGCCTGCCTGGATTTCCACAATGTCCGGTCGGTAACCCCGATCCCGCAAAAACTCGTTCACAACTTGCTTAAACCGATGAGACCACCATTCTCGCTCTCCTCGTTCCGTCTCGACAGGGCCAGCATTGTCCTGAGCGAACGAAGAGGGGCTGCGAGGCAAATGTTCGTCGGACAAGGGAGGCGAGGTCGGCGAGGTGAAACAAAACTCTAGCGGCATCCGTAATGGAGCAATCGAGGGGAATGACAGCGATCGGAGCGTGTGAAGAACACTCGATTCGAATGCATTGAGCCAAGTCTTCTTCATTGCTTCCAGGGAGTCGACTTGTGAGGAGAAACTTTCTGGCAAACTCAGATAGATTGTCGTGGGCGGACTGGCATGTGAGAACACAACATCGCCTGGTAATTCGGGACACAAGTCCACCCTCAAGACAAACTCATAACCTGCTGTTTGTTAGTGCGATACGTGATCTGCATTGGGCTTACTCACCGAATTTATGCGGACATTCTGTATATGCCATGACTCGAGCTAGCCCAACGTCACCCAATAACTGCCATTGTGGGGCTCGCTTTGATCTTCTTGTATTCTGCAGAAGAGGATTGCGTTCCGACAGCGGAGTTCCCAACACGATGACATCAGTGAAAAGGAACGCATATATCGAGGTTCCGCTTATTCTTTCGTCGCTCGAGGAGCTTCTGGTGGACCCCTGCCGAGATAACGTGGTCCTGCCGAAGTAATCGCCTTGTCCACCATGACGGGGAGACGGAGTTTTCGTAGCCGACATGCCGTCTGTTGAAGCATAAGGCGAACCATTCAGACCAAGAGACGGTGTCGTCGGCCAGTCATAAGAAGATCCATCTGAGTGATTGATTGACTGCATGCTCATCCTTGGGTTGTAGGTTCCCGTGCGATTACGATCTCGGCTCGATATGCGAGTTGGCTTCACGTCTGTGTACTCCCCAGACGTGCGCTGAGAAACCTCGAGGCGTAGGAGCGGACCTTGGGCTAACAGGCGTCTGCCACGTTCTGCTAACCGGAAGTGCTTGGGCAATCCAGTCATCCGAGAAGCAAGCATTCTGACCATGTCGTATTCTTCCTCGCGCGCCTTGACCTCCTGCATGATTCTGATTACAGTGTCCGTTGAGTAGTAGAGTGACATGGAAGAGATGTGATCTTGATGATTTCGAGGCGTCGACTGAAGAATTTGCTGCAAATGATTAAGTATATGTCTGTCTGAGATGCACTAGACAGGTACATACTTTGAAAAACGAAGCATACTTTGTCAATCGCTGCACCGGCTTCAAGAGCCAGCTTCCGAGAGATAATCCATCCCATTCGTCACTGACGCTTTGCATACGCAGGAATTCCCCAAAGTCACTTTCAGGCTGCTTCATCATGTTATCGATGGTGCGAGAAACTTCCTCCAAGCGAACAAGATAGGGCTGATGGATCTCAAGCTTCGGGATCACAGGCAATAAAAGGCGGGCAAAGGAAAGAACGACCGGATATTGTGACTGGCGAGCAGAGTGCAACACTCTCACGATATCGGCGTGAACTTGCACAATATCATCAAGCCAATCAAACAGGCGGCCAACGTCGGCTGGAACGCCAGGAATCCAGGTCGGAGGGTGTGAGCGATCACGAAGCGGTTGGATAAAGAGCCGGATCACAAGGCGCATATCATGCACAAATGCTGATTCTGAGGTTGTAAGCTCGAATATCAACTCCTGTCTCTGCACTTCCAGCGAGCCGTATCGCTCGAGCAGGGACTGGTATGTTGCGGTTGAGCTTAATGTCGAACGCCACGTTTTCTGCTGTACTCCAGATGTTCTAATATCTTCTTGAGGTTCATTGAGAACCGATGTCTCAGCATGATGAGGTTTCAAGTCATGTGCATGATATTGATGGGGGATGTCCTCTTCGAGTTCTTCGGGGACGTCGTTCAGACCGGCCAGTAATCTCGAAGCTGCGAAATTCATCCCTTTCTCAACCTCCTCGTCACCCGACCAAGCCAGGCTCGAGACGCTCGTGCTGGATGTGAGCACCCTCTTTGAAGTGGGGGGCCGAAGCGTAGACGACTTGCGCTGAAGATCCGGTACTTGGGGTGAGCGTTCGTACTGAGGTTCTTGGGGTTCGTGATCTTCCTGCCCGCGTCCATCCCATACGACTTCGTCGCCATTGTCGTCATACTCCTCTGGTTGCGGACCGTCTGTCTCATTATCGCTAGGAGCCAGGATGACAGTTTCAAGTTCTTCATGTTCCGGTTGCTGAGGCTCAATCACGGGAGGAGTATAAGGATCAGCGAGTGCCGCAAACAGATGTGAATAATCAGGATTTGGGGAAGGAGTCTCCATATTGTCCATGCGGGCAGGAACCCGACCATTGAACGATTGAAAAGGGGGGTTCTGATGAATTCGTTCCTTCTCTTGAAGGAGGGGGATGTCCATACCCAAGCCTTTCAGCTTGACAGGTTCGTTCTTCCGAGAATCCTCGCTAGGTGTCACCGGGCGACTTTTTCTTCCCGACTGCCTTTTTTCCTTCGGCGTGTTGGGTGCGGACAGCGCCGCCAGCGCTTCCGCACGGTTTCGAGCGATCTCTTCGGGGTCGTTCGGCGGGTTGTCAGCCGCCATGGATCCCCTCGACGACTTTCGCCGTGGCGTTTGCCGGCTCGCTCTCGTCACAGCCCCAGCCTCAGCCAATTCGGGCATCTTGCCCATCAAAATAGCATGCATATCATCTGAGACGGTGTCACGACGGCTGCTGTCCTGGAGAAGTGTACCGCCGCTTTTCGTCCTGCTTCTCTTTCCAGCATCATCATCTTGCTCGAATGTATCAGTTTGTTTGCGTTGTAGGGTGGTGGCTGCACTCCTAGTCCGTTCTCGGCCGTGTCTAACGCTTTCCTTTTCTGTTCCTACACTCCTGGTTCTCTCTCGCTTGCGAGCCTCCGACGCAGGTGGACACGCTTCTTCAAACGCTCGGGAACTGGAGTTGAGAACGGGGTCGTGAACCTGGCCAGCAGTCCAGGTTGTAGTCCTTTCCCTTTTGACCCGCTCGACAGCTTGGATTGCTTCATGAGGCGGGGCTGCCAAAGCTATTGTAAGTTCATCAGCTGTGACGGCTTTCAGGGGCTTGACATCTCTGGGTGGGACTGATCGCTCTCGTTGTTCTGGTTCGTTTTGCCCTGCAGTTTCGTAAACCAAACCGCTCTTCTGTCGATCGCGTCTCCGTAAAGGCGGATTAACCGTTTCACATGGAATTGGCGTCGCATCAGAAACCGGCAACGTTCGTCGCGGTGGGAGAGCAGGCGGAGTTGGGGCTTGCTGGAAATTGGGAGAAACAGACCATGGGTGCCGAGGGGGAATGGGAGGAACCACAGGCGAAGGTGAGATTACAGGGGTCCCGTGCGAAACTGGCGACCGGGAGTACACCTTTTCCGCGCCTGTTGCCGATGTATGAGGTACCTCCCGCTCTCCCTCATTAGATGGCAAATTGCTCCCAACAGAACGCTGGTATCCACGGTCGCTATGCGAGTCTGTTGCTCCTCGAGATCGACTGCGCAAGTGTTGTCTCGTCACATTTGGAGAGTTATCTTCTTCATTGGCAACTGCAGTGCGAGAAGACTGATTGCGTGTACGTCCACCATAGTTGTCTTTATCCCCGGGACTCGTGCCAGTCATGGAGGGGTATCGGGAATACTTGTCGTACGCGAACATATGCGGAGACATGCTATCAGCAGCAGAGGCAGTCTGCACGTTTGGGCTGAAATTTGTGCTCGGGGAATTGTATTCAAATGTAGGCGATGCGGGTGGCATGGTCGGCGTCACCTGGGGGCTTAAAGACCGGTCTTTTCCCTTGTTCGAGCTTCGCGATGTTGACTTCGGTCGCGCCAAGTCCGCAGGCGAACGCAAGCCTCCAGCAGCTGAGAGGGCACGTATATGCGCGTGTTCGTCACGATGAGGCATGTCGGGAAGCCGCCCTGGGTTCGTACGGAGTTCATGGACGGAAGGCTGGCTCCAAGCTGTTTCGCCGCTATCCCTGCCCCGATCCATGGAAGAGTTCGACGGAGATTGAACGATGAACCTTGGCGGATCTCGTGACTGCGCATATATGCGGTCTGTGCGATCATCTATAGTGGACTTCCTTGCCCAAGCGGATGTCGGGAGTATCTTGCTAGAGTCTGAAGGTCCACGGGTCATATATGCGCCTTGCTCCGAAGGATACACCTGCTGGGAGGGAACCACGGGTGATTGCTCTGGGTGTCGCGCTTCTCTAGATCGTTGCCTCCAAGAAACCTCAGGAAGCGGTTCCACATATGTGGCAGAGGAGGCGTTGGAGCTGGCATTCGATGTTTGACGCAGGATGTTAGGGGGAGCAGGAGACGGAGGTGGTGCTCGCGACTGGGAACGCGTCGTCTTTGATGAAACATTTGGCGCACTATTTGGATGTGGCGAGGAAGACCGGGGTTTTCGAGATGAGCGCGAGACGGGCAAAGGAGGCGGCGATGGTGAGGACATCACCAGTTGCAGAGCAAGGAGCTGATAGAGCGGCCACGAGAAGGAACGACTTGAGTGATTGTTTGTAGGAGTCAACAGAAGAAGCAGAACTGCGCGTCCTTTGGTGTAGACTAGAGGCATGCATCAGACTGAGACAAGCCCATAGTGTTTCTGTGGAATGCGATTGAGTCGCCATTCCATCCTCAGGCAGCCTTCTGCACCGGTATCCATGAACTCAAGAGACATCCAAAATATGTCGCCAATAGCGATTCCGTGTCATATCACCCAAAGCCATACAAAGATTACCGCTCTGCTAGTCGACGATAAGTTTTTGGAGGTTCAACAGCTCGAACAACGAACAAGTCGTGGATTCCTTGCCAGAGGCAGTGCACAGAGACCAGGATGACGTCATCATCTGCTTCAACAGTCCTCTCTCTCATTTATGTTACCTGGTGCACTTGGAAATGCAAGCTGACCGGGAAAGTGCTTTTTACCCATAATGATACCTGCTAAGAGGAAAAGTATTTTGTGGCCGAATGGAGGCAAGTGCTTCCTGTCACTGCTGGCACTTTACACCAGCACGCCAGAAGGACGAATAGGGCCGGCGGGAGAGAGATGATCAGAAGCTCCATTGCGGGGAATTCCAGGCCCATGATCGTCCAAGTGAGGCTGTCGTGACGTCATCCCCTTATGTTACAGCCAATGAATTCATGACGCAAGGGTAGGGGATGTTATAGCCTCCCTCAGACTTCTTCACAGAAGGATCGGAGGCAAAGCCCTACGCAAACGAATCGCAGGCAAGAGTCCCGTGCTCACCGCGTGAAGGACGCCGCCGTACAACGAGCCACACTCGCCGACATCCTCGACATTGCTCTCTTTGGCGACGAGCACGCATTGTTCTATAACAGCGACGCTTCTCTCAGCGCATACATTAACTCTTCTCTATCCGGTGGTCTATCGGTAGCACCCTCAACCACTATCGCGCCGGGATGGCGCCCTCTCCGTCTGAGCGGCTTCTTGCTTCCCTCATAAAAGCGGACACGACAGCGACCAACTCTCTATCCGCGTTCCTTGCCTCCTCACACGCCTCCCATGCAGCCCTCTCTGCATATGCGAGTGTGCACCAGCCCCCACTCGGAGACGTCCTACGTCAGGTAGAGGCTTCTCTGCGTGGGGTTCACGAGGCTGTGAGAGCGTACGTGGGTGCAATGGAGATGTGGACCACTGAGCTGGGTGAGGTAAAAGAACGTGAGGAGGAAGTCGGACAAGTGAGAAGAGACAGGGATATTCTGTAAGTCGTTCCTTCTTTTATTTGTATAAAGGCTGAACAGGCCCAGTGTAACCCGCTTGATCAAAGCTTCCAAGCTACGCCCCGTCTCTGCACATGGCCTCCTCCCCTCTCTTCTTCCCTCTTCGCCTCATTCCTCTGTCCTATCCCTTCCTGCACCAGGTGACACGCCCAAGCTAGTGAACGCCCAAGCCGAGCTGCAAGCATGTGAAGGTCATTTGGTTGGGCGACAAAGGGCTTTGGAGGATATTACCAAGGCTGCCATTGCGAGGGGTATATTGAGGCGATGTGCAGCTCTGGAAGAGCTAGCGGAGGCATGCAAGACAGCGAGCGGACGTGCCCGGGGAGCATTGCATACCCTGGTTCCTGCCAAGTTTCAGAATGGTACCGGTGCGCATACACTTCTGCTACGTACATGCTAGTCTCTCACATCGACAAAAAGGCACCCCATTTGACAAGCCACTCCCAAGTCCTTCCCCTTATGTCCACCGTCAACCACCCCGCGCCGCATCTCCGTCCAGCGACTCACTCTCACCGTCCCAGTCAGCCTCCCAGATCGCGCACTACACAGCCCCGCACCTTCCTCACGCATTTGGTACGCCTGAGCCGCCGCGACAGAGCACGGACACGTACCGCCCAAGTTCCAGCACTGACGGACACCGACTGAGTCTCACCGTCCCACCCGCGCATGCGATAAGCGCGACGTACATCCCTGATTCGCGTCTCCTTCCCCCTCCCGAAGCTCGGCGGACAGCGACACCGCAGCCAACTCAGCATGCCCGGCCTCCGTCACGCCAGCAGGTTCAGCAGGAAGAGGACTCTGACAGTGAAGAGCACGGTGCCGTTGTTGTACATGAGAACGCGCCGAGGAACTCGATGAGCTTTCCTACAGGCACACCGTCCCAGCAGCACGCACATTCACATCTCTTGCAGCACTCACAGCCGCATACACCTATCAGAAAGCGCACCGTCTCCTCTGCCACGCCATCAAAACGTAAATCGAAGCGTATTGCTCTTCCTTCAGCTTCCTCCGACCTCGGTCCGGGTGGGCCCCCAGTCGTCCAAATGTCCGGATCCCCATTGACAGGAAGTCTGCCGAGACCGCGTCCCCAACCAATGGGTCACCGTCGTCGACCCAGCAGCCAGAGTTTGGATTCATTCGAACTCCCCACCCGGCAGCAAGGGAAGAGACGCGGGTTCTTTGGCTCCATCGCGCGTGCATTACATATCGGCGGCTCATCACGCGATGGCCGGGAGAGCCCCCCCTATGGAGCATCTGGTTCGGGCTGGGGAAAGCAGAAGGACAGAGGCTGGAATACGCGCACTGATAGAAGACTGAGGGATATGCATGACTGGAGAGGGGAGTCGAGTGATGAGGATGGGGCAGCAGGCTTCGTTGCTGTGGAAAACTCCCCTGGCCTACGGACCCTGGAGCGAAGCGGCACGGAGAGCACGCACGTGAGTGGAGGTGCGCGGAAGACAAGGTCGGCCAGAGCTCCTGCTCTGAACGGCACGCCTACGCGTTCGACAAGTCGGCGGCGAGCTCCTGAACAACCCCCCATGCTTAGCCCACATGAAGCACTCGAGAAGCGACTAGATGCAGCCGCGCGCCCTCGGACTGTGAGTCACCCTGGTCCCAGCTTGCCGGGGGCGAGACAGTCCATGGTGGAGCCGATAACGCGCATGCGGACGATCAGCGAAGCGTCCGGGACTGGGAATAGGAGGAGTTTACATGAGGCCTCTGTTGGTGCTGCTGATACTGCTGGCGCTGGAGGGAGTGTAAGTAGGCAAGCGTCATTAGGCCGAGCAAGTGGGCAGCAGGCTGCACAGGCCCTGGGGAGGAGCGGGAGGATGAAGAGCGTTATGAGTAATGCTACTTCTCCCCCTGGGGCTGGGCCGACTGGGGGTCTTTCTAGGAGTGGGACGGTAAAGAGTACGATGTCGGCTCCTCCAGGACCTGCTCAGAGCACACCGGGAAAGAAGTCTTCTCCGGCAAAGCGTCAGCAACATAGAGCCAGCAACATACCCGGGGGGTCGCCCAATATCTTGACAGTGTTGGACGGGAATGAGAGCGGCACGGGGGGTGGCGGGAAAGGAGGGCTCGTGGAGGTGAAGGCTCCTCCACGGGTCCTCCGCGATCCTGCTGAAGGGCTCATTACTGTCAAGGCTCCTCCGCCTGCAGGAGCGGGGCTTCCTCCACTTATTCACCCACCTCCTGGCCCGCAGCTGGTGAGCCAGTCTACACCCCAGGCAGCACCGAGAGCAAACGGCACCGCGAATCTTGCGCGTAACGTGTCGACCAGCACTTCGGCCAGCGCCACTCAGACGCGAACACAGCGGACAGCAGCATCAAACAAACCCCATCCTACCCCGCAAAAAGCGCCAGCGTCACCAGCGCCAACAGCTCCTTCCCACTCATCTGCTTTGCCCACAGGGGAGCAGGTACGTGTGCATCACACGCCGGTCCCGTCGGCCACCGCGCCTATGCCAGTCAAGAGTGCACTTCGAGCCCGATCTCCATCTCCTGAACCTCCTCGGCCAATCATACTCGCTCCCCCGGTCAGTGCTGTCACGGTCGTCGCTGTGGCTGTGCCTACCCCCTCAGGCTCAGCGGCCTCAGCACCTGCACCACCACCTGATGCTCCTGTTGCCCCACCTCGGGTCCCGACACCTGCTGCGACCACAGCTGCTCTCCTTACAACTGCGCAACCACGTCCTCAACCACCCGAGGGAGCCAAGCAGCGTCCAGTGAGCGCAGCCACCTTCGGTACTTCCGGAGACGATGCTTCGGCGTATGAGACTGGACTGGAGGAAATGGAAGACAGTGGTAGTGAGAGTCATTATTCTGGTACTCCGGGCATCAGTACCCCGAAGATCGGCCTTCAGGCACTGGAGGAGGAACTCAGTACTCCTGTTGCGCGTCATACGGCACCTGCGTCTGTGCCTGCTCCCTCTCCCTCCCCTGTTGCCATCCCTCGTGCACCTACCTCTTGTGCCACTGATGCTGTTCCGGTGGCTGCACCAGCCATACCGCAACCCGCAAACGTACAACCTGAGGCAGGGTCTGGAGTGTCTGATTCCACCGCAACGGCTTCAGACAAGCCGACACGTCGGAAGAGCGTGCGGCTCGATGTCCCGCCCAGTCTTACACCCACACCTGCCACAGAGGACTTCCCAGAAGACACATGGAAGGTCAGCATGGAAGATTTGGCGAATGCAGTCCCTTCTCGGTCTTATCTGAACGCATCCCCTATCCCTGCAGCTCCAAGGAAAGTCCCGGAACGCTCACCCCAGCGTAATTCGCATCTGTGGGACGGCCTTCCTCTGCCGCAGAAAAAAGGACTTGGTATAAACTCGTTGGATGCGGAGGACCGAAATGGGTGGCACACACGTGTCAGCACGGTGAGCAGCGGGGATAGCAGTGATGAGGAGGACGAGGAGTATGCTAGGGTAAAGAGGGAGCTTGAGGATGCGAACAGGAGGTATGCTCAAGCTGGGAAAGTGGGGAGGACGTGATAACTGCCGGTAGGTGTGTTGTATGTGCGGGTTTGTTTGGATGGATTGTGGGTAGTTTCTTGATTTTGATGGGGATCATACTCGGAGGGCGACACCCACGCTCACTGCATATTGATTTCATCCCTGACACATGTTATAGTTATAGCGATACCAGAGTGCAACACTGCAACATTTTTTGTTGTGGCCCTGACGTGGGGTGATTTTTTTATCATCATGGTTATAAAACGCTAGCCAGATATGATGGAGTGCTGGCCAAATGATTAAGGCGCCGTGATTACCTGAATACGGTGATAGAACAAGTGTGAGCTTTGGAAGGGATATTCCGAACGTGGACGCCCCCACGCGAGATGCCTTCCAAAATAGGAAAGCGCGCTCCTGGGATTCGAACTCAACGGCGATGTCATGGTTCAAATGCGTGGAGTCATTATTATTGCGCTGGACCTGAGTCCTGGATCAGACCGGCTGGCCCAATGGTTAAGGCGCCTGACTACGGTGACCATGTTATCAGGAGATTTGTAGGTTCGAATCCTACGTCGGTCGTGCTTTTTTTTTGTCGTGCTTTTTTCATTACAGTTTGAGATTCGATCTCAACAACGGTGATGTCATAGTTCGAACGTGTGGACTCGGTTCGAGCGCAGAGCGCACGCTATGAGAGTACAAGTTCGACGCGTGCCTCGTTTCTTTTTATTTGCCCGAAATTTCCTGGTCTCTGTTTGGTAAATTCAACCCACACGGATGCTCAAATTTTCCAAAGAAGTACATTTGGGAATGAATTCTGATTTACGACAGATTCTCCCTAATATAACTGCGGATATGCGACTTCAACAGGGGAGGGCCAACGAAGAGAACAAGATGCCAACATACAAAGATAGATTCGTACAAAAACAGACTACAAATCAGGAAATACGAAGTCAATCAGACTGTTCTGCATCGTCGTTCTCCTCGGTATCATAATTCAGTTCAGTTTCGATGAAATACGCGTCCCTGAGCGCTTTCCGCTCAGACATAGCCGACATGAGCACCGGCTTGCTTTCCTCTAGGAATGCGCGCCATTCTTGAGCGGTGTAGTCAGGATGCTAGAGACTCGTTAATGGGCTACCGCTGAGTCCGGTTTGGGACATACCACACTTGCGAACCCTTCCCATGCTTCTTCGCTGGAATTCCAAGGGTCTTCTAACGTTTCTAGATGAGCTAGGACTGCTTCGAACGTACGCTCGCCGATATGTGTGCTTCGCCAGTCACCTTGTTCAAAGTCTGCCTCACTGTCATACGAGCGCTCTTGAGGCAAAAGCGGCTCGTTGTTCTGGTCTATGGAAGCGCTATAATTGCCGTTTGCCCTCGAAGAGGCTTCTGCAATGGCTTTCAAGACTTCAGCCTTGTGCTTACGTACGTAATTATCCCACCCGCGCTCAGTATGATACGGTGCCTACTTGTTGATCAGAATGTACGGCGGCCCGAGGGATAATGAAGAACGAACCTGCTGCAATAGGATTCGGACGATTTGCGAGTGCGTCACCTTCGCATGTTTCCGCGCTATCCAGCTCACAAGATCCATCAGGTACCGGTAATCTTCCGGAGGGTATTCGCGGAACCCGTTCGAGTTAAACTTGTGGTTCGAAGGTGGCTCTGGTGGAGGAGTCTTTCGCTGCAATTGGGCTTATATTAACAAAAATCAAGAAGGGTGCATGAGGCTTACCATGGACAAGTCCAAATCCATCTTGCCAACGGACGGGGATCTGAGGTCGTCGTTATCCGAGGTTTCTCTCTGTCGGCCATTCTGTTCTACATGTCTGATTGCTTTTGTAACAATGTTCTCCAGCGCATGCTTTTGCGTAAACCACACAGAGCTCCACGATCCCGTCGAGTGTCGTGGCATCTTAGTGTCTCAGTTAGTGACAATGCAACGGCTTCGAGGGGAAGGTGTTGACTTACTTTTTCGGCAAGGTTACGAATAATAGTGGTCCTTGCAATATGTGGATCCTGCATGTAGGACCATGCTACAAAGTCAAAGAAGTATTCGATTTCTTCTCTAGTGTATCTTTGGCCACTACCTGCTTCCATGTCAACATCAGTTGAAGGAGTAGAAGGTCGTTCGCTAGGGAGAGGTCGGTCCGCGTCTGGTACTAATCGTCGGAACGACTTGGAATTAGCAAGGGAAGGTGTGGGCCAGACAGGAGTTTGTCCCGAGTCTTCATCAACCAGAGAAGATTCTATGACGTTCGTTCTATCATCTTCCGCGTCCAAAGAGGCGCTTGCTGCTGAAGGAAACCGGACGTAGATTTTCCACACCTCTGTTTGATCCTTGTAATATCGGCGCCACGACTCGTAACTGTGTGAAGTTCTTGTCTGGAAACTGTTAACCTAGAGTCACAATGAACGGGTAGAACTCACGTGGTTTGCTACTTCCCTCAAAATTGAAGAAATCGAAAGTCGTGAGTTCTGGCCGAAACGGACATTCGCATAATCGATTAGAAACTGAGTGCTTATGAGTGAAGTAATTATGAAGAGTGTGCAGACAGACCTGGCTATCCTCGTGAGTAAATCGGTAGCCACCCGCGTGAGGAACGAGTACTGCTGGCGCGGCTGGGAGAGCAGCCTTTTCTTCAGGGGAAAGATTGGAGAAGCTTTCGAGGTTTCTCAGCCGGACAGGCGTGTTGGATCTTCGTTTCTCCTTTTGTGCTTTTTGATCGGTGGTATCGTTGCCGGTTGAGGCACGTTCAGATTGAGCTTGGGGCGTTTCGGGAAGGAGATCTGCTTCTTCATTGATTTCCCAATCCTCAGACGGTAACAGTTCATTCCCTTCGATACAGGCCTGAATCCAGCTTGGCTTGACCCCGCGAATTCCCAGTTGTTGAACTTGTGGAAGAAGCTTCCCACTGGCTGGCGAATCCATGACAACGTAGTCGCTATAGCCAATTGGAGTACCCCTTCCACCATGAGTCTGGGAAATAGTCGATAAGTCAAGATATTCGAGTCAGCATCGCGCACTCACTCGAATGCTCTCGAGAATCTCCATGTGGTGGCTGACGTCCATCGGGATGTAAAATCGAAGTGCGTCGCCATCGTGAGTGAGAAAGAGCTTCTTTGGCTCTGTTGCAGCGCTTCGCAACCCCCTTCGTCGTTCTGGTGGTGGTGATCGAGACCTGTTGACATCTGATCGCTTTGGCCGATTCTGCGATGTGGAAGGTGCGCGAGCGGAAACACCCCTGGGCGCTGGCTGCTTCTGTGGTGTGATAGCGGAAGGGGTATCACTTCTCGTGGGAATACTCGTTCGTGCCTTCGAGGAAGATGAAACTGCTATCGGTTGCCGTGTACGAGATGACTTTGATGACGCGAGAAGCTTCTTTGATACCGCAGATTCCTTTCCGGCAGGTATACTGCGACTAGAGGGAGAAGACTCGTCGTCGGTAACACTGGCCGGGAGATCATTGTCGACAAAAGTCGATGAAGATGTATTAGCTTCGTTCTGATCCCGAGGCAATGTCTTTTGCTGGTCACCCTGCGTTGATGTCGGGTTATAGAGGAAGGGCAGCTGAGCGAGCATCTGAGGTTGGATGAATGCCACGGGAATACTGTTTTGTGGGAAACAAGGAAGATGAAATGGACTAGGAGGCATCGAAGTGCAGCTGAGGGAGCTTTGAGAGGGGAATCCACCTGTCATAGATCTGAAAGCATCAGGGCCAACGTTCGGATGACCTCCATTTATGGCGAATGGGTTGCGACTTGCGGATTCGGAAAGAGCTGTGTTACTGGTGCTCTGGACAGAAGATGCATCCGGAGCCTCAGGTCCCACAATCAAGGAAGGCATACTTGATTCACTGTCAGCAAGCACAATTCTTAGCTGGAGAGACAACTTACATCGCTCCATCCACAGCATCAGTACTTTTCTCGCCAGAACTCGAGTGAACCACCGATTGAGTTAGCATGACAGGATCCCTAGTGTCGTTCTCGTCATGGGGCACGAGAAGGCCATCCCAGTTATGTTCTGCCAGTAGGAGGCCACCTTTGCCGATACAGGTTTTGATCCAGATATAATCGAGCACCGGCTTACTTGCAGGAGGAGGTACCCACAGGTTTGCGTATTTTTCAGCTTCGGCAGTGCCACGAACGACAAGGATTATGTGGGCTTGCGACGCATTTAAACAAATCCCACCCCCATAAAGCTGTTTGTGTGAGTAAGAAGCAGTTCCATTTTGGCCCAGTGCCTCACCTCTACGGTCCTAGTCAGATGTTTGCGCGTAGACTGGGGTATTTCATTGGGTTCGATGAAGAATAATATAGGGAGGCCGTTAGGTTGGGTAAAGAGGGCACTTGGGCTAGATGTCATTTGTCCCCCCTGATATCGAGGCGGAAGTCGCGCTATTGCCCTATTGATTATGTGCCGGTGAAATAAATAGAGAGGATCACACACAACAGGGCAACACAAGGGGATACAGCCGCAGTCTATAGAGCAGAACACAGGAAGCGAGGAATAGATCCGATCTTCGGAGACAGACCGGTCATGTGGTTCTCAAACGCCAGCAGCAAGGTAGGACAGGAAGATGTCACGAATCCAAGTAGACCTGAGGATTTGCGGAAAAGTCAAGCCTGTAGATGTTGCGAACAGAAAGAATTTTTCTGCCTTTTGGTGATTGGTGAGGGCAGACTAGCGCACATGAACAGGAAACGCTGGGAGCAAATATCCTTAGCTTCGGAATCAATCGGGCGGTGTGGGTCAGCTTCCTTTCTATTATTGATGAAGTTAATTCTATCAACATCAGAAATCGTTGAGGAACACAATACAACAAAAGATATGATATATGTTTCAACTATACACACACTTGCGGCTCCTTTACTGGATCATTTTGTCTAACCGCGCTTGACACCATAACTTATGTAACTGCCAACACCCTAATAATGGAAGAGCGGATATACATATGAAGGAGCGCTGTCCGAATAGATGTCAGCAGTACGTCGCTGTATTCCCAATGCTGAAGCTCGACTTGCTTCGAATGATAGACAACTCAGCGTCGAAGCAATTTCCGAAGGAAGCGTAAGTGACTGCTGGGGATGTTGCGCTTTTCCAGAGCATCGCCTCCACGAGCCAACCGACAAGTGTTCCCCTGACGCGTACAAACACTTTTGATAGAAGACACGTTGCTGGTCGCAGCGCAGAAAGGAGTCGATAAGAAAAGCCGCAATGAGGAATTGGGGTGATTGTTCGTTGGAGTTTGACAGAGGGCAATTGGAGAAGCAAACGATTTGCGTATCCCTGTACCCAAAAGACGGCTCTGCAGGCAGTTCAGCATGTCGCATCGCAGTCGCCGAATGTCACCATCCAGTAGGATATTGACAGTGACTGCATACAGCATAACCGGAAAATCGAACATGAAATCGTACTCATGATCACGCCAGCAGTAGTCATCGTTCAAAACAACCGGGACGAATCTGAGGGGGGTCTCACGGTTCGCTCGGCCTTCCGTCCCCTAAGCGACGGAAAGCGGGGCAGCGGGAGTAAAAATGGAGCTTTTTGCACGTGTTTTCGGTTCGGGCGACGCGGGGAAAGGGTGAGTTGGGCGGAGGCTGACGCAAGCCTCCTTATCGACCCAGTCGGCTCGCACGACCGGTTTCTCCTATCCCGCCTACCGTCGCGCCTACCGACGAAAGGGCGTACGTACCTTCTATCTTCCCCTGTCTACCCCTCCTGCCTTATAATCTCCATCTTAGCCCAAACGAGGGGCCTTATTCTCCTTCCCTCCCACCATGATCCCCCTCATAGCAACAACACTGTTGCTGGCAACGTCAGCACTCTCTCTGGGCAACCATGGTGGTGCCAGGAAGTCCTTGAGCTTTGGCCCGAAGCATCCGACCGCAAAGCTCAATGTACCCTCTGAGCAAGTTCACGCAGCCTCATTCGGGCTTGAGAAGCGCGCGCACTGCGGGCACGACTACGACCCTAAGGAGCTCGCTGCCAGCTTCGTCCAGAGCCTGCATGGAGGCGGAGAGTTCCGCATCAGGGAAGACAGTTACACCGATGCTCGCACGGGTGTTAGCCATATCTATGTTCGCCAGATCGTGAATGGCGCCGAGGTCATGGACGGCGATATCAACGTCAACATACGTGACGGCCAGGTCATCTCCTATGGTGATTCGGTGGGTATTTCATGCTGCAATTTAACCGGGTGGAGCTGACTCGACCATGTCTCAGTTCTATCGCGGTGATACCCCGACATATGCGATGGACCCGTCATCGTTATTCGAGCCTACGCATGACCAGGCACACCATTGCGAGGCATTATCGTCACACCTGACGTCGTTCCTTGCTACACCTTCAGGCCAGGTCCCGTTCAACCCGGACCACCCGACGGAGGAGGATGCGGAGCTACTTGCGATGCTTCACTCACACAACTGCCCCTCGTCACCTCTCGATGATGGGGAGCCTGAGTTGCTCGTGGATCCTAGTGTCTCAGCACTGAACTTCATGATGCTGGCTGCTCCTGACGCTGAGGTGTCCGCTGCCTTGAAGGCGAACTACGGTGCCCATCTGGAGCTTCTCACTGTCATCCCGACCGAGAGCTTGATCTCGACCTCGCCCGCTGTCGAGATTCATAATGTTCCTCACACAACCGGTTCTGTCAAGGCTCAGCTGGCGTATGTCCAGACACCCCACCCCGAGGAGGAGAACATGACCGTTCTCAACCTTGTGTGGCACCTCACCGTGCCCATGGAGGACAACGCGTACGAGGCGTTTATGTCTGCGACTCGTGCGAACCGCCTGATCAGTGTCGTCGACTGGGTATCCGACGCGTACGTGCCGATCCCTAAGCCTGGCAAGGAGAAGAACCCGGTGTACAATGTGTGGGCCTGGGGGGTCAACGACCCGTCAGAGGGCAACCGCTCTCTGGTCTCGGGCTACGATAAGACCGCCTCGCCCGCTGGCTGGCACGCAATGCCCAGCTCGGCCTCTCCATACAGCGCCGACAAGAAGCCCAAGGTGCCCGAGGACGACGAGGATCCCATTATGAACTTCACTACGACTTGGGGTAACAATGTCTTCGCCCATGAGAACCTCGACGGCCGCAACGAGTGGGAGTTCAACCAGCGCCCAGATGCTGGTTCCGAAATGATCTTCGACTATAACTACCTACCTGCTAAGAACTTCACCGGCACCAACCCCCGAGAGTACCTGAACTTGTCCATCACTCAGCTGTTTTACACTGCGAACATGGTAAGCATGTATCGCGGGATCAGAACGGAACAATTTCTCACCCTCGTTTTAGATTCACGACATCTACTATCGCTATGGTTTCGATGAGAAATCCGGTAACTTCCAACAGTTCAATTTTGGCAAGGGTGGCAAGGGCAATGACGCGGTTATCTGCAACGCCCAGGATGGTTCAGGCTACAATAATGCAAACTTTATGACGCCGCCGGACGGTCAGAATGGAAAGATGCGCATGTATGTTTGGAACACTGCCAAGCCCTGGAGGGATGGCGATCTCGAGGCCGGGATCGTGATTCACGAGTACTCGCATGGGCTGTCAACTCGTCTCACCGGTGGTCCAGCCAATTCTGGTTGTCTCGGTTGGGGCGAAGCAGGTGGAATGGGAGAAGGCTGGGGTGACTTCTACGCTACTACAATCCGATCTACCAGTACATATCAGGACTATGCCATGGGTTCGTGGGCTGCCAACCGACCGCAAGGCATTAGGAACTTCATCTATTCTTTGGTGCGTGAAGTGCTGGCTTTCCGAAAGGAGACATCAGCTGACTGATGATCAGAACATGACTGTGAACCCATCGACATACAAGACGCTGGACGAGCCTGGTTATTGGGGTGTACACGCAATTGGCGAGGTCTGGGCCCAAATTCTCTGGATTGTTGAGAATCGGTTGATTAAGGTTCACGGGTTTAACGATAATCTTTTCCCCCCCGAGGCGCTTCCAAATGGTACTATCCCGGAAGGTGACTTTTACCGGCCAGCGACCTACACCAAGAAAGGAAAGCGGCTGCCGCTTATTCCCAAACACGGAAACACGCTCGCCTTCCAGCTCGTTATGGACGGAATGAAGCTGCAGCCGTGTCGGCCATCATTTTTTGATGCTCGAGATGCCATCATCCAGGCTGATGAGATCTTGACCGGGGGCGAGAACAAGTGTGAGCTTTGGAAGGGATTTTCCGAACGTGGACTAGGGCCGGATGCAATGTTGAAGGGCGGCACCCCTTGGGGCGGCGGAGTTCGCACTGACGTCAGTCCAAATTTACGCAGTATGTTGATGGCCGAGCTGAGTGTGTATTCTGAACAGGACTACACGTTGCCGGAGGGTATCTGCGATGTTGATGATACGCCCGAGAATGGGCCCGAGGAATAGTCGCACGGAACCGGTAACGGGCACCGAGTGTTCTAGGCTCAGGGTGAGAGGGATGGCGACATAGGGATGGCGATATGGGGAGTGGGGATCGGTCGCGTCGGATAGATCGGTTGTAGGCAGTTGTTGTATTTCTGATTTTCACATCTTGATTCCACGCCACGATAGCTCCGTCCACACAATGTATATGGTCACAAGATTAGTCGTGTGTGTAAGTGGGCCTCGTGATGATTAGCCAAGAGTGGGGAGGAGGAGGAGTGAGTGCCGTAAGTGTGCCTAGGGAGGGAGGCGAACAAGTCGCGCTCTGTGGGAAGGTGCAGAAATGGCCTGACAAGAGAGGTGGCTGGACCGGCAGAGATGCGGCCGCGTTTCCCCCCGCTGGAATGTGGTGACGCTGCGAGCTATCAGCCACATTCCTTTGTAGAGAATGAACGTCATCGTTTACGGAGGATTATCGAAGGTCTCAGGGTCTCTAATTAGAGTGATGGGGCCTTCTCCACGATGAGCGATGCCACGGGAGAATATCGACGCACGCTTTTCAAGTTCACGGGGGTGAGGACCCTAGTGGCGCCCAAAAGGGGTGGCATGGCCGAGAACGCTTCTGTATCCGCGCGCCCTTCTGTACACACCTCTTCTGTGCGCACCTCCTACACACAGAGGCAACTTGCTGCGGCCGGTGGACAGGGAAGCGCCCACTCAACCATAACGGGAAGCGAACAGCAAAGAGATACGACGTCGCAAAATGATAGACATAAACATACAACCGTGCCTCCCGATGTGCCTTGCCTCCGTCACCACTCATCTCTTTCCCCTCAAATCCGCATGTCCCCACACACGCTCTGTCTCGGCTCTCTATTCCCCCTCCGTTCACCCCTCTCACCCCCCCTCCCTGCAGCAGACCACACACTGCCCTTATCCCCCTCTCTGCTACCTATATCCTCACTTCCTACGCGTCGACTACTACCCAAAGCACATCGCTGAACTCTGACACTGCTCAAACCCTCTAAAAGGCGACAATGGCATCACACGCACACACCCGTGGACGCGTCTCTGTAGAGCAGCCCTTCCGCCCCGTTCTCGGCGGCTGGGTACGCACTACCCTCGACGCTCTCTTGCTCTTCCGTGCCGCTCAGATCGGCCGTATCACCGCCATGCCTCGTCGACTCTCTGACTTGGAAAAAGTCCAATGCATCCGTTCTGGCGCTATCTTCGTCTTTGAAGAGAAGCGCTCCGGGATCAAGCGTTGGACAGACTCTCGCGAATGGTCTCCTTCCCGTATCCTTCACAACTTCCTTGTAAGTGCACTCCCTGCTTCCTCTTGACGCGCTAACCGCGTTCTACGAACAGATCTATCGCGAACTCGATCCCAACCGTCCCGACCGTACCTCCAAGGGCACATGCCACGCTGTCGGCGTCTCGCAGGCGAACGCCAGAGCGGGTCAGGCCCGTCGCCCTTCGACAGGCCACACGGAAAACGACGCCGTCATGCGCGACTTGGTCGGTTCTCTGCGTGAACACACCGATTTCCAACGGAACGGGCTCATGAAAAAAACCATCACGATCGGCTTCGAAGTTGGCACAATCCGCGAACGCTCTTGGCACATCGTCTCCTACTACAAACCGGATGATATCCTCAACGGGACCCTCCAGCCCGTATACCGCCTACCCGGATTTCACGATATTCACCCGGGCCATGAGTGGCTTGATCCTACCCACTTCAGGTTCCCACCAAAGATCACCTTTGATGATCTCGGATGCCGTCACTACATGTAAGGGTTCATCCATTGGGGTATTTCACATCCTCTAACATAGACCCTTACCCACAGTGGAGAAGCGGATGACGAGCCCTCGCCTACTGATCCCACCCACCGCCTCATGCCCCTCCGTCCCCCCGTCACTGCAGCAGCCTTGGCAGCCAAAGAGCGTGGTATCTCGAATGACTCGCACCGTCGTCGCAAGCATGGCCGGTATGCGCCCTACACGCGCCCCAGCCTCTCTTCGCACAATAGCTCCACGTCCCTCTCTAGCGCTGCAACTGACGTGACTATGATGAGCGGGAGTGGGAGTGGCACGACCGACTCGATCGACCTGCCCGCCCTGACCCCCAGCAGCCCTTCCTCGGATCTTTCCGGCCCTACCTCCGACTATGGCGCTCAATCCGCTCCCTTCTACTATGGCCATGGAGTGCCTTACCACCCGTACCAGGCTGGGTCACTAGCTTCTGGCTCCGAGCTGCCCTCCATGCCCGCGGTGGACCACTCTGCGGCACCCCGGCCCTCACCATACTATCCTACCGGTTGCTGGCCCACCAACATGCCCCCCACAACGGAGGGCAAAGCCGGAGTGAATCAACTCCAACTCCAAGTTTTCCCTTACGGCATGTACGCCCCATTCCAACAAGTGGGCTATGGCACTACCTACGCCCCCGCGTATGCGGAATACTACCAGCCGCATGGCGCCGAGGAGGCTGGTGCCCTCCCCTCCCCGACGAGTGGCATGTGATTTGTTTGCCAAAAGGGATCCCCCTGGTATGCTGTCTTCTTGACTGGATCGGATCGGACTTACTGTACCGTTTGAGTGTGCGATCAGCCCTGTAGTATCAACTTCCTGGGTGCCCAAACCCATGTATCGGTCTCCTGTTTGTTGCTTGTTGCTTCATTCTCCTTACGCCACAGCGTTGCCTTACCTGATTAGCTACTCAGCTGTTTCCCATCGTCGCTCTCTCCCCCATACGAGATATCTGTAGTCAAAATTCATCGATTGTCTTGCCGCGCCCCATGTGTGCACCTGATCTGACCGGCTAGCTAATCGCGGCTACATCCCGTGCAGTGTGTGAGCAAATTCAATACTGATACCGACAGGGTTTTCTCAAGGAACCAATTGAAAGAAGACGCTTTGGGCACACAAAGCAGTAACGACCTTGAAAAAAACCAGGGCTAGGCCTGGGTTTTAGCAGGTAACACAATCTCCGGCACGGTCTTCCGATGTGGTTCCTCAATCACTAGCTTGGCATGTCGATTGATGATCACATGATCACCCGCCCCATGCAGATTCTGCATGTTCATGTTCATGTACGTTCTGTTCGCTTCCCCTGTATGGTATATATGGACAGATTGACAAAAATTCCGCCTGCGTTGATCAGTTGTGGGGCACTTAGCTGATTAGCCGGAAGCACACACTAATTAGCCAAGGTTCACCTATCAGGCAATCTCCTTTTTGCAGAACCCTTTCCCACTAGCGGCACTGCCACTTCTGCCCACGCGGCTTGTAGGAACGCCACTGGGTTCTGTGCCGTTTTCGGACTTTGCCATTTTCTGCTCTTGCGTGTAATTAGCCTTGCCTTGGCCGCCGCCGCCGTCTCCGCTTACTTGGGAAACGCAGGACCTGAGCAGTTCGGACAAGGATGAGCGGAAGGAGGATGTTGAGGGCGAGCAGGACGCTCGAGGCTGCACTCAGAGGTGCGGCCGGACCAAGTACGAGCAGGCTATATGCGTGCGTTTGTAATTTCATTCATTGTCCTCGACTCACGGAAGCAGTACTAGCACGACGATACAGTCTGCTACTCCGGGAGAAGGAGGAGCTTCTCGTCATGGTCAGCATATCACTGTTATGGGAACTCCTTCCCCCATCCCAAAGATCACCGAGGTGAACATCGCACACCCGACGGGCAACGCTGAACAACCCTGGGCCGATGTCATCGAGGAGCCTGTTTTCCAGCCACCGCCAATGCTCGAGCTACCCTCTAGGGGATATCTCGAGCCCCAACCACTAGCCAAGACGCACGGAATCCCGGTCGCTATCCTCCATCTCCGGTCGTACCATATCCGCCTGCTTGATCTCTTTATCCACTTTGCACTGCATAGCGCTGTCTCCCTCGGTATCCCAACTTCGAAAGCACAGCCGTTGAAGACCCAGCGCCGGCTGTGGACGGTGATCAAAGGCCCGTTCGTGCACAAGAAGACTCAGGAAAACTTTGTTCGCCTTACGCATAAACGCGCGATAAGGCTGTATGATGCCAATCCCGGTGTGCTGGAGATGTACTTTGCCTACCTGCGCGCGCATGCGTTGGCTGGTGTCGGTGTGCGCGCTATTCGATGGGACCGCGCACCGCTTGGGTTCGGAGGAGAACATATGCGCAGAGCCGTCGGTGCTGGCGTTACAAGCCCCGAGCAACGGAAGGCGTACAGGGCCCTGCTGAACCGTACGTTTGATGCTGGAGAAGCACATGCCGGCCCGGGCTTGGTGGAGAATTTGGTACGCAGGATCTTACGCCAAGAAGAGAAAAGGATGGCGGCGGCGGCCCCGGGGGCAGTCGCGATGAGTGCTGATGAGGCGGTCGATGTGCAGGCTGTTGGGGCTGCTGAGGAGCCCGTTGAGCATACAGGAGCCGAGTCGACCTCAGCTGTGGATGCTTTACAGGCGCCGACGGTCCAGATGGACAGTGGGTCGCCGATGTCACAGGCTACCGGAAAAGCGAGCGCGACATCAGCAAACGAGCCTAAAACTAACCAGACCCCTGAACCTGCCCTTGAAGCAAAGCCAGAACCTCCATCCTCGCAGGCGGCGAACGAACCCGACCTAAGCACAGCCGGACCTCAAGCATTCGTACCCGAACCGGAAGAGGAGAGCATTTCCTCTCCGGCCTCCGAGCCTGTTCCCCCTGTTGCTACCCAAGCGACAGTTCCCGAACAGGCAGAGGCAGAGCCGAGCACAGCAGGCCCTGCGTCTTTCACCACCGAGCCGGTTGACGATGTCTCCCCTGCGCTGGAGCTGGATACAGAGCCGAGCACTGCAGGCCCAGAGGAGTTCATTCCCGAGCCGGAGGAGGACATGATCTCCCCTCCTGAGGCTACACTATCGCCTGACCCGGTCCAACCAGCCGCCGAACCGAGCACAGCAGGTCCGGCTACCTTCATCCCCGAGTCGGTAGAAGACGTTTCTGCGCCGTTGTCCGCCAATGCCGAGCAGAATAGGGAGCCAACGACTGCTGGACCGGAGGAGTTCGCCCCCGAGCCTTTGGAAGAACAGACTCCAGAACCGAGCACTGCAGGACCGGCCACCTTCGCTCCAGAGTCGATAGAGGACTCGGCCCCGCTGCCTGCTGGGTTAGCGGAGCAGAGTGCGGAGCCTACGACAGCTGGACCGGAAGCGTTCATCCCCGAGACGACAGAGGAAGGGATCTCCTCGCCCGCAGGTACACCAACGCCGGCACCAGTCCAGCCGTCAGAACAAGCAGAAGGGCCGAGTACCGCAGGACCAGAGGAGTTCATCCCTGAGCAGGAGGAGGTCTCTGGAACACCTAACGCACCACCCGAAAACGGACCGTCAGATGGGTCTAAATCATAGTAGATATGCGGAATTAATAAAATTCTCCTTGTTCACTCACCACTTATAATTCTAGTCTGGAATCGTTTTTTCCAGGATGCACCGTTGTTGGTAATGGTTGCACGTGGTAAGGAAGCAATCAGGGCTCTTGCAAGCGCAAAATATCAAAGCACCGACTCTCGTACTTCCAGAGTTTAGTAACTTGGTCTACAGTACACTAAAAGTACAACAACAACCAACACTGATTTCTACTTGGGCGGCTTATATTGCAATTTCATTACCGATTTCTAACTCGATATAATAATTTTACTGTCAACATCAAGATTTGCAAGGATGCTCAGCGCAAGAAATCGCGCTCTTGCTCTGTCACGAACCTCGCTCACACGGCCGTTGGTAACCCGACGAGCCTCCTCTTCCCCTCCTTCCTCTTCTGCAGCAAAATCAACCCCCTCACCATCGTCTCCCAACCCATCTACCAAACCCACTGCGCCGCCAAAAAAGCCTGCCCAACCCCGCGTGCCCCCCGGGTTCCTACCCGGCATGGGCCCCTCCAAGCTCCCCTCCTCCCTCCCACCAGACTACGTGCTCGGCCCTCGGGAAGTCTACAGACCCGACCGCGTTTCACCCGATATTGAGCGCCTGAAGGACGTGCCGCAGGAGGAGATCCCGAAGGACTTTAGGAAGGTCAAGCGACCGCTTTCGCTCCCTCGATGGCTCCACCCGCTCGTTGTGAAGGTGGTACCGTATTTGGGGTATTATTCGCCCAAGATGACGGCTATTAGGGAGACGAGGTGGTTGTATCGGGGTATTGCGAGGCGGGTTATGGAAGAAGACGAGTTCTTCACAAACGGTACGTTTCCCCCGAGACCGATATGCAGATCTCACTAATGCCGGGCAGAATGTCGCCTTCCACCTACGTTCCAGACTTGGTTCCTGATCACCAACCTCTACGTATGGATGCTCACTACCCGCCTTCGCGCCCTTCCTTCCCCACACGGGAAGAACTTTGTTCAAGAGCTCGTGAACCACTATTTCCAGGATGCGGAGGACCGGATGCGGATTATCCTCACCCCTCGATGCCCGGAACGGATTTTGCGCACGCACCTGATCGACTGCAGGTCCCAATGGGCGGGGATGACGCTCGCTCTTGATCTTGGTCTGATAGGCAGCGATGTACAGCTAGCGGGCGCGTTGTGGAGGAACGTGTTTGATGCCAGGGGAGGGAAGGAGGTGCATGTCCCTGGTGCGAAGTGGACATACCACCGATTCCCTGCAGCAGAAGCGACACTCGCGCTTGAAGCGGACCAAGAGCTGAAGCAAGCGGCGGAGCTCGAGCTTCCTAGACTGCTCTACCTGTGGACGGCATTCGTCAGGCGAGAAGTGAAAAGGCTCGAAGCGATCAAGGACGAGGATGTGTTGGTGAGCCAGATCGGGAACTGGGGGAGCATAGATGATGGCTCGGAGAGTATCAGGATCGATAAGTGGGAAGAGGAGAAAGGGGAGGATTGGGAGGTCGAAAAGGTTGTTAAGCTCCCTGCTGGGGATGGGCCTCAGGTGGAGGACAGCCCAGTGAGCAGCAAGACAGAGGACAAGAGCGCTAGTGGTGCGCCAGTGCCGTAATTTGAGGTTAATTACTGAGCTAATAATGCGCAAATACATACATCATGTACCAAATTGGCGGACGTACTAAGGTCGTATAAATAGAGGAATAAATACGCCGAAGAATCGGAGGAACACTGAGCCGAAGCGCCCGTTGTCCATCAAGTAACGACGACGTCGGCGTCCTTTCCTCTGACCTCTTGCTGTTCCTCCTGACGATATAGCAAACGATGCGTGATCGTATTCTGACCAACTTCGTCCTCGACCAGAAAGCGCCCAGCGCCCAGTCGGTCAGGTGCACTAATCCCGAAGGATTCGAGTACATCCTCACCTGCCTCTCTCCTTCCATCCTCAAGCTCACGCTCACTTCGCCCGATCACCCGGCGCCAGTGCACTCCAATATCGTCTGGGACACACCGGCTGAAGGATTCCATGCTGTAGACTATGCGGAAGATGGCAAAGTGAGGTTGAGCATGGGGGCGCCTAAGGAGGGAGGTGTACAACTGGAGCTCGCTCTTCCGCACCTAACGCTGCGCGCCTCTGCTCTCTGGCCTCTCCCTGGCTCCAGTGCCCCGCCCTCATTGGTGGTCCTGCATTCCGACCTCCCGAACCGTACTTTTGCATGCACGCCCCACGGGCTGACGCACTATTCTGTCATCCCTGGTCTGCCTGGGGCTCTGGAGGCGCTGCACCTCGGCCTGGGGGAGAAAGCCGCTCCACTGGGTTTGACGAATCGGAGGTTTGAAGTGACGGGAAAGGATGCGGCGAACTATGATGCCTGGAGGACGGATCCGCTGTACAAGCATACACCGTGGTTGATCACTCTGAGTGAGTCCCCCCCTCCTAAGGGTGAAGCAGGCTGACTCGTGTATAGAGAAAGGCGGCGGATACGCGGTCGGGTTGTATAACGCTTCCAACTCGGATGGGGTGTGGAACGTCGGTTGTGAGGTCGACGACCCCTGGGGGAGGTACAAGTTCTATGCGCAGGACGTGGGGGGGATCGAGGAGTATCTTATCTTTGGGCGCACGACGAGGGATGTTGTACGTTTCGTCTCCCCTTTCACAGCAGCTGGTCGCATGCTAACAACTTTGTCTGTATGTAGCTCAGAGACTGGGCTCGCTTGGTCGGTTTTCCTCTCCTCCCCCCGCGTCACTGGCTCGGTTACTTGGCGAGCAGCATGGGCTACGCCGAGTCTGACGACCCGCCCGCCCAGCAGCTGCTGGAGGACTTTCCCAGGAAATGCAGGGAGGAAGATATTCCCTGCAGTGCTATGCATCTCAGTTCTGGGTACACGTGCGTATTCCTTCGTTGATAGGGGAAGACGCGCTGATGAGCTGCGGGGAATAGCGTGGCCATGACCACGCCCAAACACCGGCAAGTGTTCACTCTGAACACACATCGCTACCCCTCTTTCCCTTCTCTTTTCGCAAACTATCACGCGCAAGGCATGCGCATCGCCCCCAATATCAAGCCCTTCGTCCTCCGCACGCACCCTGCCTTCCCCGCCCTCTTGGCCAAAGGCGCGGTCTTCAAAGACGCGCAGGGCGAACTGGCGGAAACGAGGATCTGGAGCGCGCTGCCAGGGGAGAACGCTAGTGGAGCGTGGCTTGATATGACGAGCGAGGAGGGCCGGCGTTGGTGGTATGCTGGCGTGAAGGGATTGGTGGACGCAGGGGCGGACGCGATGTGGAAGTGAGCGGGTTCTTCTTGCGTGCTGGTATCCGCTGATCTGTTAAAAGCGACAACGACGAGTTCTCATTGCATGACGATTCGTACCAGTGTGCTTGGACGCTGCCTTCCCTGCCCGACGCCGGTAAGGGGACGAAAGAAGTTGGACTGGTAGGACGCATGGTGCACACCGAGCTCCTGGGGCAGGCGTCATACGAGGCCCTGCGGGATGCCGACAGCCGCAGACGGCCGTTCATCCTCACCAGGAGTGCGAACGTAGGGACGTTGAAGTGGTGCGCGAGTACGTGGAGCGGGGATAACTGGACGTCCTGGGAGACTTTGAGGGGGAATGTGGCGATGTGTTTGAATGCGGGAATGTCGTTGATGCATGTGAGCCAGCTAATTCCAACCCAGAGATATGTGCTGAGGAGGATATGCAGAGCTATGGACACGATGTCGGCGGGTTTGGTGGGCCGTTGCCTACGATAGAGCTCTTCACGCGCTGGGTCCAGTCCTGCGTGTACAACCCTCGGTTCTGCATCCATTCCTTCAAGCCAACCGTCACCAACAAAGCCGGAACGTCGACGATCAACGAGCCCTGGATGCATCCCTCCGTCACCCACCTCATCCGTGCTAGCATCAAGCGGCGCTACGAGCTGCTGCCGTACCTATATGCGCTGCACTGGGAGAGTCACGAGAAGGCCGAGCCTCTAAACACTTGGCTCGGATGGGGAGAATTCGAGGCCGACCCGGAGGTATACAGCGTCAAGGTTTTTGAAGGATACGATTTCTGGCTTGGGACGGGCAGGCTGCTGGTGGCTAGTGTTGGTTATGAGAACGACATCGACCGGAAGGTGTACCTTCCCCACACTGCAGAAGAGCCGACGAGAGGATACTATCTTCTCACCCCGCCTTACAGTTTCCATACCCCTGGGTGGGTGACGGTTCCCACCCCGCTGGAGCATATTGCTGTTTTCGCCTGGGTGGGGAGCGTGATACCCATCGGAAAGGACAAGGTTACTGTCACGTCGCGTGAAGGACTAGACCGTGTAGGGAGAAGCGGGACGAAGGCGGTGCTAGATGACGAACTTGGACCGGATGGGCTTCCTGGTGTGGTAGGCGTGGATGATTGGAGGGGAGTGGAACTTTACCCTTCGCCGAAGGATGCAGAGCCTGTGAAGAAAGTCAGGAAGTGGGGATGGGAGTGGACGGAGGATGATGGAGAGTCCTTAGTGCCACAGCCGACGAGAGTCAAAGTGGAGTACTGGGTTGAGGGAGAAGAAATCGTCGTGGTTGCGCGCAGGGGCGGTGGGTGGGAGGTGGCCTGGGGGGGAAGTGTATGGGTGACGTTACCGAGGGGAGATGACAGAGCTGTCAGGGGCGCAAATATGAAGGAGGAAAAGGGGAGGGTATGGTGGGAAGTGAAAGTTCAACTGAATTAATGTTCTACTAGAATGAAATTACCGTCTCTTTGTTCCATGAAGCTGAAGAGATACCCAACATTGATATCGTGGTAGTCATCATAACCCTTTGTTAGTGGCAGTGTTAATGAAAACCACGTGCTTCTTTTCACACGAATTTCCTGGTCACCGACCGCCATCTATCGAGTCACTCCAACCAAATTCGTCCCTCTCGAATCTCTCTTCTTGTACACATTATGCGCAATCTCGCACTTGAATCCACAGCATCGGTGCAGATACCGTGCAGCTCAAAAGGAAGGATAAGCCGTTTGGCGCATGACCTGGCATCCGGGGACCGATTCATTGCCGTCGAGAATGTGCTTGGGGGGGAAGAGGTACAGGTGGAAGTGTGGAAAGTGGGAGGAAAAGGACAAGTTGTATGTCTAGTTAGATTGACTGCCAGAGATGTTCTTATCCAGCATTAGGATGATGTACCCTGCGCTATTCTCATGGCGCCAGCTGCTTCGAATGCCGCAACACAAGTCATCGCTCTGAACGTGCTTGCCGAGCAACAGATATTATGTATGGTCCTACGTGGAGGAACGATTGCTACTGCACCATTAGAAGCAGACTTTGCTACTCTCGGTGTACAATTCGAAGTCGTTGGGGAGGTCGAGTCTGGCATTCTGTCCGCTGCCTGGTCTCCAGAGGAAGACGTTCTGGTCCTCCTCACAGGCGCTTCCGAGCTGCTCCAAATGACACCAACATTCGACGTTCTGTCTGAAGCGTCATTAAACACAACAAGCTACGGAGAAGAACAGCAAGTGAATGTCGGATGGGGAAGCAAATCGACGCAGTTCCACGGTTCGGCGGGAAAGCAGGCTGCACAAGCTGCACCGCCTGAGGTCGTCGGCCTCAGCCCTGATGATGACGCCCTTCCGAAAATCAGTTGGCGTGGGGATGCGCAGTTCTTCTCCGTCTCGGCTGTTGACGAAGGCAGGCGGGTTATACGTGTGTACTCCCGCGCTGGAATGCTGCAGAATACCTCTGAGCCCGTTCCTGGACTCGAGCACACGCTCGCATGGAAGCCCTCTGGCGCGCTCATCGCGAGTACTCAGAGATTCGGGTCTTCAGCTCCAGGGCTTGGAGCGGGAAAAGAAGGGAGACATGATGTCGTGTTCTTGGAGCGGAATGGCTTGCGACACGGGGAATTCACGCTGAGAGAGGAGGGAAGATATAGAATCAAAGAGTTGGACTGGAGCGCGGGAAGCGAGGTGTTGACCGTGTGGATTGAGCGGGAAGAAGGAGATGTGGTACAGCTGTGGACCATAAACAACTATCATTGGTGCGTTCTAGTCGTGCTGTCCTCCGATTCCGACCCTGACAATGTGCTAGGTATCTTAAACACGCAGTGCATCCACCTGTGCCCGGGGAACACTTTACCACCGTCCAGTGGCATCCAGAATTATCACTACGTCTCATCGTCACCACGTTAACTCACATACTCGACCGTTCCTTTGCATGGATTACAGCCCGTTCCACCGAATCTGTCCCAAGAGATACAGGCACAGTAGCAATCATCGACGGTTCCACACTACTCATGACCCCCTTCCGACGCATGAACGTTCCACCGCCTATGTGCGGATATCGACTCCCCCTCGGTGGAAATGGCGAACCGCCGATCGATCTGGCGTTCGATACTGACAAGGATCGATTGGCAGTGTTAAGGCAGAACTCTGTTGAAGTTTGGGAGCTAAATATCGTGGTCGGGAACGGCAAGGTCGCCGATCCTGTTAAAGTGTGTGACTCGACTTTGGAGCAGGCTATCGATACTCGCCAGGTTGAGCTATCCGGAAACCATGTCACCGTGCTCGGCTACGATTGGGAAGAGGAACGGGATGTCGTCTTGCAGCTACAGTCCGAGGATGGCTCCGCATGGGACAAAACTGTGATGGCATCGACTGGGTCTGGGCGGCTAGTCTCTGCGACCGACGGTCACCCTCTCCTTTTCCAAGGGACGAGTGGCGAGGTCGTATCTATTGCGGACAACGCCGTACAGCTACGCCTTCCGGTCTTCTGCTTTCAGACCGCATTCATTCCGTCGCCTACTCCCGCAGTTATCGGCATGTCCAGCAAGGGAACTCTCTACGCCGTGTCTGAGACGACGACGCTCACCTTGACCACCAACTGCACTTCCTTCATGCTCTCCACCGACTTCCTCATATACACAACATCGGCGCATCAAGCTCATTTTGTACCAATCGCCGACGACCTCACATCACTCCTGATGGAGCCCGATACGACACTCCCCGAGTTCGAGAAACGAAAAGTCGAGCGTGGATCGAGGATCGTCACCGTCGTGCCAAGTAATATGGCACTTGTTCTCCAAATGCAGAGAGGAAATCTCGAGACTGTGAATCCCAGGCCCTTGGTATTACAAACCATGCGACGAGACCTCGATGGTTCGGACTATCGTTCGGCATTCCTCGCCTGCCGCAAGCACAGGATCGATCTCAACGAGCTAGCGGAGCACGATCCGGCGATGTTCATGCGGGACATTCCTCTATTCGTCGAGCAGGTGGACGATGTGGACCATATTAACCTTTTCCTCACCGGGATCGGTCAGTCATCCCAATCGATCGAAAGGAAAAACGAGATATGCGACGCCATCCGTACTCAGCTAGAACAGCGAGACCTGAAACGCTACGTGAGCTCGATCCTTACCGCGCACGTCGTCAAGTCGCCCTCTGATGTCGAAAGTGGGTTAAAGCTGCTCCTGAGACTGCGGGACGAGAACCCGGAGATCGTAGAGGAGGCGATCAAGTACATCATCTTCCTGGTCGACGTCGATCGGCTATTCAACATCGCCCTAGGGATGTACGACTTTTCGCTCGTTCTGATGATCGCCCAGCATTCGCAGAAGGTAACCTTCCGCTCTGATCACCTTACTCATAGCCCTTTCTTATATATACACAGGACCCGCGCGAATACCTGCCCTTCCTACGGGAGCTCGCCGAGCTGGAAGAAAACTACCAGCGATTTCGGATCGACGACCATCTCGGGCGACACTCGACGGCGCTGGAACATCTCCGGCTGGCAGGGGACACCCAGTGGGACAGGGCGAAGAAGTACGTTGACGTGCACGCGCATCTGTGGCCTCACGCGCTCCGGCTGTGGAAGGAGGATAAAGAGAAGGAGGCTGTATGTTCCCCCTTCCGTTCTCCGCTCATGCTCGACCGCGGCTGACTCCCTACAGGAACTGCAGGAGATGTACGGCGACTACCTGATGGAAAAGAAAGACTACTCCAGCGCGGCACTCGCCTTCCTCCTCTCACAGAAAACCGAAAAAGCCCTCCAAGCGCAAGAGGCAGCGCTCGCCTGGCGAGACCTGTTCGCCCTCGCCACGCAGGCCGGGGCGTCTCCAGACCGACTCTCGGCGATCGGCAGGCGGGTCGCAGACAAGCTCTGTAGTAAACGGCGGTACGCGGAGTCGGCCCAGGTGCTGCTCGATTATGTGCACGATGTGGACGAAGCTGTGAATACCCTCCTCCTTGGGAGCGGGTATAACGAAGCGGTACGGGTTGCTTACCTGCACCAGTGCCCGGAGCTGGTAGAAGACCGCGTTAGGCCGAGTGTGCTCAACTCTGCTGAGAACGTGCTAGAAGATCTGGAGGAGATGGGTGAGCAGCTCCGAAAGCAGGTGACGAGGTGGGAAGAGCTGCAGGAGAAGAAACGGGCTTACCCGGGGGAGTTTTACCATCAGGGAGAGGAGGAGGAGGGAGAGGGGTTGGGGGTACATGATGTGGACGTCATGTCTGCTACTACGGCGGGAACGAGGTTTACGAGGTTCACGCTTGCTCCTACGATCTTGACGAGCGGGACGGGGACGACAAAGAGCGCCAAAGGGCGGCGGAAGACAGAGCGCAAGCGGCTGAGCGGGAAGAAAGGGAGCGTGGACGAAGAAGAGTATTTGGTCAGCTCGGTGCTGAAGCTGTGTACGAGGCTGGAGGGGGTGCAGCGGGAGGTGGGCGGGTTAGTGCGGTTTTTGATTTTGTGGGAGGAGGGGAGGGCCAGGGAGCTGGGGAGGGCGTTGGAGGGGTTTGAGAGAGAGGTAAAGGGGGTGGTACAGAGGGTTTGGGGGGTGTTGGAGGAGGGACGGGAGGGCAAGGGGGATGAGGTGGGGCATGGGAATAGGAAGGTGCCTGAGCGGCCGAAGGTGGATGGGGTACAATGGAGGACAGAGTTGCTGTAGCTGTGATCTAGATGTACTATGGTAGGGAACGAATGATAGATGATAGATGAATGTGTTCAGTGCATGTGGTATACAATGCTAATCAATGCAAGAGCCCCTCCAACCCTCCCAATCCTCCCCGAAACCGCAGCTAACCGCCCCTCAAATTCCCCTCCAAAAATACCCCCAACAGCGCCAACACCTCCCCCTTCACCCCCTGTGGCACCTTCCCCTGTCCATAACGCACCAGCTCCCTCAGCAAACTGTCAAAAGACGTCTCTGGTGCGAGGCGTAAGTGTTCGCGTGCGTGATCCTGGAGGTCGTCTAGCATTCCAGATTCGAGAAGTTTGGAACGGAGGGTGGATTGGAGTCGTACCGGGGGGGGGGGGGAGGGGGGAAGGG